CTTTCCCCCCCGGGCAGAAATTAAAGCAGAAAAGGGACGGGGGTGGAAACTTTCCCCCCGGGGCAGAAATTAAAGCAGAAAAGGGACGGGGGTGGAAACTTTCCCCCCCGGGCAGAAATTAAAGCAGAAAAGGGACGGGGGTGGAAACTTTCCCCCCCGGGCAGAAATTAAAGCAGAAAAGGGACGGGGGTGGAAACTTTCCCCCCCGGGCAGAAATTAAAGCAGAAAAGGGACGGGGGTGGAAACTTTCCCCCGGGCAGAAATTAAAGCAGAAAAGGGACGGGGGTGGAAACTTTCCCCCCCGGGCAGAAATTAAAGCAGAAAAGGGACGGGGGTGGAAACTTTCCCCCCCGGGCAGAAATTAAAGCAGAAAAGGGACGGGGGTGGAAACTTTCCCCCCCGGGCAGAAATTAAAGCAGAAAAGGGACGGGGGTGGAAACTTTCCCCCCCGGGCAGAAATTAAAGCAGAAAAGGGACGGGGGTGGAAACTTTCCCCCCCGGGCAGAAATTAAAGCAGAAAAGGGACGGGGGTGGAAACTTTCCCCCGGGCAGAAATTAAAGCAGAAAAGGGACGGGGGTGGAAACTTTCCCCCCCGGGCAGAAATTAAAGCAGAAAAGGGACGGGGGTGGAAACTTTCCCCCCCGGGCAGAAATTAAAGCAGAAAAGGGACGGGGGTGGAAACTTTCCCCCCCGGGCAGAAATTAAAGCAGAAAAGGGACGGGGGTGGAAACTTTCCCCCCCGGGCAGAAATTAAAGCAGAAAAGGGACGGGGGTGGAAACTTTCCCCCCCGGGCAGAAATTAAAGCAGAAAAGGGACGGGGGTGGAAACTTTCCCCCCCGGGCAGAAATTAAAGCAGAAAAGGGACGGGGGTGGAAACTTTCCCCCCCGGGCAGAAATTAAAGCAGAAAAGGGACGGGGGTGGAAACTTTCCCCCCCGGGCAGAAATTAAAGCAGAAAAGGGACGGGGGTGGAAACTTTCCCCCGGGCAGAAATTAAAGCAGAAAAGGGACGGGGGTGGAAACTTTCCCCCCCGGGCAGAAATTAAAGCAGAAAAGGGACGGGGGTGGAAACTTTCCCCCCCGGGCAGAAATTAAAGCAGAAAAGGGACGGGGGTGGAAACTTTCCCCCCCGGGCAGAAATTAAAGCAGAAAAGGGACGGGGGTGGAAACTTTCCCCCCCGGGCAGAAATTAAAGCAGAAAAGGGACGGGGGTGGAAACTTTCCCCCCCGGGCAGAAATTAAAGCAGAAAAGGGACGGGGGTGGAAACTTTCCCCCCCGGGCAGAAATTAAAGCAGAAAAGGGACGGGGGTGGAAACTTTCCCCCCCGGGCAGAAATTAAAGCAGAAAAGGGACGGGGGTGGAAACTTTCCCCCCCGGGCAGAAATTAAAGCAGAAAAGGGACGGGGGTGGAAACTTTCCCCCCCGGGCAGAAATTAAAGCAGAAAAGGGACGGGGGTGGAAACTTTCCCCCGGGCAGAAATTAAAGCAGAAAAGGGACGGGGGTGGAAACTTTCCCCCCCGGGCAGAAATTAAAGCAGAAAAGGGACGGGGGTGGAAACTTTCCCCCCCGGGCAGAAATTAAAGCAGAAAAGGGACGGGGGTGGAAACTTTCCCCCCCGGGCAGAAATTAAAGCAGAAAAGGGACGGGGGTGGAAACTTTCCCCCCCGGGCAGAAATTAAAGCAGAAAAGGGACGGGGGTGGAAACTTTCCCCCCCGGGCAGAAATTAAAGCAGAAAAGGGACGGGGGTGGAAACTTTCCCCCCCGGGCAGAAATTAAAGCAGAAAAGGGACGGGGGTGGAAACTTTCCCCCCGGGGCAGAAATTAAAGCAGAAAAGGGACGGGGGTGGAAACTTTCCCCCCCGGGCAGAAATTAAAGCAGAAAAGGGACGGGGGTGGAAACTTTCCCCCGGGCAGAAATTAAAGCAGAAAAGGGACGGGGGTGGAAACTTTCCCCCCCGGGCAGAAATTAAAGCAGAAAAGGGACGGGGGTGGAAACTTTCCCCCCCGGGCAGAAATTAAAGCAGAAAAGGGACGGGGGTGGAAACTTTCCCCCCCGGGCAGAAATTAAAGCAGAAAAGGGACGGGGGTGGAAACTTTCCCCCCCGGGCAGAAATTAAAGCAGAAAAGGGACGGGGGTGGAAACTTTCCCCCCCGGGCAGAAATTAAAGCAGAAAAGGGACGGGGGTGGAAACTTTCCCCCCGGGGCAGAAATTAAAGCAGAAAAGGGACGGGGGTGGAAACTTTCCCCCCCGGGCAGAAATTAAAGCAGAAAAGGGACGGGGGTGGAAACTTTCCCCCCCGGGCAGAAATTAAAGCAGAAAAGGGACGGGGGTGGAAACTTTCCCCCGGGCAGAAATTAAAGCAGAAAAGGGACGGGGGTGGAAACTTTCCCCCCCGGGCAGAAATTAAAGCAGAAAAGGGACGGGGGTGGAAACTTTCCCCCCCGGGCAGAAATTAAAGCAGAAAAGGGACGGGGGTGGAAACTTTCCCCCCCGGGCAGAAATTAAAGCAGAAAAGGGACGGGGGTGGAAACTTTCCCCCCCGGGCAGAAATTAAAGCAGAAAAGGGACGGGGGTGGAAACTTTCCCCCCCGGGCAGAAATTAAAGCAGAAAAGGGACGGGGGTGGAAACTTTCCCCCCCGGGCAGAAATTAAAGCAGAAAAGGGACGGGGGTGGAAACTTTCCCCCCCGGGCAGAAATTAAAGCAGAAAAGGGACGGGGGTGGAAACTTTCCCCCCCGGGCAGAAATTAAAGCAGAAAAGGGACGGGGGTGGAAACTTTCCCCCCCGGGCAGAAATTAAAGCAGAAAAGGGACGGGGGTGGAAACTTTCCCCCCCGGGCAGAAATTAAAGCAGAAAAGGGACGGGGGTGGAAACTTTCCCCCCCGGGCAGAAATTAAAGCAGAAAAGGGACGGGGGTGGAAACTTTCCCCCCCGGGCAGAAATTAAAGCAGAAAAGGGACGGGGGTGGAAACTTTCCCCCGGGCAGAAATTAAAGCAGAAAAGGGACGGGGGTGGAAACTTTCCCCCCCGGGCAGAAATTAAAGCAGAAAAGGGACGGGGGTGGAAACTTTCCCCCCCGGGCAGAAATTAAAGCAGAAAAGGGACGGGGGTGGAAACTTTCCCCCCCGGGCAGAAATTAAAGCAGAAAAGGGACGGGGGTGGAAACTTTCCCCCCCGGGCAGAAATTAAAGCAGAAAAGGGACGGGGGTGGAAACTTTCCCCCCCGGGCAGAAATTAAAGCAGAAAAGGGACGGGGGTGGAAACTTTCCCCCGGGCAGAAATTAAAGCAGAAAAGGGACGGGGGTGGAAACTTTCCCCCCCGGGCAGAAATTAAAGCAGAAAAGGGACGGGGGTGGAAACTTTCCCCCCCGGGCAGAAATTAAAGCAGAAAAGGGACGGGGGTGGAAACTTTCCCCCCCGGGCAGAAATTAAAGCAGAAAAGGGACGGGGGTGGAAACTTTCCCCCCCGGGCAGAAATTAAAGCAGAAAAGGGACGGGGGTGGAAACTTTCCCCCCCGGGCAGAAATTAAAGCAGAAAAGGGACGGGGGTGGAAACTTTCCCCCGGGCAGAAATTAAAGCAGAAAAGGGACGGGGGTGGAAACTTTCCCCCCCGGGCAGAAATTAAAGCAGAAAAGGGACGGGGGTGGAAACTTTCCCCCCCGGGCAGAAATTAAAGCAGAAAAGGGACGGGGGTGGAAACTTTCCCCCCCGGGCAGAAATTGAAGCAGAAAAGGGCCGGGGGTGGAAACTTTCCCCCGGGCAGAAATTGAAGCAGAAAAGGGACGGGGGTGGAAACTTTCCCCCCGGGCAGAAATTGAAGCAGAAAAGGGACGGGGGTGCTCGGAAGGAGGTTGCTCGGAAGAAGTTGCTGCGACAAGAAAACGCTGATAGTGGGGGTTTTGTTTGTTTTGTTGTTTCCAATCTCGTTCCCAAATGCAAGTAAGTAGGCCATTAAGGCGCCTTCGAATCCGGTTTAGAAGGTTTCGAATCTTGCGCCAAAAATGGCTCGCTATGAAAGGAGGAAGAGCGCTCAATAGGTTTTCACTTCTTGCACGTTTTCAAAATGTGCAAGGAGTGAAACGAAAAGAAGAAAAGCGGCAACGTTAATTATTTTCGGAACCTAGTGCGGAGCAACGTGGCCTGGCTTAGTTTTTTTGTTGGACTGTCGGGCTGAGATTTCAAACTGGTACCCATTTGCAATCCTAGGCCGAGAATCGGAAAAAATTCATTCAAGAACTTGACCAAACACGCCTAAGGAACCAACTAAATTAAGCCGGTCTTTGCTCTCCCTTCGAACCACTTGAGCCAGCCATCTTCCACAAGAACCACAGGAACCACAGGAGCCGGTAGCAATGAAATAAATTCACAGTCTATAACTAAGGGGAATGTTGAACAACCGGACTAAACTACTGTGGCGATAATAGAGCGTGGGCGCGTTAGGCTCTTGAATCGAAAGTAAAACGAAAACTTAAGGGTAAGGGTATCGACCGTGTTCTTATCCTTATTTGGAAGTATATTTATATGTACCTATCCAAGGCTCTAAAAAACGTTGCAGGGCAGAGGCGTTCACTCAGCGACGGTCATAGACCCCCTGTGATTCGAGGTGGAAATCACTCTTGTTCTCTCCTGTCTCACGGATCAAGATCTGCTTTAGCAAAATAGGAAACAAGTACTTAGTGTTAGTCTTAGAATCAGATCCGGATCTCAAGAACCCATGACCACCTGCTCGGACATGCTGATCGCCGTTTCTCTCGGCCGTGATTTCCTCGTCAAATAACTACCGGGGCCAGGCACAACATTACGTACTGGCTTCTTAATACTAATAGGACTTCGCTCATTCTCACATTACTGAGAGTGAAAGACATTGTCCTATTTCAACATACTATCATGTCATCCTCATCTTTCTCTCTGGATACTGCGAACACCCAATCGCCTCGCTGGTCTCTCAAGTTTGCAGACCGAAGTGCCCGTTGTAAAGGCGAACACCTACACCATGTGAATAGATACGAGTGCGTTCAAAAATTAACAAAAAAAGAACAAGTCCAAACAACTATCAGTATCAGACACTAGAGTAGCGATAGACAGTCCGGTGATAGACGTAGGGGTGTACGCCGAATGGGGATGAGTTAGATTTCGCTCATGCAGGTCCTCTATCAACTCTTTAGTTCACTGGCATTGTTAGCTCATCCCCCAGGAACATTGATACAACAGCGAGACAACGCAGAGTGATGATGAGGTTGAGAAGCATCGAATAGGTGAGACCTTCAGTATCCAGGATGTACGCCGGCAAGCGGAGGAGAATAGCAGCTACAAAACTCATGCCAGCTTTTGGTGCATACTCGTCGACTAGCTTGGCGAGAACGTCTTCCTGCATAATTATCTCCCACTTCGTTTTCCCACGGGCATTGGCACTCGAAGATAAATTTGCATCGCCCAGGATCTGTATAGGTTTTTTCCCTTTCCGACTGTCCTTGAGGGCTTCCAAAGCCCGTTGACAAGACGATAAAAGTTGTGTTGTCAAGTAGCACTACACTTGCTGATTCACTACAGTTGTCATCTTCTTCCGATGAAAATCACTTTCACAAGTAGAGGATAGACAGTCGACGTATAAAACACGACACTCGGAAAAACTGTACCTTCTTCCTCCGTTTTTTTGCCGCTGCCGAGTCGAGGAAGAGCTGCATGCTAGTGACAATGAACATGTCGAAGAGGAATCCAAAAACGAAGAAAATATGTCGAAAGTAGAGCCAAGAACCGTACTGCTTCCACGCTTCTGCCCACTGCAGAGCGTCAGCGTCAATCACTCCGTCTGCGCGCCGGTCCGGTTTCGGGTCACACTGGATCTCCAAATTTTAGAAAAAGCAGAACAATATGTTAATCTTTTAGTAGGCGAACTAGTGAAAGACGTCTATGCCTCACTACCACGAAAATCAAAATACTCATGATGAAGGATGCCTAGAATTTGAATTTTCAAACCACGTCATAAAGCTCATGAAAGCTCACTCGTCTCGTAGTACCCACGATATTTACCTCCCAGCGGTCACCATCAGTACTGTCTGGCCGCTTCGAAAGGAGCAAGATCTTTGCACCAGCGTGCACAATTGACGTTCCAATGTCTTTCGCGACATGGCTTTTACAAATATTCCCCGGAACATAGCCTTGAGGAGATGAGTAGATTTCTTTAGATCATGGATAATAGATCCGAATCCAGTTTTTGTGTCCTTTCGGTTTGCGTACCATAGCAAACGTCAAAAAAACGTTTCAATCAATCGCATTAGCTTTTTTCCGGAAAGAACTTCAACAGCATTTCAGATAATTCGTTGCACTTGCAGTTACAGTACCAGCGGATTCTTGAAGTACTAGTAGTACCTTTCTGAATTTTTTGTTTCTCCAAGTCCTCCGCTTTTCTTCGCGACAGCGTGGTTTCGTCGATTTTCTCGGTATCGTCCGGCGTAAGACCCAATTTCTGGTCTAGAAGATCCACGATCACGTTCAAGTCATTGGTTAAAACTTTAAGCGAGCGCTTGATATCTTGAATTACGCTTGTATCGAATTCGAGCTTATCGGGTAATGGCCGCGGCCCAACGTGCTCTGCAGCAGCCGCTGCCGCTCGACTGGCCGCCTGTTGCTGTCGTATTCGCTCTGATTCTAGTTGCTGTGGCTGTCTTCTATCCACAACCGGCTTGCGGCGTCCCCCCGGCTGGCCACATACTGGAAGCACCACATTACGCGTTGCTGCAACGATCAAGGTAAGCACCAACTGCAGCCTCGAATGCGAGTGCCGACGTCGAGATCCCTCCGGTACTAGTGGCAAAGGAAACCTGGGAAGCCCTTTTGAATCTTCTTGCATCTTTTTTCGTACGTCTGTGCTTCGACGGCATCAGTGAGGACGCTGATACTCACGGAATAGATGCTTCCACCCAGAGCCCGGCGTCATCACCACAGAGGGCTGTCGCCCCCCCTCAGCAGGTCCAGGTCGTGGTTGTCAACGTCTAGCCGGACTATGCGGTATCCTTTTTTTCATTGATCAATCTGAAATTGAATCTAGCGACTCAGTTCATTTTTGGAAACGAAAACTTTGTATTTTAATTTTTTTCGTTACAAATAATCCAAAAGATGCTGCATGCTTTTTTTTATTATGACAGGCTAACTACAAGTATATTTCTCAAGTTTGTAACCCTCTCACTTCTTTGTCAACCTTACTCGACCACAACTCCTGCAGTGCTCCTACTCGGTTCATCGCTTTCCCTGCACATGCACATCATATTTATTCTATCTTTATTAATGACCGGCAAAAGTCGAGGTCTGACGTCAGGGTTTTAAGGGCGAGCAAGGAGAACCACAAGGGGCACAAATCAACGGGCCAGGACTCTCAGAGTTTTAAGGGGAAAGCCAGGGAATCCCAGGGTTCCCAGGCAGGGAGGGCTAAATCGCGGTCGGGTCAGGGTTTGGCATCTCAGGGGTTGCAAAAAGGGGCACAAAAGTCAGGATCCAGTTCTCAGGGTTTTGCAGGCACAAACGGCGTCAGGGTTTGGCATCTCAGGGTTTGGCATCTCAGGGTTTGGCATCTCAGGGTTTGGCATCTCAGGGCTTGGCATCTCAGGGCTTGGCATCTCAGGGTTTGGCATCTCAGGGGTTGCTTCCCGCCTCAGAGTGGCGCAGTGTCAGGGTTTAGCGCCTCAGAGTTTCGGCATGTCAGGGCTTCCCGCCTCAGAGTTGCGCCAGGTCAGGGTTTAGCGCCTCAGAGTTTCGCGCCTCGGAGTTTCGGCAGGTCAGGGCTTTCCGCCTCAAAGTTGCGCCACGCCAGGGTTTAGCGCCTCAGAGTTTCGCGCCTCAGAGTTTCGGGATGTCAAGGTTTCCCGCCTTAGACTCCCGCCAGGTCAGGGGTTAGCGCCTCAGAGTTTCGAAGGGCAGAGTTTCCGCGTCTCAGAGTTGCGCCAGGTCAGGGTTTAGCACCTCAGAGGTTCGCGCCTCAAAGTTTCGGCATCGCAGGGTTTAGCGCCTCAGAGTGTCGCGCCTCTGAGTTTCCGCATGTCAGTCAGGGCTTCCCGCCTCAGAGTTGCGCCAGGTCAGGGCTTCGCGCCTCAGAGTTTCGCCACGTCAGGGCCTTCCGCCTCAAAGTTGCGCCAGGTCAGGGTTTAGCGCCTCTGAGTTTCGGGATGTCAAGGGTGCCCGCCTTAGAGTTCCCCCAGGTCAGGGTTTAGCGCCTCAGAGTTTCGCGGGTCAGGGTTTTCACGTCTCAGGGTTTCCCGCCTCAGAGTTGCGCCAGCCAGGGTCTCCCGCCTCAGAGTTTCGCGGGTCAGGGTTTTCGCGTCTCAAGGTTTCCCGCCTCAGAGTTGCGCCAGCCAGGGTTTCCCGCCTCAGAGTTTCGCGCCTCAGAGTTTCGGCAAGTCAGGGCTTCCCGCCTCAGAGTTGCGCCAGGGCAGGGCTTTGCGCCTCAGAGTTCCCCGCCTCAGAGTTGCGCCAGGTCAGGGTTTAGCGCCTCAGAGTTTTGCGCCTCAGTCTTTTGCCGTTTCAGGGTTTCCCGCCTCCGAGTTGCTTAATGTCGGCGCTTCGCGCCTCAGAGTTTCGCGCCTCAGAGTTTCGGGATGTCAGGGCTTCCCGCCTCGGAGTTGCGCAATGCCAGGGCTTCGCGCCTCAGAGTTTCGCACCTCAGAGTTTCGGCATGTCTGGGCTTCCTGCCTCAGAGTTTCGGCGGGTCACAGTTTCGGCGTGTGACACTGTTTCACCGAGTCGCGAAGACGTTAGCGGGCTCTAACGCGGCCGCCAGCTGCGTTTGGGCCGTCTAACGTCAGGCCCGCAAAGGGGCCCGAATGGGCTCGCGTACCGGGGGGAGGTCGCCCGCGGTACGGTGAGCCGGAGGCTGGAGACTCCTTTTCCTTCCCGTCCTGTTTTCCTTCGCTCACGGTCTCTCTCTCTCCTGCTCCTAGCAGCTCCTTCTCCCTCCTTCACCTTTCCATCCTCTCGGACCGCTAAACACACGGGAAACGACTAGTCTCGACATAAAGATCCTTCATGTCATTGTACCTGCAACCAGAATCATCTCGTATGCTCTCTCACATCTGCGAACAACTCTAAAGAAGTAGACCAATTCTGAAGATTATCAAATTTTGCCATACGCAGTTCTTTTTCTCTGCTTCTTGTTATCGTGATCGTCGTTATCACCACGCTAAAATAAGACGACGACGGTACGTATCCACATCGGCTTTTAACAGAACTCGCTTGCTTTAAACAGGAAGATTATAAAGGGGTTGCGAATCGTCCGGTCAGAACCGGGGAATATAAGACCACTTAGACGTTCATCGAGTTGCTTCAGCACATAATCGTAAGCAAAAGTACATCCTTGACGTTGGCGTCCAGTCCCAGTTCCATCAGTCCAAAAATACTTGAGTACTTTTACTAATCCGATCTTCACGTATCCAGGAAGTTTGACATCACGGACCACCCAAACTAGTAATACACGAAGCATACCCACTAGACGTGAACAGAGGTCGCGCGAAGACACACTGCCGCACGTTTCAAGACACTTTACCTCGACCATAGAAATGGCTATATTTGTACCACTCACACTCATTTCTCGTAAAGCATTATTCTAAACCTTAATGTTGTCGCCAATTTGAAAATCGATGCGCACAGTCTATTATACACGATAAACGATGAGGCGCCTTTGCCATTCCTTCAAGTATTTTCCACTGACCGAGAAGTCCTGTTTCTCAGATAAGCAAACAGGATAGCCTGAAAGAACGTACCCTACCTGCTTGAAAAGAGTTCGCTTTTTCACGCCCCACTGCCTGGCAGTGGCACTAACATTACTTATAATATATCTATTAATACATAGATCATACTTCGTTGGAGCTCGCGGCCATTGGAATTGAAAGCCAACTTCGTCCTTTTTGCTGCAGAAAGATGTCGTGCTTATCATGATCACTATGTATTTATACGTACCAAAAAAAAGAAAAGCGTAAGAATCAATTCCCTTCTGCGCGAGCGAGTCTGGCTGTTCTTGCTGAATACGAAGACATAGTAGGTTGCGCCTGTTTATTAGTCTGATTGTTTAGAGTTGTTCACGAAATAACTTGCTTCGCGACCGTAGTGTGAGTCTGAGTCATCTCTTGTCCTTGACCAAAAACCCAAGTGACTCGATTTCTTCGGCTACTACTCCCTTATCCTCAATGTGGCCGATCGTACAGTCCACGCGCTGCGTCGCATAGGAGACACTGTGAACCTGTCTCACACAGTTCAAAGCCTCCAAAGCATTCCGTACAGTCCGTTCGCAGTTACCACAGGTCATGCCGCGTACACCGATGACCACGCGTTCCTCGTCGCCAGGCACTCGCTTACTGCTAGTCGCTGCGGCGCTTCGATTCGCAGCCGCTGACGAGGAAGCACCGAAGATCGGAGCTGCGTGATCAGCCGACAAAAACGCCTGCCGTAAAGAATTGTGGTCCTGGGTGTGGTCATTGCCAACAAACCGTCATGTTGTTGACCGCGAGTCACCCAAGTTAGGAATAAAGAATCCAGAAAAAAACACGACGAAGGAACATTCACTTATAAAGAGGACTGAAAGAGAAACAAAGTTAAAGTTTTTCTCCAAGTCGAAAAAAATAAATGGTAATATTTCTATTTGCATTATACCTCCTGGTCCTCTGCTCCTTCTAAAGTGTTGCGATTTTCCTGTTCCTGCAAAGCAAAGAGAGTTTGACGCAAGGTCTGGGGATTGTTGCGTCCGGCGCAACATGCTGTTACACTCTCACCTACAGGCGCTTGACTGTTGAAGGCAAAATGCCCGATGCCCAGGCCGATGATCACAGCAAGGAACAGCTCAACGCTGTAAGTCATTGTAATCAACATGACCAAATAGCCGATAAACATATTTCCGGCGAAAAGAGAGACCTGAATTTTTGCGTAGATAAGTGGATTGAAGGTAAGATGTTGGACAGCCGACAGTGGTTCGAGTGGCGGAATCATGATAGTACAGTGGCGCAAAGTACTAACCACTTACTTACCTTGTTTTTATCTTTATCCAGCAAAGCAAAGAATATTGTCATCTCCCAGTATCAATAGAATCTCGTACCTTATACGCTTTTCCTTTGAAAGTGCGCAGATCAGGGTCAGCGTTTCTGCGGACAGAGACTACGAATTCGGTTGCAATTCCGAAAGAGACGATGAAGAGAAATCCGAGAAGAAACTTCCACCAAGAATCTAGTAAAAGGCTCTGGTGGAAAAGCATCATGCACTCCGCGACCTCGGAGGAAAAGATCGACTTGAAGCCCATCATGTGCATGTCCGTCGCGCCTCTGCAGAAAGGCACCGCTCTGGGCGTTCGTTTCCCAGTAGCACTTCCTTGCTGGTTCGCCGCTGGTGCTCCTGATGGACTCTGTTTACTCGAAGATGCAGCTGGATATTCTTTACCTGGTTGTGCCGCTGCTACCTCCTCTCCAGCACCTGGTTGCTGACCCTCACCAGGATTCGCAGGCACGGGGTCGCCCTGTTGCGCAGCTTCATCGGGGTTCGGACCCTGAAGTCGACTTGACGTGATTCGGCAGTCAACGGCCGCTCCTGCTCGAGGAGCCTGGGTGAACGGATTGTCCCTTTTGTTCGTCTGGCATTGCAACACACAACTATGACCATTACGGCATTGGTGGTACGGCGCCGTCTGATAAACGCACTGTAAGTCCCTCGGTGCGCATTCGCCGAGGCTTGTTTCGCCGTTAGGAATGTTTGGGTCGTCACCAACGTAAGAGTACGAGCTGCCGATATCTGATCGCTGTGCTTCCAGCTGCTTGTGCCTATCGAAAGGGGCCTGCTTTACGTACATGCATCGATGCCAGCACCAGTAACCCCCATAACCGGAACAGGCACTGCGGAATCCTGCCTGTTCCTGCTCTTCTTCTTCGTCGACCACGTCTTCGGGGACAGGATTGTACATATTGCTAGCGTTCTCGTCGAATTCTTCGACAGCCGGTGGAGCTGCGTTCATCCGTGTCCCTATGACTACTGGCGCAGCCGGTGCCGCGTTTACCACGGAAGCTCTAGGCCCTGCAGTAGTGGCGGACAAGGATCGAACTGGTGCTTCAGCTGTACTGGCCGTGATCATACCGGCTCCATTTTCTTGGCGACGACCAGCACCTAGGAATGTTGTGCTTCTAAAAGCCCCATTGCTTTCTGACAACTGCTGGTTGAGCCATTCTGCGGTTGCATTCGCATCGCCATCGCGCGCCTCGAGACGAGCACGGCTGGCTCTGGCTGCTTTTTCATTTTCCTCTTGCTTCGCTCGGTGCTCTTTATGCCACTCCTCGAGTGCTAGCGCAGGACCACATGCGAGACTTTGCGCTGTCTCAAAGTCGCCACGCTTAATCATCTTACCCAGTTCTTCGAACAGTACTCTTTCGCGATGTCCTTCCCTACCAATATCGAAATTTGCTGGCGGCAAAAGCATCATACCGTACCAATGTCGAGATGCGAGAAGAGAGCCTCCAGGTGTACTAATCTCTGCAGGCTTATTTTGCTGCACGAAGAAGACACGGTGCGGGACAGCATGAACCTGTACGTTTCGCGCGACCCGCCAGTGATTGAAGCCCCGACCTCCCATGAAAAGAATACGGTCTAGATTATCCACTAAAATTCGCGGGCGACTTCCATCTGGTAGCTCAACCTCCATGATCGTATCTAGACTGTCAGACTCATGCACATTGGTCATAGCCAGAAGAAGGCCTGCGTCGACGTGCAGCGGGTGCACATCAGTATTCATACCTTCGAGGGCTTGTCCCGGATGGTCTTGTGACGTGCGCGAAATCACAGACGATTGAGCTCCTGCGTCGTGTGTGAGGCTATCCTGACCCTGTTGCTCTGGTCCTCGCACAGCAGCAGCGCTAGCGCTACTTCCACTCGCCTTTGCGAGACTCTCATTACCATCAGTTGACGAACTCGTTGCTGCCTCTGCTATCGAAACGGCTTCGACGCGATGAATGTGTTCCAAATGTTCTGCACTAAGCAGCAATTGGGTCAGCTGCGCGTCGCTTCTCTGCGGCTGGCGGCCGCCTCTTGACTCATCTTCGCGCTCGTTATCGACCTCATCCAATACTTCAACAAGTTTAAAAGTGGCCATTCGGATTACTTCTCGGAACCGTCGCATAGCGTCGTGAAAACCCGCACAGGCAGCTTTTGCTTCTCCATTTGGCCTTCGTGGAATGCCCTCAAAGGGCGCAAGGACTGCACCCGCTTGCATGGCTCCAGCTAGACTCTTTTTCTGAATTTTAATGTTCGTGTTCGAAGACATAGAGCTCGTCCCGGCTTCATCGCGATTGTGACCTACGGCAGCTGCTCCATCTTCAATTGTCCCCATCGAGGTTTTGCGTGTGGTACTGTGGGGCGCACATTTCTGAATCGCAGCAAAAGCTTTTTGCTTAATGTCGGCAAAGCCAGCAACAGTCACTGTCAGAAGCCCTTGTCTTTCTAGGATTTCAGCCACGTCTTTGCGTTTTTCGTGCAGCTCCTCATATCGGAAGTTCCTCAGAGGCATCAGCCACGCCGAATTCGATGTCGCTGATGCTGGTGACGAGACTCCTGGCGAAGAAGTCTCAACCTGAGATACAGTTGCACCAAACCAGAGGAGGGCCACAAGACACTGCGGCGCCAGTCGAGTCAACGACTTGCAAGACGGACGAGTGCCGTTCTCACTGAAGTTCAAACTAGCCAACATCTTTTGACGCAGCAGCTAGTTACGCGAAAAAATACAATCAAGTTTCGAAGTCGAGCTACTGCTGGTGATTCACATGGTGCGAACCGCAGAGCAACTCGACTACACTCAAAGAAACTGTAGCCAATTGCAATTCCCAACTCAGAGTTAGGCCTCCTCAACAAAGTGACGATACTACTCCATATGATAATCATGACCTGGCATAGAAGTCGGATATAATGGGATGACCGTAGAAAATTTCTGGCGTGTATCTACCGCCAATGATTGCCGGAGTAAATAGCGTGATTTGAAAGCCAAAATGAGGTTCATATCGTGCATGAGGGGAGAACGAGGGCACTCAATGTTGAGACAGCATAATTGACACTGGTAGACATTCTTAAGCCAGAAAAACCTTCAAAGACTCAGACTCATGTTCTTTGTCATCAAATGCGGACAATCGTAGCCCACGGAAATCTGTGGAGCTTGAAAACGGATGAAACTTGATGGAGATCAAACACAGTGTTAGTACCACGACAAATGAGAGACCTGCGAGCTTGCAATTAAAGAGCAAGGTTTATTGGTTCTGGATATGAATCAGTATTTCCTGGTTCGTTGACTCTATGGGAGGGAACACGGTGGCCTATCATCGAAACAGCCAGACACCAGAACGACAGCCGCAGTGGGAGCAAGGCTATATGACCAGGCCTATTGATTCCACCATTTCGTCTCAGCGTTCAATTTTCCAAAAGTGTGTATCAATAACTGCCCTATGCAGTTGCTATTCGACGAGCCCTAACTATTGTCAGACAGGTATGCACATGAAGATTTCATTGGTGACCGAATCTTTCAATTTCAAATGCCATGTTTGCTCTTGCATTGATTGCGTTAATTTTGGTTCCTGAACCTCTTCCAGCTTCAGTGACATCTTTAGCATGGATGACCAGAATAGGAATACGTTGTCGTGAAAGACGATACTATGGATGCGAGGAGAGTAGCAGTAGAAACACAATGTTTACAGTATAATATCGATCACGTCTATTTTTTTATGTACAGCATGGACTTGGACGGAGAACAATATAATATTTTCTATGTTGATATGATGGATGTACTAAAACAGAGTCAACGAAAACGAGGGTGGTGGTACCTTGCGGTGTAAGCAGGCGCTCGCTAACTACAGCTTTGCCGGATAAGCTCAAACCATGCAGCTATTTTGGCGTCTGTGTTCCCGCATTCTGTACGAGCCTGAGGATTATATTGTAATTATTGTTTTTGCTTAGAAGAAGGAACTGTAGAAGCCCGTACCAAGAATCAATGTCAAGGTAGGGCGCTGAAGATACAAAAGAATGTTTGACTTTCAATTACCTTGCTTATAGGTTAAGTAAGTATCATGATAGTGCGCTGGGAAATTGATTATATGGAAGTCACGTCGACAGTTGAAAATAATCTTCGTCATCTGGTTTTTAGTACATGGTTCGACTGTGGACGGGCTCTTCGGGTGCCACATCCGACTCTATACTTGGCATGGGATGCGGAACGCGTTCTGGCACTTTCAGGACATCTGCCAAACTTGGTAGGTCTTTAGCGGACTCAGCCAATTCCTCCATGCTAAGCGGTTTTTTCGGTGCCGTCGGCCCTCCTCGCTTCGTAGCCATATGCTTCTCCGAAAAATACTTGTACCTATTTATCAACATGAAGAATGAATCGGCAGTTTCTTTGTCCAGACAAAGAAAATGAAGACGGCAACGCATCGAAAACTACGACAAAAACATGCCGGCGACACACAGGTACTGTAACATATTTCAGACGTCATTCCAATATACTTTGTCTGGCGGGAAGAAAAAAAGTACGCGTAGACATCATTCCAGTGTAATTTGCCTGAGGTGATCCAGCACGTAGTATCTAGGAAGAAAAAAATACGCGTAGGTAGGCGCTGTCCGATTGCACTCCGCTCTTGCTTCCATAATTCGTTCATCAACAGTTTTCTTTGGCGCACGCGATTCCGGAGCCTTCTCTTCGCTTCCTTTCAGGACGAATTGCGCTAGAAGATGAGGAAATAGAAAATATAGTTTGACCAAATTTGTTTCTGCACGAGCACATACTACTTACAAAGAAAATGTGGAAGTTGTAACATTCATATCGATACTTATATGTCCGTGGAGGTCGACATCGACTAGCGAAAAGTAATGAGACTGACTCACGGGTAATAGAGGAAAGAGAAGCATTGAGGACATGTCTAGCTAAACAAAAGGGTAATACGTTTTGAGGCCTTCTCTTCTTCGTTGTACACTTTCCTGACTTCAACGTAGGTGGGAAATTTGATTATCTCGAAACCCTTTAGTATTCCGAGACTCTTTTTGTGATCGCCGGTGTGTATTTCCTTACCTGAATAGAAAACTATGCGATAAGAAAGCGAGTTGAAAACAAATGGAGAGGCAGATGAATCGAACAAAGACCTACTAGTCAAGCTTCACCGCGTCGCGGTCAATCAAGCCATCAGATTCAGATCGACGATGGATCATGAAGAGATGCGAGTTAGTAATAGTAGCAGTTACGACTAACCAAGCAGTTCTTTAGGTCCAGTCCAGCCCAACGAATACAGTACATTTCTCCAAGTATTTTTCCTCGCTGATGATCTTATCTGCATAGATCCGCTCCTGGCTTACCCTGTCGACGTAACTCGGAATACCAGGTAGTCCATACCGACCACCTTTTTCAGGCGGCGGCGAAGCATCTCCCATCCTCGTGTACTACAGAAACAGATACTTACAGCTGACCCCTTCTTCTTATACTTCACCTCCGACACCCTCTTGGACATGTAATCTTTAACAATCGATCGAAGTAATAAATGGTCCAACAACGGCATCAAACTAATACTAAACAAACCAGAATAACAGTTACCTTTGGTGAGGACCACGCGATGCTTCTTTTCACTGTCCTTAAAGAATATCAACGTCATGAACTTCTAGAGGTGTTGCTAATCAGAAAAAGAAACTATCTGTATCTATCATATCTTCGTATAAAATGCACAAAAAGGTACTATTTTACTGCGAAGATTGATGAGCCAATTTAGCGGAATTCAAGGTAAAACCATTACCATGGGGGTTCAACAGGGTGGTCGAATTCATCCTACGTTGGGGCAAGGAACAGACAGACGCCGTAACATGTTAGTGTCCCTTGTAGAGCATGTCAACCGAAGATAATGGAAAGTACACAGTACACACTGCCTCGTCCCTGAAAGATCACTGACGCTGCAGAGAATCACGGTTTACAGAACTGCCCACCGATGTTGGAATCCACATGCGGACGTAACTGGAAGAAGAACACGATCTTCTCTCAGTGGGATTCCCCACATCTTCTCGTGAATGTATAATTTCTAATGTTCATAGCCGAGCACTATGCGTGAACACTCTTGTTTACCCCGAGGCAAATCCAGCTCCATCCGCAGTGTAATTTTTGATTTATAAGTTGTATTGCGTACTGTGCACCAGCATCTGCACGCAACATTCATGATAATGTATGATATGTCTCTGAAAAAAACAGCGTTTTCAAGCGTCTCTCTACTTCTTCGATTTATGGAAAAAATAATCGGTTCATTATTGAAGGTACATGGTCATGGTCGGTTCGTAATTATCACTTCACCTGTGCACGACCGAAAGAATAGCATCGACAACATCATGTTCATCATCATTGTTTTTCATACTTATTCGTGCATTACATCACGTCGCGAAACAAGACGATCTACCTTCTGTAAATGACAATAACAGAAGCGCAACGTTGCCGGATAGAAACAAGGTCAGACAGAGGGAAGAACAACAGTTGCGTGACATGCAGATTTATAGCCTGATGCTGCAACAGGGTCGGTGCTTATGGCCACTGTTGTAAACATGAATGCTCTTCGTCCCGGGACCAGCACAAGAAAACTCAGCACAAAGACAAACGGACGGGACGCTGCCTTGCGCATAACAAGCATGCTATTGACTGTGTTTACACGCCGAGTGGAGCGCAGACATGCAGCTGGAACCATGCGACCGTAAGATTTGCAGAGAGTGAAAGGAACAGCTTTGATTTGCTAAGAAGTAGAAGAAAAGCCGCATGAATCATCCATGCAAATGAATGATGGAAAAAAGCGAAAATTGTGCGACAATGGGTGTCTAAAAAATGTGTAGCGAATACCCCAGGGAGGGATCAGGAGTTAGGATACCTACGATTACTCAAGGACAACAGGTAGTTGGAGACCAGCAAGGGAAGAACCTTTGTTACAGCTAGCTCCAGTTGGTTCTGCAAAAACCACAAAGTTTTTTCCGCGCAGCTAGGTTTGTCATGGTGTCTCTGCATGCATAACTGACAGGGACCGTGGCGCAAGCGTCAAGCAGGTGGACCTCGGACAAACACCGTTCAGACAGAGGACTCACTCCTGCTTTAGACCGGACGATGATGCATTTTTACGAAGGCCATCGGTTGAAGCACTTGCCACTCGCTTCGGTTGATTCGTGCTTTTCTTCGCCTTCGGCGCGAATAACCTGAGGTCCTTCGTCGCCCACCATTGCCCCACTGCGGACCGCTCGAGAGCGCGAGACAAGTACAGCCATACCGTTGTAAATAGGCACAGTGCGACCAGCCACGCAGAGGTTACTTGCAAGCTTTTCGCAATCGGCCACGGCGCTAGTGGCTGAGACATACAAAAGCCGAACTTTATGCCGATCAGCAACTCTGTTAACGCAGTTCCAAGCCCGAACCAAGCATACGTACCCAGTCGAACAACTGCTTCGTCAATCGCGAACATGTACACCTTAAAAAGTTTTGAAATCTCAGAAAATCAAATTCAATGTGTTCTCTATTTCTACTTTCCGAACTACCCGTTCAACAAATGAGTACTTAATTTCATATGTGTCTCTTCCTAGATAGCAATCTATACCTGTCTGCATGCGGGTAGGCACATCAGCGCCCAAAAGACGAGGCGGTAGATATTCAGCTTGTGCGGACTAGGAATTTCGAAGATGTTTTTGATAATAAACGCGTTCAATTCCACAATTTGGTTTACTAGAACCATCCCAATAATCACCATGTATCGCTTTCGCGTCTGGAGCGGGTCCCACCGAACTCTCAGCCAATCTCGTGGTCGCAGCATGTCTACAAGTGCTCTTCTTACTCGCGATTTTTTACTGCCCTCCCAAGAAATGAAAGACAAAAAACTAAAAAGACGTGGAGATGCCAGTGGAAATTAGGACTAAGTAGTTGTTTTTATCACTTCGTTCTTCGTCGTGCAGACAGTACAGTCGTGGTATGGCTAGATTTTATAATTCACAGAAATCAACAGACTACAATAGGTTGAGGTGATTCAGCTGAATCTCAAGGTTTACTCGACTTCGCGTACCACTCATAAAAAAAGTGTCCGCATGCCAATCGTAGGACTTGACCTCAAAATACTTGCAAACCTCGATGCCAAACCAGATTCCTAGACCGTTACAAATTAGCACATCGGCGATCCAACTATCCCACCAGCACTCGCTGAAATTTGGCAGTATGAAAGCAAAGAACTGTTCTGTAATCTCCCAGAAAACTGACATGATCCAGCACAGCGTGAAATTCCGGATAATAAGTCCTTTCGCTGCCCAGCCGAGAAAATGACATACCACGAAAACCTGAGATTTTAATGCTAGGATACTAGAGGATTACTCGTCATGTTAGAAACTGAAACTAGACGATCTAGGTAAAAGTATCAATCAAACATCTGCAACTAATTGGTCGAACTCCAATCTATGACTCACTATCAATGCACTACCAGTTAGAAAGAAGTCGCGAAATGCAAATGCAAACGATCAGATATAAACCGAGTTTTCAGAAAGGCAAGTAGCGTGTACGTCAAATTTCTCGCCTAGATTTTTCCACGTGAGGCTGCAGTCGCTCGCGTAGTCTGGGGAGTCGAGGAAAGAAAGAGTTACCCAAGGCAGGGGCTGGGGGTTCCATCTTTCGGGTGTCAGTTCATTCGGGTACAGCCATGCTAATGCTGCTCGCACCTGCTGGTATTCTGCGAAGAGAACGAACACGAGAGTCAGCCAGTAGATAAAACAAAGACCAAGCACGAGGCGCCAAACGAGCGGGTGCGGTCTCGTAAAGGGGCTGTCAGGAAAGGAAACCATAGCGACTGTGAGGATCAGCAGGCACCCACCACGATAGCCATTCCATATTGACTGCGCCGCGCGATTAGTCGTCTCAATTTCATGCTCATCCGCTTGCTTCGCGACCTTCGGTATACTGGATGACGCTCCTATCGAGGACTCTTGTTGTGCTTTTCTCGTAGCTGTCGCATGATTTAAGGCTATTGCGCGTCCCTGTGCGTCATAGTAGACCCTTGGATCCGGCTGAGTTCGCCAGGCGAAGTAGAACACGATTGCGAGTAGGACGACTAGCACACTGACACTCCTGGGCCTAGAAAAGAGTCGAAAGGACTCAACTTCGTGCTCCCATCTCCGCACTGGATGCCCTTCGTCGTGGTCCTCGTGCTCGTCTTCGTCCAATATGCTTGCATCGTGATGCGGTGGCTCACTCGATAATCTGAGACTGAGTCCATCAGCTCGTGCGCCATTCATCTTGCTCCCTCCTCCAAACAGGTTGGTTCCGTTCCCTGATCCAGCAGATGATGCAGAGGAACCACCGCTAGACATTAGGCCATCCAGTTGTCGTCCTTCGCCGCGGGAGGCAGACAGGGAAAGCCGGTACTCGCGGACTTCCCTTGCGTTGCTTGACAGCCCTGTTGACGAGGGAAGCGGACTTCCATCGACATCGTTTGACCGTGACCGCGCACGAGGTACAGGAGCGGAAGGCGACACCACACCAGAGCGCGTCGACAACGAAGTAGCACCTTGACTCTCCATAATGTACAACTAAGTGAACAATGAACGATGTTGAGAGTAGGCTAGATCTAGGTAGTTGCAAGCCATAAATAACGTTTTTGTGTTGCGCAGGTAAGTTTTACTCATTCATTTGAAATGCTGTCAACTCATATTCGTGTTCTAAACAATAATGCGAATACATTGATTGAGCAAGTTGAGAGGAGTCCTATATGATTACTCACAAAAGATGCTCTCACTCTCATGCGAAAATCGTGTTAACACAGTCACACTCACATAACGACAAACTAGAGGCTAATAACAATGGGGGTGGAGCTAGGGCTGCATTGCGCTTGCTATGTATAGTCCAAAAGCAACATGAGTGGGACGTGGAGAAAAACAATAGAAGAAAAAAGAGGCATGGGGAACTGGCCTCTGATAAGCATAGACGTGTATTCTGGATGAAGAGACGAAAATCGATTATGAGTAAGCATGACAGCACTTTTCGAAAGACGTAATTATATGCGTGTATGGAAGGCTTGAAACACTGGTGCGGGATCTCCATCCATCAAAATTGTGGGCATGTATGTTAAATCGATGCACGCCAAATTGTGAACACCATTTTCATTCAATAAATAGCAGCTCTAGCGGCTTCACGAAAGTACAACCGGACTCGTTGTCTACTCTGAACTTAAACGGGCAAGAGCCAACATCGGACACCGACCAGACTCAGCAGCATTATCTTCCCCCGTAAACAGGAAAAGATGGAGGTGGAAAGTTTTCTATCGCAAATAGGTCACGCCTATCAGGTTCAGTTACGTAATCTGTGATTGGCAGCATATTGGGTTGAGATCTTCTAAAGCAGGCATTGAGTGAGAGAGAGACAGGCTTTCTTTTTCGCTTATGACATGATCATGGACCTCGATAGGTGTATTTTGCCGGACCCTGTAGTCTGCGGGTTTGGCATGAATGACAAAATTCATATTGAAAGTATGTCAATATCTATGTATTATATGTGTCCCGTACGTGAGGAGTGCCAGTTTAGGGTTCATGAGTAGGGTCGGGCCCAAATATAATCGGGTCTGGATGGCACTTGTTACATGATGAGTAGAGGATGTATCTTCACGACTGCATGGATTGCAGTACTACCTTTTCGGTAGGTCTGATATGAATACTCGTCGAACCAAAAGCATTATAGAAGAACTCACTCGCTCTGTGTCGTGCTGATAATTCATCTTACGATTTCAGCAAATGCCGTGATCATGTGATCAAAGAACAAATCATAAAGATGACGCCACCACAATTTGCGCTAGTTGTATCGTACTATAGGCGGGCGCGCGAAAAGAGGCAAACGCGAACCAGCCTCGCATTTGCATTAGAATTAGATCTCTTCAATATAATTTTTATAGATACATATAATTTATCATTATCGCGTAGTGAAATACTACCTTACCTATCTTCGAGGATTAAGTGCTGTAGAGCCTATCTAGCTAATTGAAAGATGAAAGAAATTTTTCATATTCTCAAAGAGGGACATCAAATCTTTACTCTTCACAACAACCGAGCTTATCTCGGAATCGGGTGAAAGCTTGAAGTAATCGGGCCCTCAAAGGCATTCGCGCCTTGTGTTGGGTCTGGCGGGGCAGGCGGTTGGTGATCCACCGCCGCAGTCGATGATACTATCAGCTCTGCACACTCTCTGAGTTGCACAAGGACAGAGTCCTCAAGGTAGCGCCCTTCCAGAGCCTCAAAAGGTATTATCTCCTCGTCGCTCGGCACATAGTCGTCCAGACTCGATATGATGAACTGGTAAGGAGAAGGTAAATGCAGAAAAAACTGATGGAAAGTAGTAAGACATGCCAAGGGATTCGAGATCAGTTTCAGTCGTGTTCTTATTCATACCTTGGCGCAGAAAAAATATTAAAGTTGAAATTAAAAATTTTACTCAAAGTACTGTCCATGATTTCAAAAGCAAAATGTAGAACGGTAGTACCCTATCACCCGTAACTGAGGTGGCTGATGAGACTGTCGACGACAAACCGTGCGCATTGTCTAGCCTACTATCACCTCCGGTAACATCCTCGATAATGTTGCAAACAAACGCATCATCAAGTATGTTTTGCCCATGACTCGCTGCTTCTGTAGTCCTGTGATTATTAGCAGCAGTGACGGAGCTGCGTTGCTGAAACGTGGCGCCAAAGAATGGTAATGCTTGCTTTTTATTTGCGCCATCACCAGTCCGAAGGTAACTTAACCGATCTGGCTCTGCAGGAATGTCCAGGACCTCCTGCGGTTGTATCAGCAATTTACTGGTTCCACTGGTACCTGATACAAAGCCGCTCTTCACTACCGTTGTAACTACAGCTGTAGCTCCTGCCACCATCTCCTGTTGTGACAATCCATTGCCAGGCCCAGCAAACGCGTTAAAGTTCGTAGCATTGTTGGATGTGGTCCCGGGAGGCGCTCTCTGTTCGTGTTCGTCGTGGTCTAGGGCATTAGCTTTCATCTCTAGTCCGGTTTCCTCTCGGATAGCTGCTGGTCTCTCGCGACGTTTGGACGCTCGACTCAGGTGCGGCTGCATTCCCGTGCCCTGGTCGGGTGATGTGTATCGCCGAAGCGACGACCGTGAACTACTTGCGTTGGATGCGGTCACTGAACCCCCGTTAGAAGTAGCCGCGATTTGTCTGTGGGTAGAAGTACCAGCTCCAGCAGTCCCTAACACTTGATCATGACCCAATCGTCCATTTGTAGATGTAGAATCACCGGTAAGCAGATTCTTCCGTGAAGATGACAGATGCGGGTTTTGTTTCTGCGGATGCGCAACCATGTTGGAGACCGTTGATGTACTACTTAACCTGAGGCAAGACGTCGTAGTCTCTTGTTGATGCTCTGCAGTATTTCCGCTTTTCCTTAGTTTTGGCAACAGTTGTGCTGCCGGAGGCGAAATATGTCGTAGCCGTGAGACCAGGTTCGCTGTGCTTGATGTGGCTGTCGAAGTGCCGGCGGAACTACAATTATTACCGTGCTGGTTTTGCTGCAGCTGCGAATCCTGAGTGTGGCACGGATATTCGTTTTCTTTGTTAGAATCTTGAGCATGTTGATCTTGCTTCAGGTAGCGATTGGTCTTTGCTCTTGTGGTCGAGTTGGCAGACGCCGCGGTCGTTGCTGTGGAAGACGAAGCCAGAAGCTTCGAAATACCACCTGCTCTGGAGTCGCATTTTTCGCCGTCTGCATCCCGCGCCTGTAACCTCTCTTCACCGGGCGAGGAAGAGGACATGACATTTTTCACAGCTGTGCAACTAGTCGCGATTGTTCCTCCTGATCCGTCAACGTCTTCACGTCCTCTTGCTCCTGCCAACGAAGACGACGATGCCGACAAAATACTCGCAAGCTTAGTAACCCCACCGTGAGCGCCCCCTCCCGTCGCGACCCCCGCCTTACACGTCCATGCAGCGCCGGAAATGACTTTTTCTGAGGCCGCGCGAAGCATTCCATATGGACCTGCAGTACCCGAACTAGAAGGCAAAAGCGCCCCTCCCTTCCTTGAGTTGCTCACGACGCTGCTGTCACCCGAACCGATTCTTGAGGCCCCATCGGCTTTCGCAACAACATGCCGTTCATGCTGCTGTTTTCCGAGAGATGCACTACCAAAGCTACCAACTGATGGATTGCCGTGATGCCCGATTACGGTATTGGCTCCTCGGGCTCCTCCTATACTACTCCCCATTGCCGGCCCTGGTGACGTTGATGCGGCACCTCTTTGCACGTGCGTTTGAGCGCATCGCCTAGAGTGTCCGACTCCAGTACCTGCACTTGGTACAGCGGAACCATGATGCAGACCTGTCGCAGGTATGGTGGCAGCTCCATTGGCCAAAGTAGATTTGCTATGTGGTATTGTCGATCCGGCCACTGCATTGCTTGTGCCTCCTGAGAAATTCGACGCTAGCCCGAAGTTAGATGCCGAAGTACCCATCTGTTGATTTCCAGAACCGTAGGCTGGCGTTGTCGTCGTCACGCCCCGCTGAATTGCGAAGCCCGAAGCAGGGCGCTGACCACCTTCGACGACCGTTCGTGGTCTGGTTCGCTGCCGCGTCCCTGGCGGAGACGCGTAGCTTGCTCCTACCCGTGACGAGCCCGGTCGCGCACGAGAAAAAGGGGCTGCTAAGGTTGAAACGGACCTGCCATTGCCAGAAACTACATCCTGCTGCTCGTGCTGGGGACACGAACCCACATTACCAAAAGGGTAACCCGCTAATCCTGCTCCCGAAGCTCTGGTGGCTACAGCTGTAGTATTCCTAGTCGTCTGATATTGCTGGTGGTTGCTATACAACAGGGGAGCGCCTGTTGTCGTTCCACACGCAGTTCCGGCAGAGAGTGCGCTTCCACCGTAAGTAGAAGTCGTAGAGGAGGACCCGCTCGGAGCTAAGACCATCGAGCGCTTCTGGTGAATGGTGGCGTTAGAGGTGCGTGGGCGCGCGCCCGCTTCCGGCGAACGATGCTTCGAGGTCTCTCCTCGTGGCGGCGGCTGCCCCGACTGCCTCGGGCGGAAGGTGCTTCCGAATGCATGCACCGTCTCCTTGCTCGAACTCGGTCTGCTGTCCATGATTGTGATTGATGATTCGATTGATAACTGCAGTATGTGACCTATCTAGTGCAGACTTTGTGCCTGCCGAGACCCGACAAACGCAGTCCATATCAATTATTTTCTCAGCAACTTACTTTGTACTTCCAGAATAACACATTTGGATCTGGTTGGTCAGCACAAAGAACAGGATTTCCATCTTACCTTCCGTTCGCTGCGGGCGCAGGCATCGCTGGTGCCTTATTTTGCGAAGCCAGTATACTGGCGCGCGTGCGAGAGGAACCAAGTCGAGGATTTGTTTGTTGTGATAGCAAGGAGCTCGAGGTCGGAGATGTTTCCTTCCTTGCGTTCATCTGCAAGTTCGTCGTCTTTGAGGAGGAGCCCGCTTGCTGGCAGTGGCCTCCTGGCCTGGTTAAGAAATCTCGCTGATGAAACGCACCAGTCTTTGTCCGTCCATAGTCCATACCTCCACGCGTATGCGGGCTTTCGCCAGGTAGACTGTTATACAGAGACGGCGCAGCTGATGCTGGGCGCTCGCAACTCCTTCCACCCTGCTGAGCGTGAGAAGCATGTGGTTGGTCCGAGTTTGGAGCCATCGTGCCACCAACTACACTTCCTCCACCTGGATTCATCGCGGCGTTTGAAGAACGGAAAGACGCTTCGCTTAATGGCGAAGCGCTCGAATAATAGGTGAGAGTTGATCCGGGCACGTGAGTACTGCAAGTCGACATTGCTGGTGTGATAGCAAACGCAGGCTTCATTATCGCGCTTTTATCACTCGAAGAGCCACCGTTTCCGGATTTCGAGCCTCCCTCAGCCTCAGTGTCGTCCTCTACTCCCCTAGGATCGAGATGGCCGGGCAGCTCTGGTGGATCATCTGATGCCCCTCGGCAAGCCGCTGTATTCCCTGAAGACGGGCGATCGTAGTTGCTGCTTGTTCCACGATCAAGACCAGCGCTTGTCGTCTCTCCTGCTTCAGTATGCGCGGTTGGGATAGACGCAGCGGAGGCACAAAAAACTGGCTTTGTCGGTCTCGTCGCTAGCGACCCTGACGCTATGGAACGCGATACTGGCGAGCCACCCTGTTGATAGGCAGAACCGCGGCTAGCATATACTCGGTGCTCTCGAACACAAGTGGAAGATGATGAGGAGCTGGTCGCGCATCCCACATGAAAAGGAAACTAAAAAACCCAAGACATATCTATGCATACGGATATTTTCTCGTGTGTCTTGGTGATGGTAGTCGCTGAGACATCATTATATCATGGATTATCTATTTATATTATAAGTCTAAAAATGCTTAGGCTCCCTATGCTCATGCTAAAGCCTTTAATAGATAAATTTCATTGCGCGACACTGTGTTCCAACAAAGCACTGCTCCAAGGACAAGCCATAAAGACTCCCATTCGCTGCCGGGCTAGCACGTCGAGCTAGAGGCTCTAGCTTGAAGCTATTTGGCAGCGCTTTTGCTGTCGCTCGAGTTAAATCAACTGCAGTTTGAGTCAAAACTTCGTCTTTCTTCCGCAATACCGCGATGTCATCTTCGTACTGCTTCAAAGCGCCATTGAGGCGGCCCACGTCATCTAGTATGATTGAGCGTCGAAGATCATGTGTTCTCTGTTAATCATCCATGTTAACAGAAAGAACGCATCCGTCAGTACTAACTCCTCAATCTGGGTGGAAGTGCAATACCTGTCGCCAGTTGATAAGCAGCGACCATCGCAAGAAACATTAGTACCATCTTCAAAGTGCATTGCGGCGAATGCTTGAATCCAACGCTGCAGGTGCTCGATAAGTTGAAACGCGTCTCGTCCCAGCTTGTTTCGGAGAAAGATCTTGTCCCGTTCTATGAGGCCTGACATTTGGAAAAGGGTGCCAGGCTTCAGCAAATGTGGGCTGGCATCGATTGCAGCGGCTAGTTCGAACTGTTCGTGCTGCTGCTGCTGGTCCGAAGACTTTGTGCTATTGGAATTTCGGGGAGGCCGCTGCTCCTGCTCGTAGAGACCTGCTGGACTAGGCGAATTGCTGCAACTGTGCGCTGCAAGAAATGTGACGGGATTTAATAACGTTATGCCAGCCACGGACAGCTCTCATTAGCTAAACATCCCGGACTGAAGAAATTGAAGTACACAAATAAAATCATTCAAAAACTGTTTTCTGCCGGTGGAACTATTCTTTCATCTTCCATACTAGAATAACATGTTCATTTTGATCAAGTACATGCTTGTTGCTGCGGAACTTCTTTCATGCGCGTCAGGAGTTGTTGTGGATCTTTGAACAACTTGCGTGTGTATCCAGACCAATGCTCCTGGGTCAGCGTATTCGGATTAATGCGTGTGTTCAGAAAAAGGCCTACGAAGCACTCGATTAGCTTTCCGATAGCAGCACCGGAGTGCTGCTGCCACAGCTGCTGTTGCTCCAAACTGACCCGAAGAGCGACCCAAGCACAACGCGACGCACGTCGGCATTGCGCAAGCGCCGATGAGAGCTGGTGCTGCAGCGCTCGTCGCTGCTGTATCCGCCACTTTACCCGATATGCAGCGCTTGATATCTAAAACAAAGCGATCGGGTCAAGGTGAAGACATAAACCTTAACAAAAGTTTTAGAGATGCCAAACATATTACGGAATAAGAACATAGAAACAAATACTATGTATCTATAAATCTAGAGACATGATTGCGGTTGCACGATCACTCAATTCCTGGAAGTAGAATTTTCAACACTAGTTCCACGTAGCAATCTCCTGAGAACTTCTACCTTCTCAATTTCATCTTGGATTTCTTTTCGTCCCGCCTCGACTTTCCGTAAATGGACGTCCTTGTCCAGATCCGGTTGCGTCGCGCTTCTAAGCATTGTGTGACGAAGCAAAGATAATTGCCCTGGCTTCGTTTTATCTAGGCCGCACCTAGACAGTCGCTGGTATGAAGTCGCCAGCAATTTCGTTCCCGGGGAGCTGCAGTATCTCCTAGTACTAGCATCGTCGAATAGTACTGAGCATTGACCCAGGCAAGTAAAAAATTAACCTGGCAGAACGATCATATTGGATTTTTGATGTGCGTTTGAAGATCTGTTCTACTTATAACACCGCAGCATGTGTCTCAAACAACAAGCCTCATATTTGCGTAGTGAATCTTCTTTCTCGCTGGCTCTTCTGCTATTAATCAATCGAGGCAGGTGAGCGGGCACTTCAGCTAATCTCACATCTTAGGTGTAGGTTACTAGCAACTACTTATATATAACGGTAAATAAGTACCCATCTAATTTGCCAGAACATAAGCCCCTCATGTCAATGAATCCAAATCATGATCGAGACATAAAGAGATCACAGCCATGCCATAAATATGATCTTGATCTTCTGGCATTAGGATTGCCGTATGCATGCTGGCATCTTGATGAGCGCCCTGGTGATCTGTTCTCCCAGGAGAATGTGCTGTGCACAATCAAACAAGCCACGAGAAAGCGATTGGTGCAGAGAAGCTTGCTCATGCGCAAAGGCGCATTTTGTTTCGCAGAAGCCTTCTGAACAACACGCCACTGCTACTTCGAGAAGTAGAGCCTCTTGCACGTCGCCTTCTTAAGGCTTGGGACTTCCCTGTCTTTGTTGAAGACAATTGTAAACCAGTTTTCTTTTGCCTGACTTACAGTCATGTGCGAGAGCTCATAATGCTCATAGAGACTTATTGCCGAAGCGCATCCGGAACGATCAATTGTGTAAGTGTAGATGAAAATGAAGGATGTGAACGCTTTACCTAGAAAGTCGTTGCGTTGATACTACTGGTCTATTGAAGCGATCATAAGAAAATATTGAGAATCTTTGCACGTTTCTTTTCATTACTGTGCGCAGTCTAAGAATATTTCTTTCAAAGATGTTTTCTATAATTGTTGCGCCTGCATTCTTTTCTTTTGAGTAGCGGTTTTCAATTTCATTCACGTTCATTAAATTTTTCATGACAAACTCAGAAAAACCGTAGGATGAAGTAGATAGTCGTTTTCGTTGTTATTTCATTGATGTGAAATTGGAGTTGGAACAATCGGTGAAATGTCACTCTTCGCAATTATTTGCTATCTGTTATGTCATTTCACGCAATGGGCCTAAAAAAGTTCTAAGTTGTTCGAATATGTCGAGAGTGTGTAGTCTATCTTTTTCGAGTGTGTGATGGTGCAGATACGAGCTTCATGAAAGGCGTGTTTGCGTATACGCCCACACTTGCACCACACACGTTCTCGTAAATTTCAGTGTCGCAGGACCCGCTGCATGAAGTAGTTCGACGGAGGCGCCGCAGGCTGACGCTGAGGACTGGGGCGTGTTGAGAGTGGTCCAGACGGATGAGGAAGCTGATGTCCAGCAGTTGCCAAATATTCGGATGCAGGCACGGAGTTCATTTGTTGTTCGTATTGTCGATCTCCGCCTCTTCCTGAAGAAGTAGAAGATGATGAATGATCAGGTTGTATGTAATAAGTCTTCTGTTCAACAGGAGGGCCGCCTCCGTGATAATCGTCGGTAGCAGGCGGTCGAGCTCCATGCTGATGTCGGTGTTTTATAGCTTGCTTGTTGAAAAAAAGGTTAGACTTCGAGTTGATGCTTGTGTTGATGCTAGTCGCACAGTCTAGAGCAAAGTCATCTTGCTCAAGAATTACCGCGGTCTTGGTACTTGAGGGAACGCCAACAACGCCAGTCGTGTTCAGAACACTTGATCCAGTACCTCCGTTTGTACTACTTCTGGTTCTGGTAGTGCTAGCTGCAGTAACTGCTGCACGCTGTGCTTGCCCTGGAGCAGGTGCTGCACCTCCAGAAAAAGATGAACTTGCTACGGTTGCACTCGTCGTGCTTGGACTACTTGCTGTTGGGAGCGTTACCGTTTTTACGCCTGCAGTGGCGATCGGTGCAGGAGAGAGAAGAAAGTTCTTCTGTGGAGCAATCTGAATCTGCCGAGGCGGAGTCCCTTGCCACGAAAAGAGCCTGGGTCGCGTTGACGAAGACGAAGTGGAACTAGAGGCTGTTGAAGGAACGCGAGTACTTGTCTGATTGGTCGGCAACATTGTATTTATTGAGTTAGCAACACCACTTGTCGTAGTTCCTTGTTGTCGAGGTTGTTGTGACGACATCGACATGACCGGTCTCCCAAGTGATGGACTAGCATTGACGTAAGGCCGCTGTGCTGCTGGTGTCGGACTACTCACGACATGGCTCTTTAAAGATGCACATGATGATGCAGAGGTCGACTCAGCCTCACCCACTGAACCAGACATTGTTTTCGGCCCCCGCTCGGACAGTGAACCGCCGTAAGTACTCGTCGGTGTCACAACGACCTTCACTCGCTTTTTCGCGTTCTGATCGGCTGTCGTAACCTGTGCCCCCCCAGCAGGCACCGCTCGATACCCACTGAGCACTGGTGGCGAACGCGCCCGTGCGGCTGCGGCAACCTATTCAAATATATAATTTAGTAGAACTCGTACGAACCTAGATTGTGCTATGCAAATGAAGACTGCCAGAAGATCATTGAAGCAGATAATACAGCAGACAATGTCTACTTACCTTTAGTTCCTCCTGAACATTTGAAATGTACTCCTGTTTGATCACTTTATTGAATCTTATCTTCGCTACTACCGCGCTTGATTCCGTGGGCCCCCGTCGGATCGTCTCCGATGCCCCACCATCCGAATCTGATGGCGTTTGATCACACGTAACATATGCTGGTGAAGAACCGCCTGTCTGCTTCTGAGTGTGATTTCGTCAGAAATTTCTCTATCTAATATTAGTCATACTCATACATGTTGATATCCTTCTGTATGATAAGCCATCGATTACTAAGTAGACGATCTACGAAACTGCATTAAAAAAAGATGTAAATTGCAGCATTTTCCTGCCGGTTTTGTGCCTGTCCTCGAAACAAAGCTGTCAACTCATTTTAAAAAACATTTTGATGATTTTTCTTTTTGATACTGAAGAGCCACCGCTTTGCTTTCCTCGCTCCGCAGCTGTTGTATCTTCCTCCTCAGGTAGCAAGGACAGCTCTGCTTTTGCCCGCAGCTTCTCGTGCGCCATAGCATTGGCAAAAACACGATCGACAATTTTCGACACGAGAGCACCTTCTCGCCTCCCGAGTGTTTCCTGCAAATGACAGAACATAAACATGGTCGTCGTGTTCGATTTTCACGCAAACAACCCATGCCAGAATATCAAAATCAAATGTACACAAATCTAGAAGTGCACGTGCATTTCATTCATGGATCACAATCTGGTAGTACCTTGTTTCGTCCGGCGCTCGCTGATCGGTTGGCTAGCTCTCTGATGGTGCGCTCTTGTTCCTGCTGCACCTGCGAGCGACGTTCACGAGACGCAAATCCTTGCTGGTATAGACGCTCCCCGACAGCAGCCGCCGTCACACGTCTTCCGAGAGAACCAGACCGACTCCGTCCTCGAGCACCTTTTTTGCGCTGCTGAACGGCGCCGCCGCTTGGAGGCCGAATACCTGCATATGCAGTATTCATGGGAATGATGCTAAATGTAAGAATGTGCCGGTTTCCCAGCATTACTTCCTGGAATCAGCTAAATTTGGAGTTGCGCTCGTGGTTTCGAACTAAGTATTGAAAAACTTGCACCAGCACTGGTGCTCCCAGCGGACGGGGCGACGAATCCGCTATCGCGACCAGGGACGCCAGAAGTATAGCTTGTCACATCGTGTGAGGATGCCGATCTCTTGCGTCTTCCGGCATCGCGATAAAGCCGCTCCGCGGCGCGCTGACCAGCTACAGGTACGGCACCTCCCCGTGCATTGACTCCCTGCTTCGCTGGAGCACGTTCGCGTTCTCGGCGCTGTACTTCCAGCTCGTGCTTCTTTGCCACATCTTTCTGCGCCGTTTGCCAAAGCCTGTTATAGACCTCTTTTGCTTCATACACGGTCAGCTTCCGAGGCTCCTTCTTCTTTTCGCTATTCAGGTCTCCTAAAATGTGACCGCAGTTATCCTCCAGGTGGGATAAGAGTGCCTCACCATCGTAGAGGCACTCGGGAACTCTCTCGCAAGCCGAGTCCTTACTTGCTGGAAGCTTCGAGAAAATCTGTGCAACGCCAGCACTTGTAGAAACCAACGGCGTACCCTCCTGAGAAGTGGATTGAGCATTTTCTAACTGACCGCCAAGCCGCAGCTGCCGCACACGGTAGCCCGCGCTACCATGAGTCCCGAACGAACCAGCTACGCCGCCTTCAGATGAGGGCGGGGAGGACAAACCTGTGACCGGAACCACAGCTCTTCTTCTGGCATGCTCTACGTCCTGACTACTTGACCCGCCAGCGTTCTTTGCGCCCGTGCTACTTTCCTGGTTTTCCACGTAGAAGGAAAAGCTCTCACTCCCGCGGCTACCATCGACATCCTGGCTTTGGTAAGAAGCACTGTCCAAAGGAGGCGTCGATGTCGATGTCTGTCGTTGCTGTATAGAGGACGACTCTTTCGATCCTGCTGCTGTCTCGAAGGATTTCAGCCGACGCAGCTCTAGTAGTTGCTCGTGCAGTGACGGAGGCTCGTATGGTAACTTTCGATCTAGCCGAGGCACCTCTTCATTGTCACTCAGCTCAGCTTCTGCATCTCCTACCCCATCCTCGGCATCATTTGCCACGTCCTCAGGGTCTTCTTGCCGAGAACTCCTGCTGAAGTCCTGACCCTCCACCTCCTCGTCGTACAATTCTTGCTCCTTACTATCTACGCAATCTTCCACTGCGTCTCCTGCATATTCCTCATGCACACTCTCGTCGTGCAGTGAGTCCTCCTCCTCGTCGTCTTCGACATGAGATGGAGCGCTCATACTCAGCAGTTGTGCCTCTGTGTCTTCCATTTTTGCGCCTGCCCGCTGTGCGGGCGACTCGCCGATAATATCCCGCGCAACGTCCTCAGATATTCCGAACTCGTGCTCATGTAGATGGTAGTCAGGAACGGCACCGGACGAATTGCAACTTGCGATACTAAACTCCTCTGGGCCGTCTGCTCGTTCATCTCCTTGAGCGAAAACCGTAGCGGGTATTCTTGCTCGTATCGTACCTCCAAGATGTTGAAGAGTATTCGCAAGATGATGGTGAACCTCTTCAGCACTTGTTCTTGCAAGATGATTACTATCTTGTCTTTGTGGTTCAGGATCACTTCGGTTGCTGTTCTGATGGGACCAGCTTACCAGGTTGCCAGTACTCTTACTCGAAGTGGCTGAGCCGCTGTTCGCCGTCACTTCTGCGTCTGAGACGGGTACTGAAGGACCGTCTCGACTCGCTATTCTTTCCGGTGTACAAATAAAATGCTCCACACTCGCGTGCCGCGACACTGGTGAGCTGTGGTCGACAACTATTCCTATGTTGGGTGGCAGTCCTGACGTACTGCTTGTTCCGCTAAACGCTCCTGTGAGATTGTTAAGACCCGTGTAAACTGGCGGCTTTTTCTTGTCCGCAGCTTTCGTTTTCTCTGGACTCAGCCGTTCCTCAAGGTGCAATGCCCGCCATCGTACAAGAAACCGACTACAAACTTGTTCTAGGACACACCGTGCAACCTGCGGTTGATAGAGAACTACAGGTAAAAAATGTCAGACAACACGAAGCTGAGAGCCGATTTCCAGAATGAATCGTCGTACGACTAGAGCTTTTTTTATACGAATGTTGTATCCTAGTTCGACCAAAATTGTCTTGTCAAAAGAAACCTTTGCTTTGGCTGACTTTCGTCATCGTTGGGACGGCTGGTAGGCACAAAAAAAACTATGATGAGGAACCTTCTGAAGTAGATTCTGGACTTTGGGTTCCACTTCAGCACTTGACTTGCCTGGATTGTTCAAGATCGTCAAAAGTGCCAACCCTTCATGAGAATAGATCGGGCTGTCCAATAACGGCTTCAGAGCCCACTTCACCTGGTCAACGGCTCGAAGATCTTCGTGTTGAGAAGAGGATAAAGATGCAACGGTCGGCATTTTTTTTGAATCTAAGATGACGAAATCAAATCAATAAATCATCAATTTTCATCACTTAGTGGAGCTGATCATTTGGCTTTTGATAGCATTAGCAGCTATTTCTATAACGAAAGTGGTCGGCATGTGTCCAACTTCATAGAAAAAACGACGTAGATAATGGTGCTCCATCACTTAGAAAGGATTAGAAGGGTGCCTTCGTTTTCCTTGGTTATCCTCTGAAATTTTTGCCGCTACAATTTGAATTTTCTCAGTTCATCAGCGTCATAAACCTTGCACCGTGGCTTTTCAGTATGATAATCATTAAGCATCAGTGGTCGTCTGTCCCTCGACTTTTCGCAACCAATTTCGAAACCGAGGGATCGACAACGCAATCCGTTGCGTTGGGCTCTTCCCATGGAAAGCAAAAGCACCGGTTGATAAAATCCTAGAGTACGAACACATCGATGGAAAAATGCTGCAATGTCTCGATCAAAAACATTGTTTTTTTGCTTTTCTATTTTATTTTGTTGCAGCTCTATTCCTTGATACATTTCATCCTTCCAAGCTCTGTTTTCGCCATTTTCTTGGAAGCCCATTTCAATACGTTTACGTGGCGTATTTAGCTGTCATTATATGTAGCCCAACAAGTGCCTATACGAGGATCCTTGTTGTAGCTCAAATGTTCATTATCGCACTTCCAGAAGGAGAAGCTGGATCCTTCTTTTCTTTAAATACCTCAATCTTCTGTATCTTTTTTCCGTTTTTTGGTGTGTTGCAGTTGTCAGAGAACCACTCCCCGTCTGCAAATTTCTTCCAACGATTTTTGCGTATCATGGAAGACATCTTTCATATTTATTGTAGACATCAACGAGCGTTCCTTATAATCTGCATAAAAACATCAGTACATTTCTACAACATACAACTGCAACGTAAGAACCACCAGAACAACATGCTTATTAAGCAAGAGTGTCGATGAGCGCGCCAGCCATGCTGTCGCCGACTTCTCTCAGCTTGAAAATGTTTTCGATCACAGCAATCTCTGTCGCTGTTGCGTCCATACCGACGAATGCTCTCCAATCATTTGCTGTGACTCCTGCTGCTACAACCTCACTACCGCGGTTAATCGTTCCTGTTTTAGGTTTTTTTCCTCTTTACGTCCAAGGAACGTCATTCTTGGAGAAAAAATGAGTATCAACACCATGCTAACGCTGTAATTACATTCAAATCATGATAGGTTAGCTAAAGATGTAGTACCCGCGGTAAGTGGCAACTGTAGCAAGTTACTCAACTCCTTGAGCTCCTCTACGGGAGTATGCGCATGAACCAAACCTCCGTTATTTGTCAACACGCAGTAGCTTCCTACTAGCTCGTTACCGGCTATTGCGTATCGGAAAGTCTCAACCTGAGTGATGATGATTGCACAACAAGAATGTAAATCGTAAAATACTTGTGTTTAAAAGTTGCATCCAGAAAATTACTCGATTATTCAAGGCTTTTCCTTCGAGTGTGACGACATCGTTAGGAAGTAGCAATCTCGCAATTACCTTGAGGACATCCTGGATGATTTCCTCCGTCTCTTTGTCGAGCTGCGGGTGGATAAGTGCCACATAGTCGTTACAGACGATCACGTTTCCGAGACTGTTCAGTCTCTCCTCTACCTTCTGCAGTTTCACCTCTGGCGGCAAACTATTTCTCAGATGTTGCATCTCCGCATCGGTCGTCGTGTTCGGCAACAAAAGGCCGTGTCTGTTACCAACCTGGGGATCGTTTGAGAATGATGGAATATGGAGGGCCAAAAGGCGCAAAGTCAATCTGTAAGCGTATCCGTAATTCAGAATGGTGATCATAATGACAAAAATTCAGTTTGTCTTGAAAGTACCGTAAGTCGTCCAACGATTCGAGTGTCGCCTATTGTGCAGTGCACCACCGGCATCTCCGGCGGCAGCTCGCTTTGAATGCTTGCGTAGAATGCCTCCGAGCCGCCGTGACCGACAAGTGCGTAGCTGTTAGTGACACGGGCGAACACGCCCACTTCCGAACTGCTCTCATAGCGTGTACGACACGCCATTTTGATCGATGCTTCGCGAAACGAAAACCGGTAAGATTGATTCACGTCAATCAAAAAAAAGACGAGAAAGTAAACAACACAATGTTCTTACTTAGTGAAGAAGGCGTAAGGTTGACTCGGAAGTCTTGAATGCAATTCACGTGAATATCGCGGTGTGATGATTAGTCAAACGAAAACAAAAACAAAACCTGAGTTACCTCGTGAAATGAACAAGGTAAACAGGGAAAGCGTTAGTGTACCAAAAAACCTGGTGAAGTGAGTCGTTGTTGAAAATGTCTAGGACGCACTTGTGCTTGTCCTATTTGTTGGCAAGAACCCCTTAATTGTTTTGTAATCGTAAGATTGATCATTTACCTCGAGCAAGATCGTCTCAGATCGTACTTACGTAAAAATTGCTAGCTGATCAACGTCTACCATCCTCTCATCAATTCTTAGGATCTCCGTGGTTGTCTCGATCATTCGTGAACAAAATGTTGGTGTAGGATCTCTCGTTGTTTAGCTGAACTCTATCTCTGATGATCGTTTTAGGGTTCGGGGTCCATATTCACTGACTGGTCGGGAACCCGAAAAATCACGATCTTCTGAAAGCTGCTTTTATCGATCATGGAAGCTCGTCGCACGAATGAACATTATGATCGAAGGGAACACAGGAACAGGAGGATGGGGATCGATGCGTTGCCATTCGAAATACTCAATATAATTACTATTCATCATCACCACTGAAGCGGAAATTGTTCATCTCAAAATTCCAATATCCTTTTTGTAGCAGTCATGCAAATCTGATATTTTTTCTCTACATGAGTTTCGAAGATTCGAAATAGGTGGACTTGCTTGCTCTGATACAACATAAAACTGCATTGTCGCGTTTCCTGTCGATCATATTACGTTGAAACCGTTGTCATAAGACTAGTCACAATACTATATTCTCAGAAGATAACTTGATGTAAGAACGACACCCGGCTACTAGTTAAACTTATATGTAATGTCCCAGAAAGAATAAATATTAATTTTGATATTAAAAGGACTAGAGACTGTATGGGTGAAGCAGCTCTTGTGCTTTGAAAAGCTGCACTGCGCCATTACCTTTTCGCTTCGTCTTTTTACTGCTCGTCCCCCGAGTCCTGCTAGTATGGGTCTATCGATTTTAATTTTATCAACTGTCTGACTGGACGGAATGGGATAATTTGATTTTTCAGAGATAGGAATGACGCCAGGACCGAGACCATTGTGATGTCTTCATCTTGTTCCTCACTTTGTTTATTTCTTGATACCACTAGACTTTGTTATCACCACGCACAATCTCTATCCCTTCTATAGTTTTTTAGTGAAAACATTGGAAGTTGAAGACAAGACCTACAACCACTACGATACTATCTCAGGGGAATAGGAAACAAGATGAATGGAACAATAAAAATCAAATAGAAGAATAGACCAGCTGTCCTAAGCATTGATCGGATAATTGACATTTTTTGTAAGTATCTGCACGTTTTAGTTGTTCAGGGAATACAAGATGGAACAACACTGGACGCACAAAAACTAACAATTCTAGTTCACACGGTGGGTGTAGCTGTACAAGTACATTTTTTCGTTCTGTTCATCTAATCGTTGTTCGGAACGATATGAAAGACTCGATAAGACAAAAAAGGACCTAGGCGAACAGATCTAAACAAGTTCGACGGAAACACGATCCTCAGATCTCCACCAGAGTTAAAAATAGCGCGATGAGCATAAGCATCTTAAGCATAAAAAATGGGAATCTACTCTTCATATTGATTCTTTTTAACTAATTGATACCACTATCGAATTAATCCAAATACATACTTCTAGCTAACCCACGAGCTCTTCAGATTTAAGTGAAAGCTCTTGCGGTCCTTCGAGTGACGTGCCGCCTCTGTCTTGTAGTAAGCCGGTCCTGGCGCCGTTTTAGCCTTCAGTGGCTCTCGTTGAGGACCGGTAGCTCGCAAAGCCGATATGTTTCGTGCTACTTCCGGTCTTACGATATCCAGTTTTGGGTCGTAACTGCCAGGTCCCGGCTCCCGCGCCTTTGCCTTCATGCGCGAAGACTTGACTACCTCGAATTTCTTACTGCTCATTTCCGATCGCTCGACGATCACCTTCAAAGATTTATTGAAGTTGTAAAAAAATAATGAATTGTCAATATCGGCAGGCAACACACTAGGTGGCCTAGCACGCACTGCAGTAAACACCCTGCTTGTCCATTTATTTCATTTTGGATCAGAATGCTCGTCGTCTACCTGAAAGTGAGTGTGCGTACTTTCAATATCTATAATCAAAAAGTAGAAACCAAGAAATGCTTGTAACACGAATTCGCTTACCGTCTTCGTATTCGGGTTCCACTGTTTTTGGCCTGTGTTTAGAGTCGAAGGCAATGTGTAGGAAGCCGGTTCGGGTTGTATTTTCTCCGCCAATTTCTTTGCCTCTTTGACATACTCACCTTTCCGATCCGCATGAGAGAGATCTGAAGGCACTTCTGGACCTAGAATATTTGGTGCAACATTCACCTTCCGCGTGGCTGCCGGGGCCATGAAATTCCGGGTCGGCATCCGACCACTGCCAGGACGGGCAGCCAGCGAACCCTCGACCTGTGTCGTTTAACCGCGTTGATGTTCATACTCTTTCTATTTCTGATCGTTGCCCTCATGCGGCATATTATAATAGGACCACCAAAAAGTACTTAGTTACTAGCACTATGATCATACGAGAAAAACCGGACGAGTGGTGAAGTACATTGTAGGTCCCTGGCGGCGGGCCCCCCTCAGCTGACGCTTTTCCGAATGCCCGTTCACTCTTGTCAGCAAAAGCACTGCTACCTGAAGCAGCAACCGGTTTCCGAGACAAGTTTCCGGAGACGTCGTACATCGATGGTTGCACTTGATTATCCTTTAAGACACCGCCATATTTCGGAGCTACGAAGGCTGCGTTGGGTCCGGAAGAGGAGGCTGATGCCGATGTCCTGATCAAATGGGATTTTCTTTTTCTATGACTGAGGACATATCAAAATCAATATCGGTCCTCGTCAGTAGACTCAGTCTATGTTCGGCCTAACCAAGATCATGATGCGGTAGTTCGTGTTATATTTTGTATTCTGCAAGCAGGTACCCGACTTGGACAACCGCGTAAGATCCTGGGCCGGGAACAGGATATCCGCAAACAGCGTTAAATCTCTTCGATATCGATGCAAAGCCTCCTGTTCCTCTTTTACCCCAGCCTGTTGGTATTTTTCCTATCGTCGTGCCAACCGAGTAACTCCCTGGGCCTGCCGCGGACTCGTCACGCAGGGCATCAAATCGAAGAGCCCGACTCCCGAAGGCCTTATTCTCACGTTCGCCTTTGTAGAGCACCGTCTCTAACTTTGACGGAATCGATGGAACCTGCTTTTGTAAAGTGATTACAACTGTTCTTGCTGCATTGAAATTCAACAACAAGATTTGATCGTCTACCACTACCTAGTGTTATACTTATATGTAAACGTTGGTCCTGTAAATTCGTATGTATTTGTTTCCATCGGAGGTTTCCGATTTGAAGATAATAAAAAATGATAGTAAGATCCACTTTCTTAATCGATCATTACTGTTGACGACGGGATGTCTCCCTCGGAGGTTGGCGTCACCTTCTTCTCTCTTGCCAAGTTGCCGCTGGCCTTCCTACCCGCTGTCCTGTAGTTTATGGGCTCCTCCTCCACACCCATGTCAGGCAGTGCTGCTGTTGTGACAACCATCCTAGCAGGTGATTTGTTTTTAGCTTTCTTCAGCTACGACCTTAGGACTGCACATTTATGAGAGGTACGAAACTAAACAAGTCGGAGGTGAACTGCGTGTGCGTTTGTCTCCAACTGAAACGGAAGTGCGCGAGCAGCTTTTATCGTTGCCGATGCAGAGAACGGAAGCTGGATAGCCAAGCCCTTGAGTACACTTTCTGCTGCGGCTCTCGCAAATTTGTAACGGATCCGAGAGTGACAATAGTGTGGAGTGCGTACTGCCTCATGAAGTCAGTTCACTGATCTTGCTGTAGCTCTCAGTTGCCCAGGAGGCCAAAATGTGTGCCGCTTCTACATCAGCTTCATACGCAAGGCATTCGTCATGCTCGTCCTCTAGCCCTCGCAACTCTCAGTGCAGGTAGCAGCGCATGATTATTCATTGGCGAAAGATAAGTACCCGTCAAGTCCCGAGCACGGGCTGACGAAGCCTAACGACGTAGCCCTTCTCCACCAGCTCAACGTCGTAATATAATATTAAGAACGTTAACTACTTCTATCCCCGTTCTTCTTGAAAAAAAATATTTACCAGTGGATGAAGAGCTTTTGATGTCCATTCTAGGTCTTTTTTTTCATGTTCATTACTCTTGTTGTCAAGCCTTAGTTTTTCTTCCAGGAGTCGGGTCGTGGTGCTCTCTTTGCGTGGTGTTCCATTCCGAACATCTCTGTTTTCCTTTTCATAATCATGGCTGTGTCCTTTCGACAATTCAGCTCAAAGCCTGTCATCTACTTAGGCCTCGTGCCGGCGCACTGGGTTTACGATTAGATATTAAAGCGCATGTGGTCCCGTCTCGTCACATAGACAAGATGCTGGCACACCTTCTCCTCGACTACCTTCTGCGTCTCTTCAGTGATTCTCATTTTTTCCGGTGGATTGTCCTCCTCGACAAGGACATGGTAGTCCACTTCACCGAGAGTGGACGAGACTAGATCTGGGTCGCCCACGATTATCCGCAGCATGCGCGTGGTTTCAAACCACAACATTGGATGCACTGACTTGCAAAAAGTTCAGTTGTTGATGTAGTAAGAACTACCCCAAGTCTCCTCCCGATCATGTCTACATTAGATATATTATAATTGTCGCACTGTATCTGTAAGAATTATTTGTTGCACTATGTCAGAATTGAGGTAAATTCACAATTTTTGCATTTGCTAGACACAAAATTGTACTTTTTGTACTATTGGTTTTGCAATGCCTGGCGACCTCGAGGATAGTTGTAGTTCTCAGAGCAGTTAAAACTAATTACTTTTCGTCTTACATATTTTGAAGTAAGTTGATTCGGGTTGGGCAGTATCATCGTGATACATTATCTTGGATTTGAATTCGATGAAAGGGTTTCAGATAGGTCTTTAGCTTTACCTATGAAAGCGGTCATCTCTAACTCTATATGTGTCGCACCCTATTTGTAGTCGCTCAGCCGGGAGCAGCGACAAGTAGATCAAGGAAAGTTTCTTCGTGGATTTTATGGTTATAGTTTTTCTATGCATGCGCATGATGTTGTGCCCGTGGTATTTATATTTCATTACTATGCACCAAGGAGAGAGGCCCCCCTGGGGACTTACGGAACGCCGTAGAGCTGTTACGCGATGAGTGACACCCACCGCGTCACGCCTAGAGCTTCGGGGGTGGGCGAGTTATTTGCGTTCAATTTCGAGCGTCACGCAACACGCAACAACATGCGGAAAGGGCTTGGCGTTTTGATTGATCTGGACACACGCACACACCTAGCGGCTAGCGCACTAGTGTGAAGGGAGATAATTGCTAGCCTTGGTCCGTTCGATGGTCTACTTCTTAAAACAAACGCCGCCCAGTCAATTCACATCGGCGACGGCGGCACTAACTTCAGCAAATAACCAGACTACTCACCCAAGTCTTCACTTTTACCTCCACGAGAATGTGCTAATTATGGCGCCCCTCTGTTCTGGTGGCCGTCTTGGGCTCATCATCTTGTCTGCGTGCTGTTGTTGCTGAATTTCTTCCGTGGTGCGATCCGTCTTCCTCTCGTCGATCCGTGGGTCCTTGATCGATCCGGGGGCGCCCCTTGGTCGATCCGTGGGCCCTTTGTCGATCCGCGCCGTAGGTGGGTCCTTGATCGATCCAGGGGTCCTTGATCGATCCGACCCGCGGGCCCTTGGTCGATCCGTGGGCCCTTGATCGATCAGTGGAGGCTTGATCGGTACGCAGGCCCTCGGTCGATCCCCCGGCCCTTGATCGATCCACAGGCCTGCGATCGACCCGCGCGCCCTTGGTCGATCCGTGGGTCCTTTATCGCTCCGCAGGTCCTTGATCGATCCGCGAATCCTTGATAGATCCGAGGCCACTTGCTCGACCCGTGGGTCCTTGATCGACCCGTGGGCCCTTGGTTGATCGATCCGTGGATCCTTGACCGCGTCACGCATCAAAAAAGAGCAAGGAAGAAGAAGAACAAGAAAGGGGTGCGCCTTATAATCCACAAGAGATCAGGAGAGAGCGGCGGGGGGGACTAAATTGGGCAGCTCCACGGCGTTCAGTCCACCTCACAGAAGGCCCCCCTCCCTGCGGACGGAGTGGCGGTGGCGTCCGCGCGCCCTCTTTTCCGCGGTGGTGACTTGTAAGGACTCCCGGGGGCGAAAGCCTCAAAAGGCGGAGCCGGAGTCCCCTGGCGGCTCTTCGCGTGTACCCCAAACCCAAAGGCGTCCCGACCCAATCAGGGGGACAGCCTCCGCCCTCCGGGAGAAGAAGGCCCGCCAAGGCGGCCACGGTCGCGAGGCCTGGCCTCTTTGGCGCTCATCCGCCTAATTTGTCGCAGCGTCCGCCGCCACCAAACGCCCGGAGGGTTGAGGATCAAAGGCGAAGAGGACGGGGGGGCAAGGCGTGCCCGCCTGGGTTCTGTCGGATACATGCAGCAGCAGCACGGCGAAAGGGGATAAGCCTCCCCACCTGCGGCCCCCAGAGGCCTTCCACCTCCCAAGAAGCTACCCCCATAAGGAGCCCGCACACAGGAGGTCCGTAGGGTACACGAAGCACGGCACTGGAGGGCTGTAGAGCACCTGCAGCACGGCAAGGGAGTCCAGCCTTGCCGCCTTTCTTTGCCGCTTTCGGAAGCCTCCAAACCCCGGCCGTCGGTGCTTGAACGGCCTCAGGGGTTTGGGTTCTGTAGGGTACAAGCAAGAGGCCGCGAGGCCGCGAAGGTGGGCGTTTGGAGGCCGTCCCACCCGGCAGTCCGTCGATGAAAAGGGCCCGGGGCTGGAGGCCCCGCCTCAAAAAAGGGGGGGCCTTCAGCCCTGAGCCCTGGAACATATATACAAAGGAATTCCAGAAGCGTGGTATTAATAGTACACAGGTATGAAGAAAAGACAAGTCTACCCACAACAGCCTCGATTTTTTGGACTCCTTCCTCCACCCCAACAAGCGCCCGGCGCGTCTCTTCTACTATCCAAGCTTTGCGCCTCTGCTCGGGAACGGTGCGGCGAAGTTCTTTGTGTCACAGCATCGCTTTCATCTAAGGTCTGCATGGGTTCACCTGCTCTCGAGTCCTGCGCCCTCCTGCTTGCCCTTGCGGCTTCGCCTGCCCAGCTCTGCATCGTAGAAAAGAGGACATTCTCGTGCAGGCCCAGTCCCGCCTCGTCTGCACCTAAGGTATCCGCGCCACCTGTTCTGTTGATCGAAGAGTAGAGGCCTAGGATGCGCGACCCCGGACCAAAACTACCGTCCGTCAAAGCTCCATCTCCAAAGCCTGGCGTTCCGTGCGAGTTCGTCCCTCCAAGGCTCGCATAGCTAAGGGTCGATGCATCTCCGTAGGACATCGGTGCGTCTACATACTCTCCAGAATTTGGTGCGGAAGCCAAGCCCGCTGACATGCGTGCCGGGCTGAGCTGCTTTTGGCAAGGCTCCAAGTATCCGTCGGCACTCATTTCCCAAAAAATCGGACCACCTGCTAAAGGGGGACTGTTCTGGTTACCCTGTGAAGGCGATGCGCCCTGAAAATTTTTGGTCGCGTTTTTTCATCTCCGATTTTGTTGAGATTGACCCGCAAATCATGCTGATTTGAACAGGCTTAAGGCCATGCTGCGGTCGCTGTATTATTGAACGTGAAGAACTAAAAAAGAACGTGAACCTAAATAAAAATACCAAAGAAAATGCTTCCATTTCTGCTGGTGCCGAGTTCCGCCTTTCCCCTCTACGTCGATAACGAATCCTACCTGTCCGAAGGCAGAGTGCGAATTCGGTTTCTGGTAGTGTAAAACCGTCATCGACGGACAGTGTTGGAGGGACTTTGGCGTGCATGGCTGGAGGCGGCGGACAAGATTTTAGCGGTGTCGTATCAGGTCCCGGCGAAGATGAGGCTCGCGCTACTCGGGAAGGGGATATGACGCCATCAGCAACAGCAGACGTCGCGGATTCAAAAATCACGGAATTCAGCTCACCAGTGCTGCTCTTCTGTACAAGCAGGCTCTTCGATGTTGAACCGGGAAAGGTGCTGGTAGATGTTATACCTGAAAAAAAATGGAATTTAGACATTGCGCGCATGATACTCATATAAAGTATTTTTTTGCTTGAAGTTGTGGGCTGCATGGCATGGATGACAAGCCTTGCATGGATGGACCATCCCCAAAACGTTGAATTTTTCGCGGCGCCCGAGGCGCCATAATTCGTCCGCAGTACCGCTTTGCGTCGCTGAAGAATTAGTTGCTACGCAACGGCACGAACACAAACACAGCCCACGACCCAACTGAGACCCCGGTCCCGAGTCAGCCCGACCTTAATCCACAAGAGCCATGCAGATACTTCTCAGGATAAGCCTAATTAAAGGCCCGACGTCTAAGCAAATTGAAAGAAAGCGCAGACAGGCTCCAGGCGCTCTGCGTGCTCCAGCCGCACTGAGGAGGGGGGGCGCGGGTGGCTAACGTAGGCGGGCCTTGCCTAGACGAATGCAGCAAGCAACTCACTACAAAAAAACGCAACCAAGCCTCCAGATCAGCAGCAGAGAACAACGCGCAAGACCCATTAAGGCGCGCCACCAGTCTTCGCGCCCGTTTAGCTTCCATAAGAAAGTCTAACGTGACCCCCTTCGACTCATGCAAGGCATGCCAGGCATGTTCATCCATCATCCATCTTAAAAAGTGCTCTATAATATCTACGCACTTATCAGGGAGGGAGGCCCTCCCCCGTGGATGGAGCGGCGGCGGCGTCCGCGCGCCCTTTTTTTCCCGGAGGTTACATGCATTGCAAGGATTCACGGGCGGAAGGCCTCAAAAGGCGGAGCCAGAAGCCCCTGGAGGCCCTCCGCGTGTACCCCACAGGCGTCCCGGCTCCACTTGGACAATGGACCCTATCAGAGGGACGGCGTCCGGGGGCAGAAGGCCGCCGAAGGCAGCCACGGTCACGGCCGCAAGGCACGGCTCCTTTGGCCCCAATCCAAACCCCTCCAGTGAGGAGCCCGCACACAGGAGGCCTGTAGGGTACATGGAACACAGCAACAGGATCCAGCCTCGCCACCTTTGCCAGGTCGGTAGGGCACATGCACCACGGCAAGGGGGTCCCGTCTTGCCACCTTGGCCACCTTCGGAAGCCTTCCACCCCCGGCCCTCGGTGCTTCAACGGCCTCAGGGTTAGGGCCTCGGTAAGGTCCCGGAGAGAAGCGGGAAGGGGTCGGCGATGGGCGTTTGGAGGCCTTTTGGAGGCCTTCCCGCCCGGCTGTCCCTTGTGAAAAAGGGTCCGGGGCTGGAGTCCCTCCCTCAAAAAGTTAGATCGAGGGGGGGGCCTTCAGCCCTGCGCCCTGGAACATATAAATATACATAGCATCAAAAGATTGACAATCTTGAAAGTTCTCGATCTTTGTTTGATATGAGGCGAGTGATAAACAGTACCTTCCAGCTTCCTCTTGCTCTCCATATAGCTACTCGTCCCCGCCGTTGCTGTGGAGGACGAAGCGCCACCTGCCTGCTCGTTCATCAACATCATGGCGCTGTAGCTGCTGATGCTGAAGTTCCCAGGGTCCGGGCGCTGCTGGGCAGATGAGCTATTTTCAGCATTGTAGCCAGTGCTACCAGATTGTTCTCCGTCCATCTTTATGTGTGCTCGTCATGTGTTCGATCTCTCTAGTCTTCAGATATCGTCAGCAAAAGTGCAAGCAGATGCTTGTTTCCAAAATCGCGTGGAACAGATCTCGTCGTGGAAAGACGAGTATTTGATTGATATCTTCAAAAAACTTTGCAGTTATTTTCATTAGACCAATTATTTTTCACAATTTATACAACTCAGATGATGCAGTTGCAGCCAATTGCCAAGATACGTCTTCGAATTAAGATCTACCTAGGTACTTACTTGTTAAGTACACTTGCCGTCTTTGTTATGTGAGTGCCCCTGTTATGACCTTTCTTGGTCACCGAAGAGTTTTTTTTTTTTTGCGTTAGGACTATATGCTGCCACCCTTTCACTTTCGAAGAGACAGAATGGCTTGCCGTCTTTGTATTTTTCTTGTTTCTATGAAGAATTATTCCACGACAGCTTCTCAAATGTATCACGACAAAACATCAACTCCCTCTCATGTATCACTACTTCACGCGTAGCTCTCGTTGACAAAGTCCTCCTCTCTTTGTCGGATGGAAACCCGTCCAATTTTTCAATCCCTCATCCTATCTTCACGATTTCTCAACGAAAACAACGACGACGTCCTGCTCTGTCCAAGTCGTCCACTACAGTTAGTACCCGTAGTCGTGCTACCACGTGTACCTACTCTGTCGTGCTCCATCTGCACGCTAGCATACGAGAAACGTCGACAATTGGAGAGAACTCGAAGGCCCGGGTTTTTGCTTCACCCGGACACTCTCCCATTTTCGAGACGGGAGCGCAACACGATGAAAGCGTCATACGTCGATATTTGCGGAACGAATTCAAACAACATATTATACATAAAAGAAGATGCATCCATGATCTATACAAGAAAGCGAATGCCCATGAGTTGTCGTGTTTCATATTGAAGATTTCATCGTGGAAGTATAAGTATTATACTTGCACATTCTATTTTGAAGTCGTAGAGTGATATTATTCTTTTTATTCGTGTTCGCTATACATTCTCGATAGAGTCGCGTTCATACTATGTTGATCTGTTCGAGTAGATGTGGACCTTCGGAGATTTGTACAACGGTAAAGATCCCCACAAAACCCTGTTCTATTTCTATCTATGCTTAAAAACAACATGATTAATCACAATGCACCAGAATATCCCAGCATATTAGTACGACAAGTAAGCTCGTTATCATGATGACAGACACCCACCAAAAAGAGTAATGATAAATACATTTCCGAAACCCTTAGGTAGAGCTAGCTCCAGCGTCACGAATATTGTTTAGACACCTTGCTTCAAAATATGGTACAGTTTTTTCCCATGGCAAATTGACCTCTGGCATCTTTATTCGTGTTGATCTTCAATTTCTAGTCAGATACTGTAGTTTATACTACCATGGTTCGGCTAGCTTTTTTCTTGCATACAACTTCTATCCAAAACTTTGCATCATCAGCGCGCTTCGATATTAGATTGATGTTTAAATTGTGCTTGTTTTTCCGGTCAGATCTTCACGACCATGCATCTCCGTATTACGCGTCGTTTGGCGGATACTCTGCTAAGAAGGATGACTTGTAGTCAGAGCCGAGTCCTGCTGCGAGTCCGGTATCTGCGTTGCCCATCTTCATCTTGATGTCGTTCACGAAGTATTTTCCGGGAGGCGAGGCAGCGGACTCCACGTGATTCCATAATTTCGGCAGCTCGTACTCTCCGCGGACGTACCTCTTTCCCGGATGATAAGCGTCCCCGCAGTTATCTCCAAACACCTGGGTCTTGCTGAGTCGCTGCATCTTCAGGGCCTCTAGCTCATCCCGGCGTCGACTCCTCATTTCGTTCATGGCCATAGGCATTCCCCGCTGCTCCTGGTACGCCTGCAGTCGGCCTGGTCGCGACCAGTCGTCCCGCGGCTTGCCGAAGTCCGCTGCGCTCCACGTCAATCGACGAGCCGACACATTCGTATCCGGATAGTACACATCATCTGTAGAAGAAGAGAGTTGGTATTGTCGCAGATTATTCGAAGAAGATGTATTGGTGAGATGGAAGTGGTGGAACAATCTTTGTATCTTTCTTCCTCACTCCGTGAGCAAATAAGTTGTATACCGTTTTCAAAAGGCTTATCATTGCCCCAATGATAGTGGTTTTGTTCGTCAAGCTGTTCCTTCATATCGCTCTGCGCGCCTCGCTTGACTTTAGAGAACTGCCCGTAGGCCATTGTCTGTCGGTACTCAGGAACAGTCATCCCTGCATTCTTTCCTGCAATCTTCAGGTCACCATCGACTTTAACGGCCTTTCTAAAGTCCGCTAGGGTATGATACCTGGTTAACAAGTTTTCGACAAAAAGGAGAATAGGGCAGCATCTACTTGTAGTTGCTCTTCTTCTAGGTAGTTGAGCTTGAGATAGAAAGATTACGAAGACGAATCGTAGAGAATGAACACAGCAATAGCAACTATTCTTGTGACTCTCACTCTATAACAATCTACCAAACTTGGAAATGGAATTAATTTTGAACCATATCAAGCCAAGTATAAACGAAAAAGAAGCGCTTCATTGCACAGTAATGTATACATATATTATAAGTATGTATATCTATAGCTATACATGTACCAGGGAGGGAGGCCCCCCCTGTGGTATGGTCTGTGGTGCAGCACAGTGGTGGAACTGGACGAAGGGCGAGGAGAGAAGAACGAGCGACGAGGGCAGAACGAGCGAGGAGAGAAGATAGAACGAGGGACGAGAGCAGAACGAGGGACGAGAAGCCCCCTTCCTTGGCGTGGTGGCCTCTGGCGTATGTATCACAGTGGGGGAAGGCGAGCGCAGTGCTTCGCCCACTATGCTGCGAACCGAAAACAACAAACCCGCGGCCCCCCTCGCAGCGCTGCCACGTCGGAGACGCAACACACTGCCAAGAGTTGGGGGCCCACGCCCTAAACCCGGGCCAAGGAGCGAACGGGGCGAGTTCCTTTCCCTTTTTTTCGCCAACAAGAAGAGAGGAGGAGAGGGAAAGGGGAGCCAATCGACCAGCCTGAAAGGAAGACGGCACTGCCTAGCGCAGTAGTGGTCGCATGAGAGGACGAATCACAGACACGCGGCGAGCCCCACACCCGAAGGCGAGCTAAACTACCCGGGGGTAGACGGCCACAAACTCACACTCGACTCCACTGCCGCACAACCAGCCAGAGCACAGGCAGGGGGGTAGGAGTGAGAGGAGAAGGAAAGAGAAGCCAGCCGACCAGCCTGGGAGGGAGATGGCACTGCCTGGGGCGGTAGTGGTCACGTGAGAGAGAGGACAAAGGGGAGCCCGCCTCACGACCAAAGGAAGGGAAAAAGAAAGAAGCCAAACGCCCCGCCGGAAGGGGCCAAGGCACTGCCAAAGGCAGTAGGGATCACGTGAGAGGACGAAGGGGAGACCACTTCAAAGACACGTGGCGAGCACCACACCCCAAAGCGAGCGAAACTACTCGGGGGTAGACGGCCACACCCTCGCACTCGCCTCCACTGCCGCACAACCAGAGCACCAGCTGGGAGGGGTGAGACTACAAGCAACGCCGACTACGCTCCACATTCCTAAACAGACTAAATCCCAGACTACAGCACCCACACGCACCTACTGAACAACTAAACAAAGCCCGAAACTTTGCCCCAGGAGCCGTAGCCTGGACGCCTATGCACAAGGGACACCTTCGGCACGAACGGGGACCCCGTTCGCAGCGTCTTAAGTTTCTCGTCGTTGTTCTTTGTACGGGGATGCCAAATCCCAAGCGCCACCGGGAGGATGTCCCAGAGGCAGCCAAAAGCATGGCCCAGGGATGCCCCGAAAGAAGAAGAGGCCGGCGGGTCAGCGCAAGCAAGACCACACGCCTCAGGCGCAGCGAAAGCGCGACCCAACTCCACGCCAAGGAGGACGGCAGCCACTCGACTCCAGAGTACTGCAAAAAAGGAACCACTTGGGGAGGGTTAACTACTAGGATGGGGGGGCTGTTAGTTTTACAGAGCGACGCCAATGGCTCCAACCTTCCAACGCCCAAGAGAAGAGAACCAACGGCACAAAGAGCCGAAAGAAAGGAGGCGCCCCAAGGTCTGGCGGGTACATACAACACGCCAAGGAGGTGAGGCCCAGCCCTGCAGCCTTCAGCAGGTCTGTAGGGCACACGCAACACGCCAAGGGGGTCCAGCGAGCCTTGCGACCTTCAGCAGGTCCGTAGGGAACAGCCAACAAGCCAAGGGGGTCCGGCCTTGCCGCCTTCGCCGGGTCTGTAGGGTACACGCCACACGCCAAAAGAGTCCAGCCTTGAGGGTACAAGCCACACGCCAAGGGGGTCCAGCGTTGCCACCTTTGCCATTGCCACACTCAGAAGCCTTCCAAGCCCGCCCTTCAGTGCTTCAACGCCTCCGGCATGGTGGCGCTGCAAGGAGAGCCCAAGCAAGGAGCGGGGCAGAAGGGGTCAGAGGTGGGCGCTTCGAGGCCTTCCCGCCCGGCAGCCTCTCGAAAAAAGGGGCCGGGGCTGGGAGGCCCCCCCTCAAAAAGTTAGATCGGGGGGCCTTCAGCCCGGAACCCTGGAACATATATACATCATGTATGGACCAGAAAAAGTGAGCCCCCTGTATTATGAAGGTCCCGGTGTTATTCCCCCTTTAAGCGGACCATGGCCGCAAAAATCCCAAGCCCTTATTTTCCGGCGGGGTCCCATATTTATTGTTCGGGTTAGGTCCCTGGAAATACTGGGGCCAACATGGTCCCAAGAAAGATTGGGGCTGCGGTATCAGAAGGGGCCCAGAAAATAGGAGGCCGGCGTGACCTTGGCCCTCGTCCTCGTAGGGTGCTCCCCCCACTCTACTGTCAGCGCAGCGCCCCTGCTGCCTGTGTTATGCGCACCCAGACCCGGTGGGGAGCCGCGCGCGCTTGGCCGCGCAGTGTCCTGCTCCTGGCAGAACTCCCACCAAGCTGCGGCCGGTCCCTCAGGCTTGGCGCATCCTGCTGCGCTTTTCGTTTCTCTATGTTCTCCCGCTTTTGCCGCACCAGTACCTCGCACCCGCCAGAGGTAGGCGCGCAGGCAGCTGCCAAGCAGCAAGAGCTTCGCGGCGCGCTTCCTCCTTTTGCGATCCCCCCGCCCCCCCACAGTGTTGCGCTGCTTTTTCGCTCCGCGGGCCGCTTTCGTTTTGAAGTGTGTGCGTCAGCCTTTTGCGGCAGGTTTCGAGCAAAGCCCTCGGGCGTCGCGTAGTTGAAGCCTGTTCCCCGGAGATGGTGTGCGGCGGATTTTTGTGTCGCGTGTGTGGCACCCCTGAGCTCTGCGCGCGCGCGCTGTCGCCAACGTCGCTCGTCTCCGTCGGTTCTCGTCTGGTCCCGCTTGGAGGCACTGGGGCCGGCTTTGGGTGTGTCGTGTGGGGTTGTCGTTGCTCAATCACCGAGGGCGCCCTCGGGTCGCTTGGCGTGGTTCTTTGCGCTTCTCTCTTTCTCTCGTTGGCTGCTGGCTGCTCGTTGGTGTGTTCGCTTCTGCGGCTGTCTTCTGGCCTTTCCTGTCCTCTCCTGCGCGGCTTCAGGTTCTGCCTTTTCTGGCAATTCTTCAGCCTTTGTGGCTCTTATTTTTGTAGGCTTATACCTTTTGGCCGCCCTCTGTTTCTGCCTTTTTTGTCGGAGTTCCTACCTTTTTTGTCGGGTGAGTATACTCCCGCCCCTTCTGGTACCCTCCCAGTTCTGGCCCATGTGTATATTTATATATATCTAATTTTATAAGTACGCTATTCTGCTCGCGCATTCGTGAGTCCAATAGTTTGTCATTCTTGGCCTGCTCCAGCGATGATCGACATCCTGACTCCACTCGCGATCCTCCCGGCCCGTTCTGTAGAGGCAGAGTTCCTCCTCTTCCTGACGTGCAGTAGTCAGCCCTGGATCGGACGGAGCGCGCGAGATGATCGGCCGACGACTCTTGGTGTGGATTCCGGCGCCAAATTCAGTACCCAGTTTCGTCGCTCCCATGAAGCCTTCGTGCGCGGTGCGCGACATCGCCTGCTTTTGCGATACACGGGAAGCACCGGGTCTGGAAGAGCGTACTGAAGAAGGACTCGCGCCTGGAGCTCCGGCGGATGATTTATTGTTATTCAGCGTCTCGATCTGCTCGTCGTTCTCGTTCTTGGACAACAATGATAAAGTTGTCGCATTCACAGGAACAGCGGCATGAGTTGTAGAAGAAGATGCCATTACGGTATCCACTTTTTCTGTGGGAGAAGAAAATGGAGCAGTGGCGGCCCTGGATGCCGCAAGTTCACCGGGTTTCAACACGACTACTGATTTTTTCTGCTGTTGCACTTGCGGGGGTGATCGAGTCGGTGGGCACGGAGAGGTCGAAATATCTCCTCTTCTACCTCCACCGGGTGACGTGGCCGGCTTAATGCTCGTCGGGCTAGCCGCTGTCGGGCTACTCGTTTGTTTGTCCCCATTATCCTTCCTGATGTTAGTTCCCATATTTCCACCCTCAACAACTATTTCCTGCTGTCTCTTCGCACCCATATGCGTGGATTTCGCGGTGCTATTGGATGCAGAAGTACTACGATTATCATTCTCCAACAACGTTGGCGGAAACATCTGCGAAGCATCATAATCCATGCCAGGTCTACGACAGATATGACGCGGGTCCTTGCTCAGTTCTTTGTTACGCAACAAACGCACAGCCTCACGTGGGTCCGAACTATCAAAAAGTCGAGGCCGAGCCTGCGAGTAGTGCCTGTAGTTGCAGGAAGTAACAACATCAGAGATATAGTTGATGTTCTTCCTGTGTTTGTCATCAAGAAAAAGCAAGCTAGAAATATTAATGCACAACTAGCACAAGATGATATTATTTAAGAACAAGTAGTAAAAATAGCACAAGAAAGTGAATCAAGCGATACAGAGGTGGAAGCATTTTTCTTCAGTCAATCAAAACAGGACATGCAAAGTTGTAGGGCGGCGACAAATAATCTAGTAGAGTCTAGTACCTAACATCCACTGGCTGCAACTCCCGACGCCATGCTCTGGCCGCATCTCCAGACAATATCCTTGACCACGGGTTCTCCCCACTAGACGGGTAAACGAAATGCGCACTACTCATCTTTTTTCAGTCCAGAAGAAAATCCAGTCAATGTCAATGGTCGACGGTTATTTCAAGTTGTATCTTGATGTGCGTTCTTATATATCTTAGTCTTTTTCAATAATCCAAATATTTAGTTACACAAGAACCTACCCTGGAGGTTCTGAAATGTAGATACTTAATTGCGAATCCTATTTTTGCATCAAAGTAGAAGAAGTCGAACTTCGGATAACTTCTAGTTGTCTGGATTCAAATGACTTGAGTTTGCGTGCAGAAACAGAATACGCAACGAACATAAAAAATTTGAATTTGAATTTCTAAGATATTGTAATTACAACATATGCATGCGCAGGCAAATTCATACACTAGCAGCATTTTAGGGAAAAGAAAGGCTCTGAGTACTGGGGAGGATCAAGAGGAGGGAGGTCAGTGAAAAAATGAACTGGAATTCATTTTCATTGGCTATCTCAATAAAAAAGACGGGAAACAATTATCCGAGATCGGACAGACGGTGACGCCTCTAGACAGATGAGACCAGCTAGAGCACCTCTCTGACTGTCGTGTTATCACTCGAAGCAGAACAGAACTCTCATGGCGCAAACCCGACGGAGAAGAAACAGCTGTTCGTCACAGACTGACGTACCGAGTTGAAATTGCAAACTCGCCACTGCACAAAGGTAGCAGCTCAAGATTCACTCACGTAGACGTACAAAATATTTTCATACTGCACGACCACAATGCAATTACTTCGGACATACATCTCGAACAATCACACAACCGGTAACCATCTCTCGAAAAATCACTCCATTGACCCTGAGAACAACTTAAGACGCGCAGACTGACCTATCTTCAAAGAGAACTGCACTAATAAGAAATTTAAATCAAAATAAAAGCTTCAGCTTCTATATATGACGCGGGGCCGCACGGCTCCCCCCCCCTGTGGTCTGGTCTGTGGTGGCGCGCGCGCGCGCTTTTCCGCGCGGATTTTTCGCGGATTCTAGTGGGGGAAGGCGTCAAAACTTGGCGCGGGCCTCCCCTTGGGCCTCTCAGCGTATTCCTCCTGGCCTCGGCTGACCCTCGCAGGCGGGAGGTCTCCGGGGTAACTAAAAGGCCGCCAAAGGCGGCCACGGTCGCAAGCGCAAGCGCAAGCAAGCCGATGACCAAGGGCCCGAAGGGTACAAGCGGCACGGCTGCGGCGGCGAAGCCTAAAGGATGCACTTAGGGCACAAGCAGGCACCTGGACGGGGGCGCAGGCGGCCCCTTGGGCCCCTTTTGAAGCCTCCCACCACCATCAGAGGCCCCTAGGGAACAGCCAGGCAGCTGGAAGGGAGCGGAGGCGGCCCCCTTGGGCCCCTGTTGAGGCCTTCCACCTACGCCGAAGGCCACTAGGCGACAGCCAAGCAGCTGGAAGGAAGCGGAGGCGGCCCCATTGGGCCCCTCTTGAGGCCTTCCACCTACGGCGGAGGCCACTAGGGGACAGCCAAGCAGCTGGAAGGAAGCGGAGGCGGCCCCCTTGGGCCCCTCTTGAGGCCTTCCGCCTACTTCCCAGGCCTCTAGGGGACATAAAGCACCTGGAAGGGAACGAGGGTGGTCCCTTGGCCCCCTTTTGAGGCCTCCCCCCGGCAGACGCCTCAAAAAGGGGTGCAGGACGCCCGGGGGGGCCGCCGCCCCGCGCCCTGGAACATATAAATCTCTTACAGTATAAAGTTTTTCCCTCGTTTTGATTTTGATTTCATATTTTGAATTTTGATTTTGAATTTTGATTTTGAATTTTGAGTTTTGATTTTGAATTTTGAATTTTGATTTTGAATTTTGATTTTGAATTTCGATTTTGATTTTGAATTTTGAATTTTGAATTTTGAATTTTGAATTTTGAATTTTGAATTTTGAGTTTTGAATTTTGAATTTTGAATTTTGAATTTTGAATTTTGAATTTTGAATTTGGATTTTGATTTTGATTTTGATTTTGAATTTTGATTTTGAATTTTGATTTTGAATTTTGATTTTGAATTTTGATTTTGAGTTTTGATTTTGAATTTTGATTTTGAATTTTGATTTTGAATTTTAAATATCAAAGTTTTGAAATTTGGACCAAAGTTTTGAAATTTGGGCCAAAGTTTTGAAATTTGGATAAAACTGTTGAAATTTGGATCAAAGTGTTGAAATTTGGATTAAAGTTCTCAACACTGGATCAAGGTTTGGAAATGTGGACCAGGGTCTTGAAGTTCTACGTTTTGATTTTGAGTTGTGATCTTAGATTTTGATCTTCAATTTTGATTTTGAGTTTTGATTTTGAATTTTGATTTTAAGTTTTGATTTTGAATTTTGAATTTTGAATTTTGAGTTTTGAATTTTGAATTTTAAATCCCAAAGTTTTGAAATTTGGACCAAAGTTTTGAAATTTGGACCAAAGTTTTGAAATTTTGATGAAAGTGTTGAAATTTGGATCAAAGTTCTCAACACTGGACCGAAGCATCTGTTTGCTTTCCTTGCACATTCATCTGCAGTTCATTGTTCTAGCAAATTTTTTGGACTTCCCTTGACGCCTGCCCCTGGGGAACCACTCCAGAGGGCTAGTATATATAAGTAAAATCATGACTTGTTTCCGTTTGACAGACAACAGAATTCGGTAGTTCTGTAGTTCGAGCGCAGCTCAAAACTCTACAGGAAATTCAGACAGGTGTCGGTGTGTTTGTTCTCAGACCACAAGCAGAATAAACAAGGAATTTCTCTATGCATGACGAATTAAATAGGAATATGCTGTGAGGACGAGGTATAGAAAAGAGATCGACTTTCTTAGAGACTATGATACTGAACAAAGTCAAAGATTCAATAGAATCCACACCTACTAGAAGTATATTTATATTTATGTATGAAGACCATCCGTGCATGATCACTGAAAAAATTACTTATACTTTTTATGTATTACTTATACAACAACTACACTACGTGGTTGGCCACGCGCGCAATGTCCGCCTCGGAATATCCCAGGCGCAACAGATTATCTCTCGTCAAGTCTTTGTCAATCACATTTGGCCTCGCCCAGTGCGCAATTTTCACTCCCAACGCTGTGCCCACAACTGGTCGGACATTCAAAATTTCTGCAGCTGGGCCAAGCAAGATCTGATTCACCCGAAAAATCACGTCATAATCCCTGGAGGAATGTGGAAACGTGGCGAATACCAGCCGCTCTCGACGACGTTGTCGCTGGAGATCCCATCGTTTTTGACGTTCCGCTTCCCTAGTGTGCGGACTTGACGGTTCTGTCCTGTTAGGGGCGTGGTCGACATTCACGCTACTGCACTCGTCGTCTGCTTTCCGCCTCAGGTCGTTTTTCCCTCGCACGACGGCGTTTAACAGGCGACTACGTTTCACTCTGAACGTAACCATGAGCACCATCGGCTATGGAAATCCTTTGCTCGCGTAGTGTTCAGTCGTAGACAAAACATTCATCAAGTAGATGCCAGGCCCATAAAAGCCTCCGCTAGAGGCTTCAAACCCAAACGCGCGAATCAATGCGAAATTGACAGCCGCGGTACCATGATAACCCTGTAACGTTACATACTCTGTATCCTGCTCTGGGTCTGGATCCCTCATCGCATCAGCTAGAGGAACAAGATTTCTTTCCTCTTTGGATGCTCTTGGCATAGACATGTTGGAGGATATCGGTCGTGGCGGAGCAATCTCTTGCCCATCTCCTGCTACATACACCCTCATAGGAGTCGACGACGAGTCATGATTTTCCACTGGAAGAGCAGGATCTACTTCCCGTTTTTTAGTTACAGTGCCCGCACCTGTATCCACATCTTCTTGTTTTCTTCTAGCCCGTTTGACAATCGGAGCTAGGCGCGACATAGGCAGAGGACTAGCTCCAATTGTAAAAAGGTGACCACCTTGATTATCTAGGTATGAGGCCGCTCTGGTTCGCTTCATTGCAGATGCGGGTGTTACAACTTGTAAACTAGTGTAGGGGGAGGTTTTTCCGTAGCTTACGATTCTAGGTGCCACTATCATACGCACCGGCGTCCTCGTGCGATTCCACGACCGAACCGGATCAGAAGCATGTATTTGATGTTGAGCATTTTCCACTTGTCGTTGAGAGGCCCGCGCAGTCGGGAATATTCTGAATTTCACTGGTTCCACGTACGTCATCAGATCGCTGAAATCGACCTCGTTTTTATCTTCGTCATGCTTAGAGCGATCTTGATTTTCGACACCACTGCGTGCTGAGGATTCACCGCTTTGTGTTGGAGGAACCATGTATTTGTTTTGCGTCATGGTGGAGCCTGCGTGTGCTAATGTTAGCCGCCGTCGGGTTTCAGGACGCCGCAGTCCAAGCGGAGTCTTAGTTCGAGCACGACTATTGCCGCCACTGAGATCGACACTAACACGCGTCTCGCCGGTTGAAGCCTGCACTTGGGGCATATCGACAGTCGCGCCATCAACATTCGGTCTCTTGTATTGTGATGAAGGTCTGATCTGGGGAAAACGGTGTTCATTTGTAGCTGGGCCAATCAGCAATGCGCCGAAAGCAGTCGGAATAATGCCACCAGTATGTCTAAGTCCAGGTCCAGATCTAGGTCGTCCTCGAACCGTCTCAATATCTCCATCCTGCGCGTGGTCCGTGGTGGCGGCGGCAACGCAACCAGAGTAAAAAACCATAACCACGTAGACCACCAGATGAAAAGAGAAACTGAACACATGGTAGTGACGGAGGACTCGTCCCATAGTAATTTTTTAGAACTTCCTGTACTAGCAGCAGTCACGACGAGGCCCTGAAGCGGGTACTCAGACTGGTGATGAGGATTCAACCAACGCCGTACTTATACCTGAGATAGAGGTCCTAAAATATGCCAAGAAGAACGCCTCTTTTAATGAAACTCGACGAAGAAAATGCTTCATCACGACCCTCCAATATTTTACAACGCGCACACCCGCCCAAGGCGCTCAACAAGGCTTTGATTTTTTTTCGTCCTTGAGCTAACATATTTTACAAGTAAACTCAAGAGTATCAATATCTTTTCAGCACCTCTCTTTGTCTCTCAGAAAACCGAACCGCTAGCACAGCAAAACAAAAATGCCAGATTTCAGAGCAGCTGCTCGTGCTCCTGTAATGCAGCAGAGCTTCCATGATACATCATACCAAAAACTGCTAAGTACTCACTCTAGTACTGTCACAGCCACGCAAGGCTGTCAGACTCCAGTACTGTCACGCTTGTTCTGTCTTTATCTTTAGTTTTAGATTGGAAGTAGAAGTACCTCCCAGTTGCTGACAACTACATCAAGAGCTCCACCCGAATCAAATAAAATGATACTTCTTGTTGGCAACAACTTGCTCGTCAAGAGCGTTAATCAGCAAGTCGCTTGGCTTCTCTGCAAGAAATTCTCCGGGTCTCGAAATTTTTGGAGGTTTTTCGGCAATCTGAAGGGCGCGCACTTCTTCAACGGGAAATTCTTCTCGGACGGGACAAGTAACAATGTCGGAGGCAGCATTCGGAATTGACGGCTCATGAGCAGAGGCCGCAAACTATCGGAAAGCGCGAGTTCGCACCCTTGGCTACTGCGTTGGCCCGGAATCGTCTCAATCTCTAGCCACCGCTGGCGGCATTCCTCTGGCGGACGCTGCATGTCGTCGCTGATGTAGACGAAATGAAAGAGGGACGGTCGAAGAGTGGTAGTAGTAGTTCAGCTTCAGTAATGAAATTCAAAGTGATGCGCTCAGGCAGAAGAACTAGAAAATCAAAGCTGACTGACATCGCAAACATAAATAAAGGCATCTCCAAAATCAGCATCCCACTTGTCACAGCTTTCTCGCAATTTAGCATCTTCTTCCGCAGTCCATGGTTGATTGTGGCTTGCGTACTGCTTACCGGCAAAAGCGTCCACCATACTTTTGACACGCGGGAATAAGCCGTGGTTGAATTCGTTTATGTATCGAATTAGCTTTCTTCGTTGTTCCGCTGTAATCATGGTCAAGCGAGTCGCTTCCTTCAAATCCATACTGACGAACTCGCTCCACCCTATCAGATCTCGTTCGCCAGCATGATCTAGTTTTGGACAATTGGCTTCCGTTCCCTTGTCAGCTTTCCCTTCTTCTGCTTCTGCACCAGCATCTTCACCTGATGCAGCTTCTTGTTTCCCACATCCACCTAGCTTGTCAAAGAGACTGGCGACTTCTTCCAAGCTCTCCTCTTCTTCGAACAGTCGAATTTCGCGCAGAAAGCGCCTCACATTCCAGCCAGGTGGCGGTGGCCTCGCATACTCTCGCCGCACTGCACGTACCTCCGCTCGGGGATCATGAACGAGAAGTATTATTGGGGCCGACGGCGTCCTACAACTGGGTAATTCACTGATGGACGTTCAAAATCAAATCAAGAGTGATCTCGATGTAATAGTTCTAATTTTCATGCTCATTGCTCTAACTCTTCTAAGTCTGAAATAATGATAATCTATATTCAATTGACTTCATCTAGAACTAGGAATACAACATGATCATGATGGCACTAACTACGTTAATACTCGAGGTCGAGGTACACCTGCTTTTGTTGCAGCTCATAAGAAAGATTATCCTTTTTCTCCCGCAGTCTTTCATGGAAGCGTTTGACGTTGAAGTAAGTCTCCGGATATCGGACCTTTGGATCTACATCCATTTGTTTTGGGAACTCCACTGTAGCAAAACATCGTCTAGTTGTGACGGTGTTCGCGCCACAACAAGAGGCTGTAACGAAGATAGTTCTGGCAACCGGCACTCTCGTCGTCAGAGTTTTCGTTCCAAGCCAGAGCGCCATTCTGAAAGGGCGTATGGATGTGTCGTTGTCGGATCAGAGAGGAAAACCACCTCTCCCCACTCCCGCCATTGGAACCGCGTAGCGGTACTCTCTACAGGTAGTGGCGTGCGATTAGGGTAGCCGGCTTTCCCGACTTATCGTCTTCGGGACAACCAGAGCAGTAGCAAGGAAATAATTGCCCATCGTTGTTTCTTGCATTATACACGTGATAGAAACTACTTAAGCTTTTCTTGGTTGCGTGCCAATGCCAAATAAAATGCCAGTACTACTACTACGCGACAAGGGCAAGGCGTGCCTGTGTAAGGGCTAGGAAGTAAGTAAGTAAGTAAGTAAGTAAGTAAGTAAGTAAGTAAGTAAGTAAGTAAGTAAGTAAGTACGTAAGTAAGAAAGTAAGTCAGTAAGTAGGAAAGTACGTAAGTCAGTAAGTAAGTAATATCAGCAACAGTAGCTCCACCTGGACGCAATTTGAGCTAAAATATCAGCTGCCCTCGCCGTCGCTCGTGCTGAAAGTTTGCGTGCCTATGCACCACGTAAGAGTAAGATGGAAAGCGCCCGGAGGCAAAATTGAAAATTTTTCATATTCAAAAGTATAATAATAATAGCGGGGGCGAGGTGAGCCCGGAGTGGTGCCCGGGGTGGTGCGGGCTGTTCACTACAGTACCCCGCGCGCCATCAGGCGCGAGATTACAAGACCAGCCTAAGGACTACCGCAAGGGCCAGAGCACCTCCAAGGCGCAGAGTTGGCACTTGGCAAAACTCAGCAGTTTAGTTAAAAGCCAGACCGCCACACCAACGCCAAGGCACTGCCGTCAGTCCCTCCGGCCCCCGCCCTGGAGTACAAGAACGGGGGCGACAAGACTGCAATGGCTGCTGCGTGAGAGAGGATCCGCGCACATCTGAGACAGAGCTAAAACAAAGCGACAAAATTGCAATGGATGCAACGAATTCAAGAGGAAGGCAAAACCAGTAAGCCAAAAGGTCAAAACTGCTCAGCGAGGCTGGGTAGGGAGGCATCTTCAGAGCCGCCAGAGGTGGCACTGGCAGCGGCAAAACAGCAATACCGCAAGGAAGAGCCGGCGAAAGGCGTGGCTACTCCTCACCAGCGTCCGCCCCCTGTGCGATTTCCTCCTCCGCGATCACACACGACCACGCGGCGAGTTCGTACGTCCGCGGTAACCGGGAAGCGCTCCCTCTGAGTGCAGGCCAAGAGATGACCTGGCGCATCCGCGTAGAGCTGACATAAACCGCAAAGGCAGAGTCGACGTCGAGGGCCAGACTCCGCGGCCCGTTTGCTCCTGGGCCAATTGACTAGGGTGGCGCCAGCTACTTGGGCCCTTCTCGAACCAGCTCCCGCCCTCTGTGCGAGGATGCTGCGGAGCATGTTCCGCCGCGTCTGTCTGGGAGTGTGCAGGCTGGTAACCGCCGCCCCGCTGAAGCTCGCGGGTACTGCAAGCGCCAGAGCACGAAAGGCGGCCGCCTCTTCTTCCGCAGGCCTACCCCTGGCCGACGCCCGTGAAAAACGCGTGGGGCTGGGGCGCAGATGGAGACGCCAGCTACCCAATACACCAGGCGACGCGCAGCGAGTGGCGTGCGCGGCGATGGCGTCTACTACATCACGGAGGGCGCCCCCGACGTGGCCGGGAATCCACTGAGGCCGCACCTCGTGGAAAGACGAACAGGCAGCCGCGACCACCCGAGGGCGCGGCGTTTCCGCACCGCCTGCGTTAGATCTTCCCGCGCACGCGTTGGAGACCGTGCCCACTAGACTGCGGCAATCCGTGGGCACCGTTAACCTGAGCCCATTCGGCGCCCTGGCGCAGGCCTTCTACTCTTTTCCTCGTGTCTGCTATATATTAGAAAACGTGAAAAATCTCTTTACTTGTAAAGTTTCGCCTTGGTTTTCCTTTTTACATTCTAACTTTTGGCTTTGATTTCATATTTTGAATTTTGATTCTTGATGTTAAATCTTGACTTCTGAAGACCAAGACACACGGAAGGAGCACCATAAAAACGCGCAGCGTTTTGCTATACTCATGAACGAGGAAAGCTAACTAAGACGCTATCACTAGGCGAAGGATAGACGATAGACGCCTACCCACAGACCTACAGACGGCCAGAAGGCAGAATCTGAAGCACAGCGACGCGCTAGGCAAATGCGGGAGAGTCCTAACAAGAGGCGCCGCGGTCCGAGTGCGTTTGCCGGTGCCGTCATGGTAGAAAGAGGCCCCAGGGAGGCCCCAAACCAACACCGAAGAAGAGAAAGCAAGCGCAGCGGCAGAGGCAAGCAGAGTGAGAAACATCACCCGGGGCACTTAGTCGAAAGCCGGCGCGCGCGCGCCGCGCCATGGCAGCCCCAAAGCACCAGACCCCCCCGCGGCGGGCTGCGTCGGTCGTAGTTCAGAGCGTAAGCTCAACGACAGCAACAAGCCCGCACAAAGTGCGCGAGGAGGGGGCGGCGGCACTCCGGCAGCGTGCCGCTGCTCGCTCGTTCTCATATAGTTCCCGAAGCGCCAGCGCAACACTGACCGCAACCCGCAGTCCCATATAGTAGCGCAAACCAAGACCAAAAAGACAAAAGGAAATCTGGCGCCAGTCCGTCACTCCCAGAGCATGCAGAGAGATAAAGCCGGGCAGAGCAGCTGGGCCGCGGTCAGCTGACTCGCTCACGCATCACGCTGATGATGATGATGATGATGTAAGCCCACCGATCGGGTGGGCCGGGGTGCCATCTCATCCCTGCAACCGTTTTACCTAAGAGGGTTGCCCTCTTTATGATAATCGCGCATCACTCTCACAGCGGAGGGCCAGAGCATCCCGACAGAAAAAGCAGACGCCCACCTTCCAGACGCAGAGGCGCCCACGCAGCAGACGCCAAGAAGGCGCCACTCCAGGTCCAGGGAGAACGAGAAGCCCCGAAGCCAACACAGGAGGCGCGAAGACTCACGCCGAAGTCTCTAGTCCACAATCCGAAAGCCCAGACATGGGCACCCCACGCCAAGAAGGGGCAGCCGCGGCGCGTCGCAGTTCGCTGACGTGAGCGCGCTCCCTGCGACTGAGTGCAGCGCCGGCCTTCCACTATCCCCATCGTCACGCCGTAAGCGTAGAATCGCGAGCCAAGCCTCGGCCCGCCCACGGGTACCGGGGTGCGCAGGCGCAGGCCATGTTTCGACGTTTCGCGCGGTAATGTTGTCCCAATGCATGGGACCCCGGTGGCCAGCCGGGGTGGAAAGTTAGGACGCGAATCCTGAAAGTAATAACATGAGTCAAAATTTTGAAAGTTAAAGCGTGAGCTTTGAATTTTGAGAGTTGAACTTTGAAAGTCAGGACCTGAATAGTGAAAGCTAGGGCATGAATTGCGAAAGTTGGCACATGAATTGCGAAAGCTAGGACATAAATTGCGAAAGTTAGTTAGGGCATAAATTTTGAAAGTTATGCTAAGGCGTGAGTAATGAAACTTAGGAGATCGATTTTGAAAGTTAGGGCATAAATTTTGAGAGTGAGGGCGCGAATTTTGAAAGTTAGGGCGTGAGTTTTGAAAGTTAAGGCATGCATTAAGAAAGTTAAGACATGGACGCTCAAACTTAAGCCATGAATTTTGCAGGTTAGATAGGGAGTGAATTCTGAAAGTTAGGGCATGCATTTTGAAAGTTAGAGCGTGAATTTTGAAAGTTTGAAAGTGTGGGCGTAAATTTTGAAAGTTAGGCCATGAATTTTGAAAAAGTTAAGAGATGAATTTTGAAAAAGTTACGGCGTAAACTATGCAAGTTAAGACATAAGCTGTGGAAGGTAGGACGTGAATACTGAAAGTTAGGCCATTAATTTTGAAAGCTAAGGCGTTCACTTTGAAAGTTAGGCCATGAATTTTGAAAGTTAAAGCATGGGCGCCGAAAGTAAGGGCATGAATTCTGAAAGTCAGGGCGTGCGCTCTGAAAGTCAAAGCCGCGTCGACATACTTTGGCGCCCCGCTCTCCTCTCCCCCAAGCCCCAAGGTCACGACGTTGGGGAGTGAATTCCGAAACTTCACGCGTCCGCTTTGGCGCCGCGCTCTCTCTCACCCAAGGCCGTGGCTCGCGCTGCGTGCCCGATGGCGCAAGGCGGCGGCCTCATGCAGTCGCGTCGCTTGCTTGCGCGCAGTCGCGTCACCTGCTTGCAGCGCCGCGCCCCACAGGCAACGCCCTACACCTCTGAACCCCCGCGGGCCGGCGTGGCCTCTGAATGCCTCAGACCCCGGCGGACAAATTCCGAAGGCGTGGCATGTGCCTGCTTATGCCTTCCTCTTGAGGATAGGCCCGCAGGCGCTTCCACCCCTGCCAGGCGTCCACATATCCTCCGGAGGCAAACGGCGCGCACTAATAAGGCCCGCCGCCCCGCAGCAACGCGCCCGATGACGCCCCGCCAAGGCTGACTCTTCTCGGGCTTTTTCTCAATTGTGGCGCCTGTTAAAGCATGTCCGTGCGTGTGCTTTGTCTAGCAAGTGTCTCTGGTTCCCATCGTATCCTTCCCCTGGGGAACCACACCAGGGGGCTAGTATGAATTATATCAATACTTTGCAACGATTTGTCGGTTGAAAATGCGTCATCAACACAGCTGAAATGGTAAGAATGCACTTTGATATTATTCATGTTCAAACCCAACGAAACTTCTATATCTCCATAATTCTATCAAAAGATGATCAGATGCTCGAATAAGTATCTATCAGACCCAAAACATTCGTTTGTCCGTCATGTTTCACGCCCCGGTGCCTCCACATTACGCACCCCCCTGACGTGGTCACCCATAATTCAATTTGGTCAGACAGTTGACAAGGCCTGCGTCCCTGCACATCGTCGGGTCTGGCACCGTTATACTTTCATGTTGGTGCCAGGCAAAGGACGCTGGAGTTCCATGTTTGAAGATCAGCATAGGCTGTGCGGTGTGAAGTGAGTCCCTTCTGGTCAGACAGTGTAAACTGATGGCACATTTCTTCACTTCATCGGTGCGGTGCTTTTCAGAACCTTATTGGAACAACATGCAAATTGACGAGAATAGTTGTAGATCGATGTTGAGCTGAGGCCAAAGACAGTTGTATCCACCTTTCAGAGATTGACAGATATTGTACCATCATATGCATGCCATTGCCAGCCCAGTCGCGGATGGATATCCAAGGAAAATTAAACACGAGCAAATCAATAGGTAAATTTGATTTTGATAAAGTACATTTATATCTGATAACTACTATATTCTCAACAATTGGTAGATTATTCGATAGCAGACTCAGCGACCATCATGCCCCAACGATTATATTTTGATAAAGTTTAACCACGTAGCAATCGGTAAAAACTAATGGAATACTTTTGTGGGAATTGTATGCTGACCATAAGTCACAAGCCGACTTCATTTGTATTTATCATGCAAATCTACAGATTTACTGCATCCGAACCAGCAAAAATCCAAAAACAGAAGACAAAACCATTAGAAAACAGGTTTCCTTGCGTCGTGTTATTAATCCTATCTGCTTAAGCTTATGTGCTGATGGTGATGCCAATATGTACTTTTTATTGAGATGATCGCTGTGATCGAAATCACGACCGCTACCTAAAAGGAGGATACCCAACATCACTTTCTGTCGGCACGCATAGAGACACGGCCACCTGCCAGCGGAAGGTCCTCGTGATGTGATCATAACTAATTGTTTTCATCATCGTTGTATTCAGCGAGGACAGGCAGTGATGCATTCTCGATATATTTCTATGGATGATGATCTCGATGATCATCATCGTGGCACATTTGGTAAGGGTACCAAGCCTACACAGCAATATTTTCTCTAACGCCATTTTTAGCCATCACTTCATCTTGAAGACAAATGAGACCATAGATACGTACCTCACTCCTTTAAGATGATTTTCCGATTGATGACTCCACGAATGGGAGCAATGTATCAATCATGATGATCATACTGTTTAGCTATCTTCTCGCTTTTCCGCTAGCAAAAGCCCCAAAATTAATGTGTTGTGCTATATATAAGAGTTGTCGAGACGCAACTTCTACTAACAGCATAGTTTTTGAAAATGATATGGTCATTGTAATTTTTTCGTACAAGTACATCGAATATGCGTTTTCCTACTCGTACTTGTTTTATGATAAGTAGTACCACCTTACACAGACGAAAATTCTCAGCAAGTCTGCCCTTCAGCCGAGAACTCGTTACGTCGTGAATGTACTGCAGCTGCTGTGGCGGTGATCCGATTTTACCATGATCATCAATTACATATTTTCACATACGACTATGCCTCTTATTTATTCCTCTAGAATCATCTACTTTGTTGTGTACTAGCACATAACCGTCTCACACCTAGAGCTACATGCGATATCATTGTGAACTTTCACATTCATAAAATTCCTTTCCTTGACGATCTTATGCTTAATCTTGAGTTCTTATGCTATGCCTGCTCCAAAACGAGCGCCTTGGCAGCTTACAACTTTTTGAGAAAGTCTCCCTGCAAGAATAATGTCAGTCCAACCACAATTCGTCGAGGATGCGGTAACACATATGCAAATAATAACAACAACCACATGTTAACCACGCGGATGTAGATCTCTGTCTACATCAGAATCGAACAGATCAACAAGAGGATCGAAAACGAATCAACAACACCAGCAATATTTCTTGTTCAGCTTGAAGTTGAATTCGTACTACAACTACATCAAACTCAGATCTGTTAATCTGATTCATTCTGGATATTCGAGTTAAGTACTTTGTGTGTCGCAACTTCGATTGTCCTTAAAGATCAAAACTCCCACGATGTATTCACCCAGAGAATGGGCTTGCAGCTTCAGCTGCCGAAAAATTCGAGAGATTCGCACCAGATCCATTCGCAATGCTGAGGTTCGAAGCATTTGCTGCCGCGGTCAGGACAGTAGGGTTGCTTAGAGCGTACCCCATAAAGCCAAGCATGGCAGCCTGAGCAGCGACAAGCACGCTCCCATCCTGGAGTTTTTTAAATGGACACAACAGCTGAAGATGTGCTGGTTGGGTTCCCCGATTATATCATGACCGACTCAGATGTGCATGCCATACTGATAGGTAGATAGATAGATAGACACATAATACTGTACATATCACAGCCTTGACATGTGGCACATGTCAAAATAACTAGTTTTGTAAGAAGGCTGTGATATGTACAGTATTATCTGTCTATCTATCTATCTATCTATCTATCTACCTATCAGCAGCAGCCGCAATACGTCGTATATGAAAGAGAGAATATAAATCACAGCAATTACTAAGTTGTAGAATAGGTACTCGTAGAGTATTGAGAGGAAGGCCTAATTCAGACAGAAAGTCAACTGGAAAAAGAAAACCAAGACAATAAAAAACCGAAGACGTGGCAGCGTTCTTGCACGCGGAAGCGCATTCAGCACACGAGGGGCAACTTTTATAGAGTTCAATCGCTTTCCCAGGGACCGCGATAGCAGCTTTGCATCCTTTGGCGCAGACCTGTCCCACCTTCTCGGCAGCAGCAACGCATGTGCGTCCAGTTTTTTTCAGAAAACCTCCACGATCTGAACTGCACTCTTCTCTTTTGGCATTTTTGGCTGGTTGAAGGTAAAGAGAAATTGAAGATTATAACTCCTCCGGATTATGACGAACACTCATCTGAATCAACGTGAAGAACATCCTGCAATTGCTAAAAACTTCATTCAACAAATCTAATCACCGCGATTTCTGCCCTACTGAAAAGACTCACCCAGAACTATTGCGAACAGCACATTTTCTATGTGTACAACTTCCGAGGTCCTCCGTTTTATCGCTGTTGACCCCGGTGGCCAGAGGAACAGGGGGAGTGGCTGTCGAAGCGCTACTCAATCCTCCGCTACTTGGAACCTTCCCTAGCTGCATCTTTGGCGTTGCATCATCTGACGAAAATTTTGAAGAGTGATGTCAGACCCGCACGCCCTGTACATACAGTGCATGAACAGCTACCATGGAAGAAAATCAGCCAAGACTCAAGTCATGGTGTAAATTTTTGCGAGAATTCTTCGTCTACTCCATTCTTCTTCGTTTCATGATCATGATTGATTATTGATTAGAGGTACAAGGAATAAAAAGCAATCTCCACTTCTGCCAAGTACCTCCACCTTTTGCATGCACTCCATTCGCGACGGCCGCAAAGACGACAACAGCAACTGCAACAGAAAAACGAGCCATTGTGTTTGTTTTGGTGGTGAACGTTGTCCTCTGAAGATAGAAATCAACAAATTCTAATTCAATTAGATATTCAACACCACGTTAGAGGTTTATATCAAAATCGAGATTAAAACGGATACTTTTGAAATTCTCTACAGTTTTGATGTAACAGACTGATTCTCAAGCCTTCTCACAAACTATCTTGAACAGTTAGTATAAATATGTATCTATAGGACTATCCCCTATTCGATGAAGTTCGTGTAAACGAAATTTTGAGGTTGTAGGTTGCAGTTGTAAGACGTGTCTTTGTATTATCGCGTCATCGGTACGTGAATGATATTTTTCCTGTGTGATGATTCAGCGGAAAGAAGGTCCAAAGCTGACTGGAAAAATCAGCGGAAAGAATATTGCGTGCATGTGGTGCTGATATATGGATCTTCGTAGCAAGACGTGGAAGATGTGGATAACGATAACCATCAACCACAATTTCATGGGATTGGATCATGCAGGACAGAGCACCTACTTACTACGAAGTACTGTTGTAAAACGAAGACGAACAGTCTGCTCCTCCTAATAATTTCACCCTCTAGCGGAGGCCGATGTTTTGGTTTTCACGTTGCCTGCTTATAGACATTTGCGCATAGAAACAATCCTTCAAAGGACCATGGAGTTGAAACATCTTGATGCGTTGACAGGTTATGCAAGAATGTTTGCACCCGATGGCGATTTGCATCGTCACATGTTTGAAGACATCTTGACCTTTCAGAAACAATTCTTCAAGAAACGGTTACGATGCTGCTTCTTTATCTTCTATCCATCGAAACATAGTTTCAGAATCAAAGTCCTCACCTGTATGTTCATGTTTGCCCTGATGAAGATGCAGACTCAAGGGGGCAAAGTGTGCCAAACGTAGCACCAGTCAGAAACAATAAGCCGTAGTCGACATTTCATCATGCACGTTCCTTGCGTAGTTCGTCGTCGTTGTACTAACTTCTTCATGTTTGTTCGATTTTCTTTATCTTTTCGAGTCATCAACAATCATGAGCGCTATCATCTGTTACACATGAAGATCCGCATCCTCTGAATCTGTATCTTGCCAATTTTGATCACTTCTCAGGAGGTACTCGATGTCAACTCCTTCTTCGGCGTTTGTTCTGCGGCTTTCGTAAGACACTTCTCCATGTAGTTGAAGAAGTAAGGCCAGTAAAATTGAATCGGCACAGAGCTCAGGTGCCACATCGCATGAGCATCAATCCACATCTTGCTTAGATGAGGATCTAGAAGTTGTGAAAGTGCTTGTTATGTGTGTAACTCTGACATAGCCGTTGTGACCATCCTTGAGCGGCAAAATCCGGCCGCAACAACTTCTCCTATTGGTTGTAGCGTGAAAACATCCTTTCATATATACATAGTATTTCGACTTTTAACAAAAGTGTGTCACGCTTTGGTATTTTTTGCTTGGTAGCCATAAATGAATTTCGGAGGGCGGGAAGTCCAACACTTCGTACACGATGGCAAGTGGGAAAGCGCCAATTCTTAGAGAAGAAGAGGTTGAAGTGGCAGCTTCTTTAGGTTGTCGTGAAGACATGATGAAGTCATGGTGCTGTATAAAGATAAACTATAAAGAAGGTCTAGGTCATTCAAAGTCTCCTAATTACCAGATTTACAACAACGACCTTCATGATCTTGTTCAGACTAGACTTTCGATGTACCCAGTAGATATGCATATCCGCTAATTCGTCCGCGAGATGCAAGTATTATTCGAAGGACTCAATGATCGGCGTCATTTTTGATCATAAAAAGAGTACGATTGGGCATGCGGCTTCCTCTACAAACATGTGGCGGAAGCATCTGCTCGCCAATGGTAAAAGGAAACTTAGAGTCAGGAGTTTTTCGTCATCTTGAAGTGAGGTCATCCAACGGGATTCCGTTTGGTGATTGGAAATTGGATAGTAATTGATATGAGTAGAATTATGGAGATATTGTCAAAGACAATGACAGACAACGACAAGGTGGGAGCCCCTTAAGAGATACAAGACAGCACTAAACGCGCCGGCCATCAGGACAAGAGGGACCGGTTCGATAATTAAGCGGAAGAGACACAGCACCACCACCAGAGCACATGGTAATGTCACGAAAAGAAGGATCTGGTCGTCTTGGACCAATGAGCACAGTGTTCCCCACAATGTAATCTCCGTGGACACCTGGTCCGTTGACTTCATCTCGACGCTCGTTGCCGAGCTCTCCGGCGCTTGTTTGAGACCGTTGTTTTGTACAGCGAGCTTATTCTTGCTCCCCTTATTAGAAGGGCTGCTTACCAACGTTAATCAGTAGTAGTTCCACTTCATCCTCCACCAATGCAATTTATTCTACTTACAACTGACCGTGACCATCCAGAAAGATGTTTTGCAACGGGCTACAAATAGTAGTTGTTGCCCCAAGAATTCATATTCAACAATTCTTATGCAACTACTAAAAGTAGCGCTACAGGAAAGGTGTTGCACAACTGATAGGTTAAGGAAACAGTAAAGCGAGACCCTTAAGCGGACTGTTCTTCGACTTCGCAGAGTCTCCTTCTTCTTTCGAAGGCCCACGCCCTTCGTTTTGTTTCGCCACGGTGTCGAACATTAGGGCCATCCATATCGAGAAACCGACAGCGACTTGCACAGACAGGACGTCCACATAAAGTGTCCACTCCGTTTCGTTCGCGTGGAAAATCGCGCTCTGTAGAAACGCGTTGACTCCGAGGAAGTGCCACATTGCTTTGGAGCACTGAAACACCCGGTAACCTTCGAACGGCAGGGTGGTCGCTTTTGTGGCGGCAATCCCGCCGCTGTTGCTGGTCTCTTTATTCTCAGCAGAGTCAATCGGCTTTCCTTGCGGTCCGAAAACAATAGCGAACACCACCAGCACGAGCTCGTAGAAGTGAGGGAGCATGTTCCAAATCGAAAATAATACCGAAAAAAACTCCTGCACGCCACCTGCCCGACGGAAGGCCCAACGTCCGTTGTATTTCACCACGAACTCCTTATCAAACACTCGCTCCGCGTGATTTTGTAACACGCAACTGTATTGACAATTGCGCTCGCAATCCCACCAAGTGTGCGGCGCAAAACCCTCAAAATGAAAGTCGATAGGGTTGACGATGTTCGTGATAGAGATCGGAGTGATGATCACATTTAATATTCCAATTTTCGGCTAAATTCATACATAGATGTTTTGCAAGCATACAGATGAAGAATCTCGTCCTAAATGTACTACATCCATCTACTTGCATAGAGAACTACAGGCCCAATGCTACACCGACAGTCTTGCTGATCTTCGCCGAGTAGAGAAGATAGATACGATAAAACGAGCTTGCTTCGTATGCACCACCGTGACATGAAGCACCACCGTGACATGAAGACGAAGACGGATAAAAAAGGTCGTTAGAGAATAACGCGTGAAGGATCATGACCTTGACCATGCTTTCTTACATCTGTGAGGGAATGCTGCGCATCTCCAGGATAAGGCTCTCTTCAACGATCCCGGCCGATCGCCGAAAAGCCGCCGTTTCGAACTTCCAACTGTTCAGGGCTTGCCGGACAGTAAACGGGTGATGGACCTGTAAAAGAGGGTCCTTTGCCAGTATGGGCAGCATAGGCTCTATATTTGGGTCGGCTACTCGGGACAGCCTGCGCAATTCCGAGTTGAGAGTTCTGATCTTGCCAGTAGCATCCATCGACCATGACGCGATAACATTCGACGGCGGCACCCTCGATTCTTAGAACACGGAAAAGAAACTATTTTTACGTTACTTACCACAAAGAATAAACATACTATGAGCAGAGAAGCTACTTCTTTCTCTATTTTTCTGTGACTACTTAGTTGAAAGAAATAAAAGAGGCTTTACAGTAATGTATATTCAAAAAGCGAAACGCCAGCCTTATTCTGCGGACGCTTTCTGCTGCGAGAGCCAAATCTGGAAGAAGCGGTAGCCTACTAACGCGCGCCCCGAAAGGTGGAGCTCCGGTTCGTTGATGGCGTTTAGTCCTCCAGGCTGACGCCCCATTTTTGTCTCCCCATGCAAAAACCAAGACTCAAGATCACTCCGAATGGCAGGAACATAGGAGTCTGGCACGGTTTGCGTCCCGCGATGCGAATGGCTGACCTCGTCGATAAACCTGCCTGGGAGATGTAGACTCACACGTCGGTGGGCCCCCCATCTCGGTATCGGATTGTCTTTCCTCATTAGAGCGGCAGCTGTAATTTCTACAGTACTTCTGCATCAATCTGCTACTTAAATCAATAGTGCTTGCTAATTCGCTAGATCACCGATCATGAAGCTGACGAGTAGCATTTCTTGACCAACATGCACATGGTATCGAAAAAACAACTCTATGTATTCAAAAATATCGGATATTCTTCGAAAAGAAAGCAGGTGAAAACGCGGTACGAAGCATAAAAAATATTTCCTGTACTCTGCAACGTATGCTTTCTCTATTTCATGCTCGTTGCGCTCCCTGGCCTGTGCGGCTTTGCCCGAAGCCTTTGCGTCTGGCGGCAACTGCGCCCCTGCCGTTGTCGCTGCGGTCTTTGATGAGACATGATTACTATCAGCCTGATTGACTTCACCGGACGAGGTAGAAATCAAAGATGATGTTGATGTCGACGGTGATGTCGAACTCGAAGATGATGTCGTTGTCGTTGATGTCGAAGACAAAAGCATGCCAGAGCCATTTTCGCCTTTCTTCACGTCTTTTTGCTCCAGAAGTTTTTTTGCTGGAGTATCAATGGTTTCTGCTGCCCTCATTTCTGGCTTGCTCTTCTTGGTCGGAGGACCCGACGAACCAGTGGATGGAAGCGTAGATGCAAATTGATATGAAGACGAAGATCCTGTTGATGAAGAGGTCGTTGATGTTAACAAACCCGCCTCCAAAAGTCGTTGCTGAAACCCTTCTTCATGCATCCTCTGGGCATGCGTCGGTTCCTCGGGCCCATGCGACATACTCTTCACAAAGGCCTCGATTTCAGCATCAGAGTACTCGGATCCTCTGATTGCCTTCATTGCGGCGAGCTGGGCTTCATGCGATGCTCCTCCTAGAAGTGCATTGTACGCGACCTTCTCTTGCTCCTTCAGAGACAAGTTTTTCATGGGGTCTTCATCAATGCTCTTAGAATAGAGGAGTTGAAAGCTGTTCGACATTCGCAACTGAGCCCTGCAGTGGAAAATCATTTCTAGCTCTAGTATGGTCCGTTTTTGGAGATAAAATAGTAGCTCACAAAAGAGTACTTGCTCCACCTCCTGCGGTCGTGGCGCAAAATCCAATTTGCAAATAAATCAAAGATGTCGACAGCTAGTTGCAGTCCCACATTCATGTTGAAGATGTACTTCTACTTACCTTGATAATATCAAATAAAGCAGCTTAAGTTTATTATAATTTGGTTTGCGTTTCGGTTTCGACGATGCGAGAAGGCTGTTCTCCTTCAGTAGCAGGCGTGGCGGATTCGGGACCCATTTTCCGGCTGTGACTGCGATCGCAATTCCCTCCATCAGCTTCCGAAATCGTTTTCGCTCGGCCTTTCTACGCTTATGCGCTTCAGCTTTAGCACGTGCTACCGCCTCTTCCTCTGGGCTCATTGGGCGCTGCTGCTCTTCTTGCTCTTGATCGTCAGTTTGATGATCACCTTGATTCTGATTGGCCGCTCCATTCGCGCCCTTGATCTTCATATTTCTGTTTTTTTTCCTCTTTCCACCGCGCGCTTTTAACAACTTCTCCTGTAAAGATTTCGTGAATGCACGCCGCTTGGGAGACACCCTCGCCTCAATCTTGTGATATCCAATGCTGCGATCAAAGACATCTTCGATAGGATCATCCATGTCGGCTAAAGCTTCAGGAGCGCATTTGCCCACGTTGCCCTCTCCAAGTTCGTAATCATCCTTGTCATCCGGTTTCTCTTCTTCTGCTGGCGCTTAGATGGAGGAAGGCGAACTGTGAATCTGAATAGATCCGTTATATCTGAACAGCATCAAAACTCAGTCACCTCGGTCACTGACCGTCAATGACATCTTTGAACAAGCTACTCCTGTTCTACGTCTACTCTAACGTTGTCAAGATAACAAAAAAGTACGCAGTTCCAATTGGGTCATAAGTTATATCGCCTTGTTCAGGGCCTACTCCTTTCACCAACTTCAGAGCTTGGGCTTCCTTGCGTTTGCGAAGACGTCGCATCTCCGCACTGTAGCACTCGTGAGCTCTGCACCCAGCATTGCAGGCACTCGAGCAGATGAGATATCGCCGATCTCTCTGACCAGAGAAAGTCCCTTCACTATACGGCGGACTAACCTGATTGTGCGTGCAACGACCTCCGAGACCGCACCATACGGTGAATGGATATATGCGTGCGAAAAACAGGAACCCAGCGACCCACAAGAGGAAAAATACTGTCCGCAGCCGTGGCACGTACCAAGGACAAGGACGACCGAATACCTTTCGAAAGAGAACGACTTCTCTTTCATCTTCGCTAGCAAAATCTAGCAAGCCTTCTTCCTGGTGTCTTTTGCTTTTAGACGTTCCTCGTGCACCTTTCGTGCCACCACTGCGATTCTCCCGATGAGAAGGAGACTCTTTGCTGGACGAGGAATCATCCGAAGACTTTGGGCTGCTTTCTTTTTTCCCCACAGAACCAGACGCGTTTTTGCCAGGTCGAAATCTGACTTGACCAGACGAAGAAGTCATCCTGTGAAAGTGGTTATCTTGAAAATCATACTAGCGTTAAAAAAATGAAGTCCAAATCTATACTGAAAAACCCTCTCGTAGACACTCCACAAATAAGACTCACGATTAAAATAACGACCCCCAGCCGGAACATGCGACGTCAGAACACGCGACAACGCAGAGCATGATAATCCTGGTGGAATACTCTCGACGGACACGCATTCCTGCCATCAATGTCCTTTCTCCTCTCGAAAGTCTAGTTGTATGGATCCTTTTGTTCCTAGCCGTTGCTATATCGCAAAGACGAACACTATGTTGGTTATTTGATGCACTTCTAGGCCGTAGGAAGCAGACCACGACTCTGTTCAGACTTCCACAGCAATCAAGCACAACGCACAGTTAAAATCCGCTGAAAATGCGTCGGTCCCGTTAGTACAACGTCATCAAAAGGTGGGCGTGGGAAGTCAAATGTGTACAAATCTTAAATGTCGCAAGTCCAATTTTGCCACTCGTAAACCATGTTTTATCGATGTTCTATAATACTGAATGTAATGTTAAGTGGAATATTGACCACGCAGACAAACATGAGCACAATGAGAATAACTTTGGCTACACACTGCGATCGTGATGTTAAACTTTAATAAGTATTTAAATTTTAGATGGAAGATGATAGCGGATTTATGAATGGTTCTTCTCTCTGTTCAAATTGAATTACAAGCACTATCCGCATGCTAATCGAGATCATGTCATATTACTGGCTCTCACATTAGCACGTTTACTAAAGAACAAACATTGTTGGAGTAAGCCGCCCGTTGTCAGTGTCAGTGTCAATAACGTGTTAAGCGTGAGATCAGACTGATAAATGTCAGTATCAATAAATGCCTAACCCAGGTGGATGGCGGACCGTCGGTTGTGATCATTACTCTGACGTGATGAATCGCGAACGCCGAGCGGCCTCTTTTACATACTTGTTTCGCGTTCCTCTTCATTATTGTGTACGTAAGTGCTCGCGCTCCCTCGCGGCAACAAGCGCTTCCTTTTTCTGTACTAAAAGTTACGGTCGTGTGACCACCCACTTTAGGGTGTACCCGATGAATTCTTGTAATCGTCTTCTTCACTTCTTCTTCTTCTTCTTCATGCGTCATACTTTCGAATAGATGTGGTTGTCGCTGCATCGTACGTTTTCAACCACCGATTGTTTTCACAATTCCTCAAAGTCAAATGCTTCAAACTCTACCCGTAAATGTTCAATGTGCATTCTTGTCATCATAGCTGTCGGCTTCATCTACTCTTGCTCTTCTTACTTTGTGATCGCTGCTTGTTGATGCGGACATTCTCGGCTTCCCGCGTCCAAGTAGAATTAGTATCGCCGACCAAGTCGCAGAATGCCGCTCGGCGTTTGCAACTCGCCTGTACAACAAGGTTGCTACTTGGTAGTCGTCCTTATGAATAAAAATCTACTGGAAGCCGTTCCGCCGCGTGATGATGCACAACAAACAATGGCTTGCAGCATTGTCGGGGTCGGTAATGCCATAGGCGAAAGGACCACCAGGTGTGACTCGTATGTGTAAAAAACATCTTGTAATTCTGTCCACTACTCCCGTCTAGATTGGAAAGTGGTCGCGTGGAAATGTCTACATTTCATCGAGATGCAACTTGTTGCTCAGCCGCAAAATTTCGGCCCAATACGAGTTAGAGAAAATTTACCATGATACCAAGACTTTTTTCTCTGTTTCTCTACTGATTCAGTTGTATGTTGATGTTCAGCTTTCGTAATCCAATACAACAAATCTCTCCTCCATATCAACCAAAATATATTACAAACTCTAGGACCAAATACATAAGTTACAGCCACACCTATGCTACATTTTTCTAAATAAGTACCTACAACTGATACTGTTCCAGTTCCTTCCTCGCATCGTAAGAAAAAGCCCAACCGCGATCATGCGGGCTGGTCACTCGGTTCACCTCCCGCATCAGATTTCCGAACACAGGTCCCAAACCAGGGGTTTCTTCAGGATGACAAAAAAGCTCCAAATGCGTCACGGGTTTGCAGTCGTAGCGGTGCTCTGACTTGAGAAAGTCGACGAACGTTCGATTTGAAGGCGTGTCGAAAAAACTCTCATTTTCCACCCACATGCGCGGCCGATCAACTTGAAGCACTTTCGTAGCCCCCTTGACAACCTCGAGCTCCATGAACTCGACATCAATTTTCAAAAACTTTACCCGTTCGGTAGGATCGAGGATACCTGAGGGTGGAAGATGTAGATGTCGCGGTCCAACTGACCGAAGTAGAGCTTAAGGACCTTTTTTAGGTGTGCGTGTCGGAGAACAGTTCCATCGTCTGTTAATATGTAGAAGCAGTACCTTTCTCCCTCAATCCGTCAAGAATTTGGTCGAGTGTCCTCACATCAACGGTCTCTTTCTTGCTGTCATATACTATGCTTTGCTCCTTGGCTGCCACTCCTTCGTACTGCTCCGACACTCTCATGGCTGAGGGAACAGTCAACTGCTTCCGCAGATCTGGCTGATACAAAGAAACTCGCTCGGCTTTGCTTCCAACCGCCTCTAGTTTTTAGAGAAGGAAGCTTAAGACACCCTGACCAACTGGCTGGGCGGAGACAAATGAGGTGCTACAACAATGAATGTGATTAGTCATAATTGCAAGACAACTCTATGTAAATGTACATATAGATACCTATGTATAGATTATAGATGATAGAACTTCAACTTTCCTCAATCCATTACAATTGATCACTCGAACAGCCAACTTCTCTATGCTCATAATGAAATGTGAAAACGTTCGCCAAGCCGTTGATCGCCACGTTCGCGGTTAGCTGCTGAAAGAGAACGCGAAATGGCTCGAAGGACAGCACTTTTCCGTTCTCACCGACGCGTTCGGCCAGCGGCACTGTGAAGCCACCAATGTTCGCACCAACATCGATAACCAGGTCTCCTTGCTCAACCAGACTTTGCATACCGTAGCTTTGCGCCATATCGAACGTGCCCCAGTGGCGTACAGCATTTCCCACATTCATGTCGTTCGCCGGTGCCAGAAAAGCGTGCGAAACATCGCAGCAAATGAAGGGAAAGGACCGGGACTGGAACGAGGCAAATAATCTTTACAGCTCTGACTAATGCAAGAACTTGGTGAAATAGTTTGCATGAAGGGATGAGCCTAGGATTAGAACTTGGTGAAATAGTATATCATCATCATGTATCTCCTGGCTTTTGAATTCCCAGTAGTACTTCTAGAATATCAATCTTTAGATAAACTAGTAACCCCTTCTTGTACTAAGTCAATAAACGTCCATTCATAAGCCGAATCTGTCCCAAACAACAGGCTTCGTAGGTATAGAAATCGTCGAAGCAGGTTGCACCTTCCCGGCAACAGATCTCTGGCGTAAGCGTCGCTGTTTCTGAAGATGGCCAGCAACGTTCCTGAAACGTGCCTGAAACTGGTGGCATGTGATGTCCCGTTGTAAGAATCGTCGGAAAATGGATGCCGTTAACCTGACATTCCTTCGAGATAAATGCATGGTAGATAAAAATCAGATGTTGTTGTTGAGCATGCGATAAATCTACAGAAAACAAAGAGCCGCAGGTACAGCTTGCAGTATGGAAATAAAAGAAAAAGACTCGACAGAAGGATAAAAGAGTAACTTGATACCACTGTCTTTTTCTCTGTGCCTCCGGTCCGGTGGAGCCTACCGAGACGCAGCTCATCGACGCAGGTGGTGTAAAACCGCACAAACGTTGTTTCACTCCATGCCGTCGGAGTGCTTGAGCTTAGAAGACTACGTCGTCTGAATATTCATCTTCATCATGTGAAGCTAAAAATGAAGACTGCAAATGAATTCCTACTTAGTTACGATTACAAATGGTTACTAATGCTGGTAATAGACACAGAAGGAGGTACAGCGCACTGGTCATAAGTATTGTGTGAACTCCGCAGCCCGCAGCAGATCGACACAATTTTGGTACGTGTATGAGAAGCGCTCTGGATGTGCGAGTAGCAACGCCATGCGCTGTTTCCAAGCTGCTTCAGCCCTAATGTCTTGGATGTGCAGTAAATCGCCTCCACCCGCTAGTTGGTACGTCGCCTGCAACTCCGAGGCAAGGAGCTCCTCTACCTGATCGAGGCCACTTGCACCACTAATGTGATCCACACCATTCAACGACAGCAAAGCCGTGAGCACGACTGCACTCAAATATCGAGAGGACATCATCGTGATCACTTTTGTATCTACTGAACTTTTAAAAAGTATTAATGACAAACTTGGGGACAGACAATGCTGTTGCATTTGACTGCGCTTGGTTCTCTCAGAGACCTCCTTCTCCTAAAGTAGTTTTAGTTTGGATATTAGGAGAATGTCGATAAGAGAGACTTTTAGCGCGAACCTGCTTTTAGCGAGTCAACCATAGATATATTAGGAAAAAAAACTTGTCAGTTCGTCCCCATTTATTTTTATTTGCTCACGCTCAGTGACTGCCCACATCAAGAAGCTTTGCGCAAAGTCGTTGAAAAAACAATCCAATATTGACCGATGGTGGTACTTCAGTGAGCACCGCAGTCACTCAGAAGAATCCAAACAAAATGGTAATATCTATTTTTCACCAAAGCTTGAGATACTCCAACGTCTTTTTGTTCGTTTGCATTGCTATCCGGAACAAAAAAAGGACTATAAAAAACGAGAAGCGCATCACGACGAAAGCGTAACCGCCTTTTTGTCATCATGACTTTGACTTTTCGCATGTACCATAATGTAATCCCCTAACACCATATTGCTGGGCAAGAGCTGAACAACAGCTGCTGGCGTAGCAATGATTTTGTGAAAAATGTCGTCTACGACAAAGCAGAAATGTAGTATCAGTGATACAATCGCGATTGATAACGGAGTGTAAGTGAGGTGGATATTCTATAATTTGACGCTTCCGATGTAATTTTTCTTGGAATAATCTGAGTCCTTGTTCACATCACCAGTGAGTCCTGCAAGCTGCTCCACGTTGAGAAGTATCTGGTAGATTGCGTAAATTGAGGGTACCACGTAGGAAAAAAGTTACAACAAATCAGAAGCAGTGGTACAAAAAGTAAGTAGCAGCTCTGCTCATTCTAATTTTATCAAAGATGCTCCTTTACTACCTCTAAAGTTCTCGTTTGCTGGATCCCTTTCGGCCTGCGTACATGACCTCTTCAATCGATGCTACGTCCGCCTCCGTCAGAGGTCCAAGGCTCTGGACTGCGACAGCTTCCTGAATGTGCTGTGGGTCCTTGCAACCGGACAAAGGCTGGCCTCCACTACTGTCAATTATGTATCGATATAGAACCTGCGAAGATGTCGCGTTGTAGGTCTGCGCCAATCTTTGAACCGGTGGTGACTTGAGCAAACCAGGATTCGCGGTTAGCGTCCAGAAGGATTGATACCTGTAAGAGTGTAGCCTTGTGCAGCTGGTTTAAAGAAAGACACTGACTAGGACTAGCTTTGCAATTTAAAAATTGATGCATAGGCCCCACTCTAAAGCTAAAGAAGAAGCGTAGGTGATGAAAAAGTGGACATGAAGCTCAACTCTTCAATTCAAAATTTCAAAACTTCAGCTAGTAAGTACATCTTTTTGATCATTCAGTACCTAATATTCCTCTCCCTGCAAAAGTCTCGCAGCTCTCTGTCAAATCCAGTCTGCACGTAAAAACGGTTCTGCAATACAATGGGCTTGTATCTTGCCTCGGTATAAAGGTACTCGAAAAAAGGTAAGTCGTAAACATTTGATACTCCGAGGTGAGCAACGAGGATTAGAAGAGGCGCAGATCACCGGAAAGAGAGAATCTGACACTGCTGTTGGTCTAAGAGTGGAGACTCCTGAGATCCTTCAAGTCCGTCGTGTCGCTTTTACAACATACGGAATCGCATGCAAAAGTGGCATCCACCTCCAAAGAAGCCCATCGCAAGGAACCTCTCACGCCAGTCCAATTGGAGGCTCCTGCTGAGCTCCTTCGAGTCGTGTCGGTTTTACATACGGAACCGTGTGTAAAAGCGGAGGCCGTCTGTCTCCAAGAAAGCAGAGCGAAAACCTTTCATGTAAGGCCACTTTTTGTGTGGCGCCAAACTGTTTGGAGCGTGATAGAATAGTTATTACTTCACCTCGCCACACGTTAGATTGTATGATACTATCAGTTGTTGTTAAAATCAAGGCATAACTTTCCCTCGTCAACTGCGTTTTCCATTGCTCTCCACGCCTTCATTGTGAGATCTGCTCGGCCCTTCACCGGTCCATGCAATACTAGACTGTCGATTTGCTCAACTTGAAGGTTCTGTCGACTTACCTCTACACTTTGCCGCACCTGCTCCTCAAGCGGCGCATCCTTATCGTATGGCACCTTGTTCGCGTCCTGGCCATCAATAGACGTATACTTCGTTTGGATCCACACATCCTGCCGTGTTATTACGCCCTGAGAGTGAGTGCGAGTCAGTGATTCGTTGTAGCAACATGTGTATTTTATGAAATTGGAAGACAAAGGTAGCTCCATATTGCCAAGGGAGCTCCATCTTACGGTGACAAGAATAATTAGAACCGAAGTCAATCAATGACACAAAAAACTCTAAAGACGACTCACATCGTTTTGCCAATCAATCTGCACCTAGTAGTAGTATGCTAATTCTGAGTGGCACCTTATTCCTTTTATATACGAATCGACAAGAATCGAGGTCGAAAGTCAGGGTTTTAAGGGGCGCCAAATGGAATTCCAGGGTTTAGAGGAAACGAAAGCCAGAGTTCTGCAGAGTTTGTGAGGGAGCCGCTAAGTCGGAGACGGTTCACGCTCGCGGAAAAAAAGCCAAGGTTTTGGACCGCTCCCAGGGTTTTGGCTCTCAGGGTAGACCAAACAGCGGAAAAAACCCAAGGCTTCAGCCTCAGGGTTTGCCTCCTAATTTTTCACCTCAAGGTTTCAAAACTCAGGGTTTTGAGAATCATATTAGCGATCCCATTTTTAGCGTGCCAGGGGGGGCCCCCCTGGCGTCCTCAGGGTTTGCCCCTCTCAGGGTTTGCCTCTCTCAGGTTTTGCCCCTCTCAGGGTTTGCCCCTCTCAAGGTTTGCCCATCTCAAGGCTTGCAACACGAAAAGCCAGAACGAACCCGCCGAGGGAGGGCGAGAAGAAACACGCCACAAGGCCGCAAGCCACGCAATGCGGACGGCGAGACTTCCCTGAGCAGGTTCCCAGGCCGGGTAGAAGCGCTGCAGGCGGCCTTGTCCGCGGGCGGGCTGGCGTGTTTTCCCCCTTTGGGCCTTTCGAGACGTTAACGGGATAAAACGTGCACCGCGTGCGCGTTTTGTCCTTGTAATGGCTTCCAAAATGCAGGAAAAACTGAACGGCGCAGCAATTCGCTGCCGCGCCCTGCTCGCGAGAAGCGTCCCGCGGCGGCCACTTTGCGGCGGCTGTAGCACTTTGGCCTCCAACGCCCGCCCCCCTCTGCTCTTCTTCTAGTCCCTAGCAGTGTTGCCCTCCTTTTTCTTTGATCTTCGCCTTTCCTCTTAGCAACTAAACACTCGCGTCACGACTAGCATATTAATATTATTTTCAAATTCCAACCTCATCGATAAGTTCCTTCAAGGCTTGGCCGACAAGGTGCTCTTGGTAATGTTTCGGTTGACACGCCGTATCGACACCCCTAAAGCCAAGCTGAAACGCTCGTTTTACTAGCTCCGTGGTTCTCTCCTCCTTCCAGGCAGTTCCATAAAGCATGGCAATCTGCCGAAAAGGCACGCTGCAAAGACCTGCTATCATCTTTATCCTCCAAAGAAGAAAAATCCATGCAAATGTATGTAAATGTGGTGGTGGTCTTCTCATCAAGTCAGGATCAATCTACACTTACCTTAGTACCAGTCTTTGTTGGTACAAGGAAAATGCTGAATGCTAGCAAACGAAATACGAATTTTTGATACTCCTTTATGCAGCTTATTGATCATCTTACAACTACTGCGTCAGCATACAATTTGATGTAACTCTCTCATAATCAATGAGGGGACAGTCAGTCTTAGCCTGTTCGTTGTAGCAACATCGTCAGATGATGACATGTTCAACATCAATAAAATAAAAAGAGAGCAATGGGGACACTTACCAACAATAGTGCACCAACCTTGTTAAAGGAATCAGCCAGGAGAAATTATGAGCGTACATCACTCGGGTAGTGCCTGCTGACGCGGACGCTGACGCTCAGTGTGAGAAAATAGTTTACTGTCACAGTGTCCTCATAGAAATCTCTCGACGCCCGAACTGCACCGTGGCGGATGGGTCATTCCAGCATTAGAACACCGCCAGTTTTCATCTGGAGTAGAGAAGCTCATCAGTTGCTCTCTATCGGTGACGACCTACTATCCGGAAAGATAATCAGTATCGATGATCACGATCGCAAATTCAACATGCGATCGATGCATTTAGCTTTCTTCTTTGCTGAAGGGGATGCAGACCATCAGCGCAAGCAGTCCTCAAACCCATTATTTCCCAGTGGATGCTATGATGCCTTTGCTTTTCCCGGTGAAGCGCAACAATCGCTTCCAGAAGAGCTTCCCCCGTCTGTTGTTGGCATCAGTTCTACCTCTTTTGTGTCGCCACATGCTCCCTTTGCACAACAGCCTCCGCCTGATTTTGATTCAGAAGGCACTACCCCAAACCACTTCTGCATCCACTGCGGTAATTTGGAGACGACGGGTAAGACGAAAAACGGGTAACACCGTGTGTTCCAGAATCCGAGAATAGGCTTTCTCACACTCTCCTCCGGCAGCATGTTCCACAGTGGCTGTAGAAAGACAAGCAGCAGCGGCAGGCACATGGGCCCGCAAGGGCAGCAGAGCACCATTTCTTCGAGCCCTCTAGGTCTAGCACTCAAAGCATATAGAATCAAGTAGAAGGATCACGACTAGGATTGATGCGTCTCGAATCAGGTTCCAGATAGGCAAAAGATGCGAAAACAGAGCCAAAATGAAGATATCTTTAGTTTCGCTTTCTAATTCTATCATGAAGCATGTTGATATTTGCGAACTTCTACTACATCAGCCAACAGGTGCGTAGGGTATGTCCGTCGCTCAAAATAGTGGGCAATTGACTCGCGATAAACAATTTCATTGGCCTTAGAACTCAAGAAACTTATTCTCGATAAACAAATATTAAAGAGCTAAAAAAAAATTTAACAACAACCCCGCCAAACTTGCACTCTCCAAATTCAAACTCTCTAAACTCAAACTCTCCAAGGTCAAACGCTCCAAACTCAAACGCCCCAAAGTCAAACTCCCCAAACACAAACTCGCCGACACCCTCACCCCAAACCCATGAACCCATGAACTCCTGAACCCATGAACTCCTGAACCCCTAAATTCCTAAACTCATAAACTCATGAACTCGTAAACCCATGAACTCAGGAACCCCCAAACCCATGAACCCCCAAACTTATAAACCCCCAAACTCCTGAACTTATGAACTTGCGAGGGCTCGCGAATCAAATCCAAGGGATTGAATCTCAGAAAAACTTGCCAAAGTCGAAAGTTTTTGGATTTGAAGAATCCAAATCCAAGAAATTGAATGCCAGAAAAGCCTGCCACAATCAAAAACTTGCAGACTTGAGGAACCCAAACCCAAGAAATTGAATTCCAGAAAAACTCGCTAAAATGGAAGTTTTTGGCTTTGAGAAGTTCAAAGTTAAGAGTGAGGCTGAATCTCAGACAAACTCGCCAAAATCGAAACTCAAACCAAAGAAATTGAATTTCAGAAAAACTCGCCAAAGTCGAAAGTTTTTGGATTTGAGAAATTCAAATCCAAGAGATTGAACGGCAGAAAAACTGGCGAAAGTCGGAAACTTTCAAGCGATTGCATCTCCGAAAAGCTCGCCAAAGTCGAACGTTCTTGGATTTGAGAAATTCAAACCAGGAAACTGAATGTCAGAAAAACTTGCTAAAGTCTGAAATTTTTGGATTTGAGGAATGGACTTCAAATCCAAGAAATTGAGCCAAGTCGCTTCTCCGACAAACTTGCTAAAATCGAAGATGAACGCTTTAGCCTTCCGCAAGCGCAAAGATGTCAAACCCAACAGAAGGTCAGCAAGCTCCCGGGCCTGCCATTTCCAAGCATGCCTATCCAATAGCCGCAGGCCGCCAAGCGCCCGAGTCTTGTGCTGTTCCATCGGTCAACTCCGTAGGCAAGGGGCCGGGTAAGCGGGGCCACGCAATGGCGGGGGAAGTGCGTGCAGAGGGTGGAAGATTCTAGTGGGATGAGTGCTACCGGGCGCTTAAGTCTAGCACAATGTCAGAGAAACTTTAACTTTATCTTATCAATCATTATCATGGGCATTTGGGCATGGGGTTTGTTAAAGAGGAAACTCGTTGCTATTCGTTGTGGAGATGAAAGCGAGAGCAATCAGAGTCACCGCCTCACATCAAAGAGATATCAGTTCAGAGAAAGCCGACTTTCAAGAAAGAAGAGCTCCAGATCAGACTCTCAGCTATACAAGATCAGACGCATGCTCTCCAAAAACTCGTAGTTTTCTCGTAGAAGAGACGTACAGATTCAGCAATGGCAGATCGACTTGAGTCAGTGAAGAATTCGAGACCTAACACCCAGTGGAATTACGTTGCTCTACTTCTTCGAGGAATACTACAAAACCAGTCTTGATACAACTTTATTACGTTAGTACCAACTGGTAGTTTGACTCAAAACACTGCTGCAGGCAAGCTCCTGCTGAACGAATAATGTCATTCTTTCTTCTACTTCGTAAGAGTCATCATGTGAAAAATCGGGAGTCACGGTGGGAAACATTCTAGGGCTCCAGGGTATTGTCATGTGTAGAGACGGGAGAGGGTTCGACACACTCAGAATCTCAATCCAACAATGTGGTCTTCACTTAATTAGTCTATATTATCAGCCACGAACGCTTTCAAGATGTCAGGGGTGGGTGACTTGCTGAGTTTCTCGACCTTGCCACCAAAGCATCGAAAGGACGGTAAAGTTGAGACGCCATGCTCTAACGCAACCCCGTCCAATTCGTCGACGTCGACGACGCAGAAAAGTGCAGAAGGGTCGTCGGATGAAGCTGCTTTCTTCTTCGCTGAGGATGACAGCTCTTGAAAGATAGGCTTAAGCTTCTGACACGGCGCACACCAACTCGCTGTGAAGTCGACAAAAAGTGGTGTCTGGAGCGTAGTGGCTGCTGCTTGGAGCGTTTCGAACTCGGAGTCGTCGCTAGGATAAAACACTCCCGAACTGTCGCGATCGATCTTTCCCGAAGTGATCAATTTCAATGCCGCTTCTCTACTGGTAATGCAGGTGCTAGAGGAAGTCGCATTTGTGCTGTCTGACCCATGGTCCGATGCACTTCCGTCCGCCGCATACATGGCATCCTCGCCTTTAGTGCCGACGAAGCCTTTCATCGTCTGATGCTCCGATGCCTTGCTATTATCTGGTTTCGTAGAAGCTGAGGGCATGCCGTAGAACAGAAAGCCGCGGACTGTCGGAGGCAGCCGGTCCAACAATGGCTCGAAAAAAGGTCGATACAGGTACGTGTCCCAGAAACTTCGTAGCCGCTCCTTCGCGCCCTCGGGTAACAAATTCCAGAGTGGCTTCAAGGCCAGAAACAACACTGGCCAGAGAGGCACGCACACCGGCCCCAAGCAGATGATCATCTTGCCTGACTCTAGCCGTAGCTAGTTCTAGTTGTTGCTACAAAATAAACCTAACAACTAAGCTTGACAATATTAAAAACAAGAAGACTCACTGATTTACAATTCTATAATACATGATCCTGGGTCTGGGAACATGCTCAATAGACTGGAACGCGACATAATGTACTTAGAAGACAAATATGGTACATGATCGGAGAACGAAGCCGGAACCAGAACTTCTGCAATCCCGACCAGTAACTTGCTTGTTTACAAATCAAGAAAGTATCTCCAATGGGAGACTGACAGGTGCATGGGGGGCACTTCTTTACGGGATCGATAGCGAACTACCCTGAGGCTGTGAGGTAACGAAATCACCCTCGCTAGGAGATCTACAAACAAGATGCCACTATTTGCAATGGCAGGACATGAGGCCACGACGTGTCTAGATTTGAATTCATTGTCGGTCACTGCGAACACTGACGAAGACCATAGGTGCCAGCTGACGATAGTTTCGGATTTTGTTTCATCTTTCATTTCCAATAATCCTTTGAAGATGTACAGGATTGGCCGCTAGAGTCTATGATGCCCTCCACTTAGTGCATTCTCAATGAAGATGAACTAGGTACATGTTGATGTTCTCATAAATCTCACACAAATCATAGCTATACAGTCTCGTTAAATCGTTTTCATATTCTTAGTCGTGATTAGTCCATTCTAAGCATTACCCTATGCATGCGCGTCGTAAGGAATTGTGTTATCGTGTAAACTACTTCATCGTCAGCATGACACTTTCAGCACAAGCAGCTACTACATCCTAGCTCCTAGATCCCTGCAAAGGGCGATCTATTGTTATTCTTCTTGTAGCGGACCATTGCCTGGTCCATCGCTTGTAGGCTCTCCTCACAAGGGTCGTCGATGTGCTCGAGAACCCGAGCAAAACGGTTCTTCAGCTCCGCTTCGTCGTCGCATCCGGTAAGTGCGCGGCCATCCGACAATGCTTTCTTCAGCAAGTCCTTGACAATGCGATCCTGCACTTGCTCGCGGACTTTTCGCGTTTCGCTATCCTCCTCGAACGGACGACCGCACTGCCCACAAGCGTCCTGGACCAAAGCGCGGAACCGCTCTCGTCCCTCCGCCAACACACCGGTTATTGGATACGGAATGTATGGTGGCTTGGTCTCCACGTTGGCACTGGAGTTGGTAGGAATTTTCTCCGGATACCCTAGCACCGTACGACTTACAGCAGATTCTTCACCCGTCGACGGCGTGAGCAACATTTTCTCGAGACTAAAGGATCGCTGAAGATGACAAGCGGGCCTAGTAGTATTATGATCTTTGGTGACTTATTCTTACGTCGAGTTATGCATCATATTGAAAAAAATATTGTTGTTCGTCGTGCTTCGTGAAATAGACGAAGTAAGTCGAGGAAAGCTGCAATCTTGGCTGTCCCGCTACAACTCTGATGTCAGAAAAGAGAGACAGGCAGTCCACACATCATAATTAATGAGCTAACTACATCACAAATTGTAAAAGCGTTCTCAGTGCAAATTTCAAGAGCGACACACCAAAATCAAGCACAAAAATCTCAATAAACTCCAGGAGAGAGGGGATGATGGGATAAAGGGAGCGCGTTTGACCGATATTTGTGCTCACGAGTGCTGCTATGCTCACGCTCTTCCAAAATCGGATCCAGGACCATCGCCTTCCTCATTTTTTGTACTTACATCACAGGTGCACAACTCTGACCGACAGAAAAAGCGACAGTGATCATGACCATCACGGGTTGCGGTCGTCATTTGCTACCGACTTACACTGCCACCGACATAAGCCTAGTGAGATTACGAACACTTTTTTCTGTGCTGGTCAGAATAAAGGAGTGCGAATATTTTCTGTCTCTGGATTTCTCGTGTGGACATGTCAATTGCGTAATTATGGACGAACTAGTACAGTGTCATCAATGGAGTCGTGGTCGTGCGTGACAGTGCAACTTGTAATTATATGTCATCATTCTTGGAAAAGTTTTTTCCTTGAGCTACGTACTTTATGTCACTACAACTAGTGGTCTACGTACTGTGTTATTAATGGATTATTTGATGAAGTTGGGACCATGGTCAAGGGAAATCGACCTGATGCATATCTATTTGCTAGAGTGAGTAAGTATGTGTTTTCAATACATAGGCTCCTGCTCTAATATGCTGAGACTTAGCGCGTCGCGTTTCTTCGTCCTTCTCAATTTACTTGCTATCATCACACGTGAGCGAGTAATGACATTAGCTATCAATGAACTCCTGCATTATCGCGAAGGCAAAATTTGTCAATAGTTAGACGGTTTACTTTGTCAGAATGGAAACTACTTTTTGCACACTGTCCTTGTTAGGCAGACAACACAATGCAAATGTATGGTCATGCTTAAATGAAATTATTGCTCTGTACGTCGACGGATGAAGCATCACTGCGGTTATTTGATGCTATTGATACAACTATTGTAAAATGCTCGGGATTCTATTTCAAATCACTAACTCTTGAAGAACACCCTTTATGACATGATAAGTACACACTAAACTAGGCCGAGTGATGCAGCCATGCTGAGGCTTTGCAGGCCAATCTCCAACAAGCCGTTCGGGCCAGACATGCCTAACCGCACGACCAAACTTTCAACCAGATCCCCGTGGTCTTTATCAGTTGTCGTTTTCTCACCACTTTTACTTCGTGCTTCTATTTTGTGGTCTTGTCTCTGGCCGACAATGGAGGGATTTGATCCCGATCGCACAGCCAGTGCGTCCTGTGCCTGGCACAAGAGCCGCAGTGGCAGCGTACCTAGATGACAGGCGCTGTGGAGCGAGCAAAAGCGGAACATATGTGCCCACAGCTGCTCGTGGCAGTGTGGTAGCGCGTAACACGAACACCGCACTCCATCGACGACAATCTCTCCACTCGGCAAGAGCGGGCAGTAGTACCCACGCGCTTGGAGCACCCGCACATCCTTCACAAGGAGCCGCCTTGCTCGCGGTCGCCTTCTTGATGTGCAACTACTGAGCCCTGGTACTAGTGGATGTGATCGACCTGCATCCGCATGCAGGCCCGATATGTCCTGATCTGCAGGCCCTGCTTCGGTTTCTTCGGAAATTGAAACTGCGCTGTCGCTTGTTGAAGACGATGCGTCTGTTCTATGAAAATCGGTATGAAGGCACTTATGGCCTTCCAGAGTCGTATGCCCAACCTTCACGTCGCGCGCTCGTATGTATGACTCCGTATCGCAACTCCAAAGAAGATGGTCCCTCGAGAGAACTAACTTCCTCCTCCTACTTCTCGATGAAATTGAGCTCGTCGACGACGCTCTTCCCGACACTTGCAGGTCTCCACTATTGCGCGAGGATGATGCCGACGATGACGCACTTCGCTCGCCCTCTCCCGATTTGTGAGCGTTGCAGTTACTAGAGACACGTGACGGCGACGTTGAATGATTGCTCTTACTGTGTGCAGATGAAGCGCCGTCGCTGCTCGCGCTCTGCGTTCTCTCCAACGCGCCGTCTGCTGAGGCCGCTATGTGGTTGTCATTTTCTTGCGTCGGATCATTCTCCACGACGTCTACTCCCTCGTCTGCCTCGTCGTCCTCCTCCACGTGAATTTCGAGGAAAAAGCACATTTCTGTCTCATGGCGGTGCAGCCAGCAAAGCACGGGTTCGTGGCTGCCATCCATCATGCGAACCTCGTCTCCGACGCACAGGGCCCGCATTCGCACACAGCCGCGCCCACGCACTTCTACTGTTGCGTTCGCGGCAAAGCACATGCCCTCCTTCTCCCAGAAATAGCCGAAGGTATTCAGGCAGTGTTGCTCGCACGCCTTCTTCTCTTGCGCCGAATCGCCGGACACTAGATCTTTCGCTGAGTCGAACGTGTTTTTCGCCGCAACAGCTTTGCCAGCCATGTCTCCGAAGAAGCCGCCGCTTTCGCCACCCCCCTCGGCGCCTCCTCCAGACATGCTCGACCGCATTGCATCCATGCGCTCAGCTTTGCGTTGCATGATCGCTGTCATAAGTGGGGAGCGAGGATCATCAAAATAAAGTAAAGTTTGACTTTCCGGGTTCATTCACTGCAATATATCTGTTTCGATTTCGAACAAAACTGTAAAGGTAAAGGTAAACGTACATTTGCATTTTCAAAACAGAGAAATGAAGAGGAATACATATGTCGTCGTAGAGCATTTCGCAGGACTGCATGCACTCCTCTTTTGTTCCACCAGTGTCATAAGGCTTTCCGTCGACGATGTATGTACTTTTCTGTATTGTGAGTGGGAAAAATTGCAGTTCGACGAGGCTAAAAACTGCGCTCTACAGGACAGTTTCGAAATACAAGGACGATAGAGGGATCATGATGCTCTTCAGCATACTTGAGTATCTATAATGCGAAAGTGAGAAGGATGTGGTACCGACTGTGGACCAGCTTCTTGTCCGATTCCTCCCTGCGGCGGCATTGGTGCCATTGGAGCTCCTGAAAGAATGCAGCTTTGATATGATAAAGAATAAGAAATACGTAAGAAGAGGAGCACAATACATAGAAGAAAAAACGATTAGAATTACTACTCAGGAGACCCAGTCTCTTTACTTGAAAAGTTTTGCCTTCGTTTTGATTTTTTAATTTTTGATTGTGAATTTTGATTTTTAAGTTGACTTTAGATTTTGAATTTTGATTTTGAGTTTGAATTATTTTGCTTGTGAGTCTGAGTTTTGAATTTTGAAAATAAACGCACGCGGCGACAACACCGCAAAGACGCGCAGCGCTTTGCTATGCTCGTGATTGAAGTACGAAAGTTAGGACATGAGTTTTGAAAGTTAAGGCATTAATTCTGAAAAAGTTAGGGGATGAATTCTAACAGTTAAATTAGGACATGAATCTAAGTAGGGCAGGAATTTTTAGAGTTAGGAAATTAATTGTGAAAGCTAAAGCGTAAACTTTGAAGGTTAGGCTTAGGACATGAAGGAAAGGACTTCGAAAGTTGGGGCATGAATTCTGAAAGTTAAGAAGTTAAGAACTGAATTTTGAAAGTTAGGTAGGGCATTAATTTTGAAAATTGTTAAGGCATGAATTTTGAAAGTTGTTAGAACATGAATTTTGAAAGTTGTTAGGGCATGAATTTTGAAAGTTAAGAGAGGAATTCCGAAAGTTGACGATAAGGCGCGAATTTCCCAAGTTAGGGCGTGAATTCTGAAACTTTGTTGAGACATGAACGGCGAAAGTTGGGGCGTCAAGTTTGAAAGTTAGGCCGTAAGGCATGAATTTTGAGAGTTATCCAAGCCGTAAGGCCTGAACTTTGAAAGTTAGGGCATGAATTTTGAAAGTTAAGGCGTCCACTTTGGGCACCGCTCTCCTCTCCCCCCTCCCCTGGGCTCAGCCTTCCCGATAGTGCGACGCGGCGGCCAAGTGCAGTCGCTTCACTTGCTTGCAGCGCCACGCCCGACTGGCAACGCCCTACACCTTTGACTCCCCGCCGACCCGCGTGGCCTCTGAAAGCCTCAGACCCCGGCAGACGAATCAGCCCCGCAGGGCATGCGCCTGCCTATGTCTTCCGCTTGAAGATCGGCCCGCAGGCGCCCCCACCCCTTTCAGGCGTAATGCACCAGCACAGAATCGCGCCGCCTTCTTATTCTAATCGAATGTAATGCTTCAGCCATCGAGCATTTTGCTGGCTGACATTTCTCAGGCTTCTCGTCAAATCTGACCCCTGCGGAGGCCTGTCTATGTGGGTGCTCTGTCTAGCAAGTGTCTCGGGTTTCCATCGCATCCTTCCCCCGGGGAACCACACCAGGGGGCTAGTTGCACAAGCAGGCTTTTGTATATTTCTGACTAAGCGAGCACTGCATCAAACCCATTCTTTAACAGAATAGCTGGTTAGAAGGCCGTACCTCCTTGTTGTGGTCCCGCCATCCCATACCCGCCACCTCCACCTCCACCAGGAGCTCCGTAGCCACCACCGCCACCGTAGCCTCCGCCGCCTGGCGGCGCTCCGCCGTAGCCTTCGACAAAGCAGACATGTGGTTGAAAAGGTGTTCTTCCTCCACGCAAATTGATGTGTGTTATCGGCTGCGGAAGCCTGGGCGCAGACGAACTCGATGACGAGGACGCTGAAGGGGTATTTCCCACCGAAAGTGCATGCACTACACCTTGTTTTTTCAGTGCAACTGGAGGTGTAGGTGCCTTGTATCTGTTGTCGGCAGCGAAGGAGGACACTGTGTCGGAGCCGTGCTCTCCGGACACGAAGTCGTCAAAATATTGACGCAAGATCATCCTTCTCCTCCAAATTACTGTATGTGTATCTTTCTTATGTTTTTTTACTTACTTAGAGGCTCGATCTTTTCCACACTGATTTTTTTAAAGAGTTCTATGGCTACGCTATCTGTGTTCGTATGGGACATACCGGATGAAATGATCTAGGTTAGGCGTGGCCTTGGGTAAAGCGCAGCCGCATATCTTGGGAAAAGGAAGTAAGAGAGGGGTCTATGGTGGCATCCCTGAAACAGATGCACGGGAAACTGAAAACCGAGGAACCTGACAGCGGTTATTCATACAGAGAAACATTTGTCTACCGATGGCATATCTAGAGACCACCAGGCAATATCAACTCGCACATAAAAATCCACATAAGGGCAGTGGTCCGCGACCGACACCCGAAAACATCGTTACAACTCGATGATCATATAGCTATTAGGAAAGGCAAATGCTGTTGTTGTCGTCCTTAGAAAAAACCGACTGCTAGTTCTGCTGATGATATTCAGTAGACGAAGCTCCACGCATGCAGGATCGTTGTGGATTTGGATAGCCACCTTTTCTTGTTGAACACTCACACAAGAGAGGACAGATGCGTTCTCCTAGTGTGCTGCACAAGTTACCTCTCAATCTCCCTTCACAGTCACCCCGCGGATCGAAATAGTGATCAGAATAATACTTCAACATTAGCTGGCACATTCGAAATCGAATGTTGAATGTTCATATCGTCGTGGTAGCTCATCTTCCTGGTTTCAGAATAGACCCTCAGCCTCATATACTTTGGAATACTGCTACTACTGTTACGTCAGCTTCAACCTTTTCTTTGGTAATTACTATGCATAGAAAGGCCCCCCTAAACTATACAAGGACGCTAAGCCCTGTTTTATCGGTGGCAGTATTCCCGACATATTCATGCCTACTCCTCCTGGTCGTGTAGTCGTCTAAACTTCCACGCGACGAGAGGAGCGTGCACTTTGCCGCCAGACCGGGATGTCTTCGACGAGGAGCTGCACTATGTGAGCATGTGGGGGTTGCGAGCGAATCTCCATCTCCGTAGGGACATATTTTTTCTGATTAATGTCGAACGTATGTCGAAAAACTGTGTTGCTGGAAGCACGTGAGTGTTGGTGCGGCCACAGATTAGTAGATAAACAAGGGAACGGCACCAGTAGGAGCTCGAGCCTCCGACAGTCCACCTGAGTCACTGAACAATAGTTCGCCCCCCTCCTTGTGTTTCGCCTAACATAATCCAGCTAATTTGATATGCCAAAACGAAGATAGAAATCGGCGATTTAATTTCGACACAAGTACTACTGAGTTGTCTACTGCTCAATTCAATGTATTTGCAAGATTCTACTAGATGAATATTTGGACACCTCGATTATCTGCCTACTTCTATTGCAACATTCTACTAGAAGAATCATACCTCGAATGCACGACCTCTAAAAATTCTATCGCCTCTAATGACATTACTTTTTCTCGACTTCTACTAACAAACAACACAAAGAACGCACTTTTCGCCCGATCCGGTATCGGAGTCAGGGTCACTTGTGCGCTCGTCGAGATCCCCGTCAATTTTCCAAAATAAGATAAACATATACACACGTTTGTCTCATGTGTGAAGAACTAGAACAAAAAACTGACTATAACCTCTCTCGTCCCTAGCAGTTTCCATGCGTCCTAGCACCACCACGGCCGCAGAGTTCATTGTACTTATACAGGAAGACATTTCTTTCAAATTTCTTTCGCTTACGTTGACATGAACATAGTACTTACTGAAGATGCTCATTCTTGATTCTATTTCTGACTCGCTTCAACTGTATACTTTCTAAAACATGACAGGGTTTCCTAAAGTTCTGAGTTGCGTCTTATCGATCTGAAAATATCTTACTCAACGTGAACTGCTACTACGACTACAAAGTCACTAGTTCCTCTTGACAAGTAGCGAACCTACTCGTCGTCGTAGGCTTGGGCAATGCGCCCGAGTCGTTGCATACCGAAGGTAGCGTAGAATCCTTCCGGGGATAGGCCGCCAGTCTTCACGGTCACTTGGTACCTGTTTAGAATTTCATGATGGATAGATGAACTTCCTCGTAATCAGTAGAAAAAAATGCCCAGAAACAAAAAATGAAGCTCGATATGTTGATGTTGATTCAAACAACATCTACATCAATCATGCCGATGTATACCCATTGTTAAGAAAAACTACCAGGCCAAGAATTCTTCGAAGTCCACTTCTCCTGAGTTATCTTGATCGACATCCCGCCAGTAGGAGTCAAACCGCTCTTTCGAAATCTCATTCTTTTGCCCCATGAACGCCTGCAGCACTTGCTTGAACTCGTCTTTATCGATGAATCCTGGAAGGGTTTTTTAGGGATCGGCGGGATGTATTATCGTATGTGTGAACAATGGGGGGAACAACTAGGATGTTGAATCCTGTTCCTTCGTTTACTCTAATTCAACGATACATAGGATAACAAATTGCATGGTGAGAACAGGCAAACAGAATCACGACTTTGAACAACTACTATTCAGAAGGAGCTTGTGCTATTTTTTGGGCATCACTTTAATTTATACCAGATCCATCCGCGTCGAATAGATTGAACTTTTTTCTCAACATCTCCGCATCGTCTACAGTGACTCCATACTTACGTGCTAGTGCGCGTACCTAGAATTATTGAAAACAAAAATCAAAAGATTAGTATGCATGAAATCTTGATTTTTTAGTGATGAAACTTGTACCCAAGAACTCGGACTGTAGTTTCGAATTCAGTCATTGTCATACTGCGTCATACAGCGATGTCTCAGACATTTAACCTTTTCTCGTTTCAGAACCTAATCACGCAGCTCAAGAGCTGGTCAGAGGCCTTTTGAAATGGTGTCATCATGCGAATGCGATGGATAATACTAAAAGTAGGTGAAGAAGTGTACCTTGATAATATCTTCGGATAGATTTTTATCCATGTCGAATTCCATGGACAGCCTGGTCAGCTTACTAGTCTGCTCTTTTGACATGGTCTTCAGATCACTATTTTTTGGCCGTGCTCCTGCGTCTTCCGCAAGCATCTTCATACTTTTAATGATCATATGTGGCGCCTTTTCCCAAGCCATTTGCAACTCCAACTTCCAGAACCGCGCTGGTTCCTCGCATCGCCATGAAACCTTACAGCAGATGGGCAGAGAGTCATTTGAAAGCATGCGAGAGCGGGTCTGCGATCTCTAGCTGGCGACGAGATAGCATATAGGATTTGAATTAGCCATTCATGTAACTTCCTAGTTACTTCGTACAGATTGCGCAAAAAAGTGAATTGTACCTCCAGCTCTTCAACCTCTCGTGGGCAAAAGATGCGCTTCGCTGGCAACCACAGTGCCCGGTTGGCACTTGGATCGAACTCCGCATCTTGGCAGTAGCTAACGGCGACACATTTTGGGTTGTAACTGATATGGTCGTGAACGGTATCGCACCCTAGCAAACCGATATCCATCGTTGTCAGCGATATCTGAAATTTTCATTTTGTAGAAAGGATTTCACCCTGAAGATAGGCAAACAAATCGCTAGATTCAGGGTCACTAACCCATACGAAGCAGTAGCAATGCATATGGAAAGTCATTCATCTATGACCACGAGGACTATTCTTGGGCAGAAACGTATCTTTGATCCAAGTCTACCAACTACGGCAAGCCGTGTCCTCGTGTGAACATCAACATCGAGGAAGTACCTTTCGTCCGAAGTCAAAAATGATTTCGTGTGGATTGGCGTCATGACTTTTCCAGTAGCACTCGTGGTCTTTGGCGGCTTGTTTCAGCGAGATCTGGGACGTGTTCTTGCATACCTTAGCCTCCTCCGCTATGTCGTACTGAGCACCCATAAATGAGGAACCACGCCGTCCGCCGCCAGAGGACCCACCCCCCATGCTCATTGAAGACACGCCACCTCGTGACTTCGACATGATTCTCAAACTCTCTATATACCTCCTCTAAGCTATGACGTTGAATAAGATAGCTTCTAGTACTACTTTACAAGAACAATGGTGAATCAAAACAAATAAAGACTACTGCTTGAGGTTCTCAAAGATGAAGCTGGATTTTTGGAATGGCGAGAGGAACGAAGAGGTCAAAACCAACGTAAATGTGATAGTATGGAGGTGTCAATGACTGAGGCGGGGAAGGATGATCCTTGACTTCGTGATTCAGACTAGAATCAATAGGCTATTTACTATTCGAACACCTTTATTCTGGGAGAGTGGGAGTACAAAAGCGTATTGCAAAACTATCTACAGAAAGGACTCCAAAACTCTACTCTTTCAACAAAACATATAACGTATCTTTATCACCCTATCCTACGAAACGAACAATCTATGTTGACATACAACTGGGTGCTCACCTAGCTCCACTACCACGTAGAACTCGATTGAGTTTGAGACCAAATCAAAGCGGAAATTATCTAAAGAGGATTACGTTATTACAGCTGGGGAGGCTGTCCTCAAACTATCTAAGTGAAAATGCAGACCTGGCAGTTAACAGAGAGAGAGATGACCATGACGAGGTGGGTCAATATTAGAAAGCTGTGGTTAAGTACACATATACTCATCGGAAACCGACTTACGTCAGGGTTAAAACTTCACAGAACGAAACAGAAGCGTTGCAGCAGATCACAGCATCAGAACCAAGAACACCTGCTCAGAACGTAGATCTAAGCACACACTCATACCGATGACCATGAAGTCACATCAAGGGGACTTACTCCACGTGCACTGAACAGGCGAACACCGGAATGGACGCGTCTCTCGTCTCACCAAGAAAGAATCACGAATCTCTCGAGAACTTGCACCGATAAAAGCGCCCACGCACAAGCAGCGTCTTGGCTGACAAACTAGTAGAACTTTGATATGATAGAAGAACCTCTCGCGTCTGATAATTGTCGACCGAATTATTCGCTCACGCAAAGGTGATGATGAATCATAACAGAGATTATTCTTCCTCAGTCTATCAGATTTTCTCATGTGAAATTGTACATTAAACACACACACGGTCGGTGATCTCCTCGAAACTAACTCATTCAAGTGATCACGTTATGAAGGCGAGTGATGATCGGGTTGTACGATAAAGTAGACCGAGAAAATGTATCCGTCATCGTCAGGATGAAAAATAACTTTGATTTTCAGCGTTTGGAACTCCGAGCGAGAAACAAACTAGCGTGCTGGGGGCGGATAGTTGTGAGCAGTTGATGAGCCTAAAAAGGATATTCAACATAACCATTGGCTTTGGCCACAAAGGCCCAAGGAAAGATACTTTTCGTTTCGCTTTCTCATTTTCGAGTATTCACAGTCGAGGGCTTAAAGTTTCGCCTTCGTCTGTGCAAGATGAGCCACATGCCGCTGCGGACGTGGGTCGCGGTTAGGGCAACTGTGTTCACAACTTATGCGGATGCGATGATCGTCTATCTGCACTAACCGAAAATGGAAAAACTGCCTTCAACGACAAGCTTCGGCTTGTTCTGATCAAAAAATCTATTTTCTTACTGGGAATTGCATTCGGTTACAAAGACAAAACCCATAGTACGGGACTATAATTATTACACGACCTGATCTCGATCTATTTCTCCATCTGCTAGTACCAGGAATAGGCAAATTTGCATACAATCATCCTTGCGTGTTGGTCATAAGAGGTGAAAAAACAAGAAAAAATATTTATAGTCTTATTTACTATCTGGGTCTGTATCTGTATTCTCAATCCATCTTTAGATAGTTCGCAATGTTGTAAAGGGAATCGTTCATTCATCACACTCATTCTCAGTTATGCAGATCCAGTCGTAATCATGATTTTTGAAAGCACTGCATGCAATATATTTTCAGTACACCGAAAGTCGTACTTAGCAGAACTATGTGCATTCTACGCCAACAACAACAACTATGGTCATACTGCATAAGATTGCTGCGGACATCCGTCTTAGCTTAACTGTGACAAAAACATTACTCACACATCGACTACAAGTATTACCCACCCAGAGACGTCGTCATCTCCCCCACTCAGCGTGAAGCAATTCGTCTCACACGTCCTCCGCTGCTGACGTGTAGTGAATGACTTCATCATCGTATAGCTGGGCCACGTACGGTTCGTGCGCTGCCCACTCCTTCAGCACTCGCCCGCTCATTAGGTACCAGCCAAGCAGCAGCAACAACGTGTAAGCAGCGAGCAGGGAGAAAACAAGGAGAAACACAAGAATAAGGGCTAATTTCGGCACATTCGCCCAGAGAACCCAGAATTGCACTTGGCATAAATGCACCACCTCGCAGGTGAGTGCCCATCCTCGGCTCACACGTTGCAACAGCGTTTCTGATTAATTGCGATTTGCGATGATCATTGATTGACATTGACAGACCACTGGTGCGTTTGATAATAATAATTTTTCCTATAATATTTAGCGTAGCGAGTTTCAGAACAACATAGACCTTCTTCTTTATGTGCTCCGAACAATATCTACCCCATACTAGATAAGAATCTGACTGGTGGAGCCGTTTTAGGAATCGCTTGCGGTCATCCAGCTACCCATCCACCAACCGACCGCAAAGACTATCGCCCCGAAGAGCAGTCAACGCGGCCGGCACAGCCAAGGAGACGGCATTAGGCGCTGAATCAGAGGGGATCTACTACGGAGCATGGATTGCCTTCTTGTTTCTTTACTTTTCTTTTGTTTCTTTTCGTTGGTTCATGAGAGACTCTCACGCAGTTTATATACCGGCAGCCCGTTCAGGCATTTTACTATGCCCGCGGAATGCCACCGGTTCCTAATAGCGTAGCGAGTTCCAGAACAACATAGACCTTCTTCTTTATGTGCTCCGAACAATATCTACCCCATACTAGATAAGAATCTGACTGGTGGAGCCGTTTTAGGAATCGCTTGCGGTCATCCAGCTACCCATCCACCAACCGACCGCAAAGACTATCGCCCCGAAGAGCAGTCAACGCGGCCGGCACAGCCAAGGAGACGTCACTAAGCGCTGAATCAGAGGGGATCTACTACGGAGCATGGATTGTCTTCTTGTTTCTTTACTTTTCTTTTGTTTCTTTTCGTTGGTTCATGAGAGACTCTCACGCAGTTTATATACCGGCAGCCCGTTCAGGCATTTTACTATGCCCGCGGAATGCCACCGGTTCCTAATAGCGTAGCGAGTTTCAGAACAACATAGACCTTCTCCTTTATGTGCTCCGAACAATATCTAACCCCTATAATATTTCCCAAGATATGCACCAGGGAGGGAGGCCCCCGTAAGACCTGGCGAGCGCCGTATAGACCGCAATCCTGAACCCTTTCCCCGCCCTTCCCCCCTATTATATATAGGGGAGGAGGGCCGGCGCGCTCCCATGCGTGACGCGTCACGCTTTTAAGCGTGACGCGTCGCGCTTTAATCATAACGGAGCCCGACAGAGCTGCCCGGGGGCGGCCTTATGATCTGCGGCAAATCCGCGGGCGGCCTTAGCCTTATGATCTGAGACAAATCCGGGGGCGGCCTTATGATTATGAACTGAGGCAAATCCGTGGACAGCGTTAGATATGATCTGAGACAAATCCACAGGCGGCCTTATCTATGATCTGAGACAAATCCGCGGACAGCCTTGCTTATGATCCGAGACAAGTCCGCGCGCAGCCTTAAGACCTGAGGCAAATTCGTGGCCGGCCTTATAACCTGAGACAACTCCCAAGGCAGCCGTATAATCTGAGACACGTCCGAGGGCAGCCCTATGTGTGATCTGTATCTGACTGAGGCAAATCCGTGGGCAGCCTTATGATCTGAGACAAATCCGCGGACGACAAGCCTTAGCCCTATGACCTGAGACAAATCCGCGGGCGACCTTATGACCTGCGGCAAATCCATGGGGGCAGCCTTATGATCTGACTGAGGCAAATCCGCGGCGGCCTTATGATCTGAGACAAATCCGCAGACACCCTTATGATCTGAGGAGAGTTGCGCGACTTCTTTGCCCTGTTCAGCGAACAACTAGAGAGCCACGCACAGCAGGCGGCTTGCGGTGTTAAACACGATGGCCCCGGCTGGGTGGGTCAGCTATATTGCTGCGGTGTGGGTGGGCTTGTCTTGCGTCAGCTCTCCACCCTGCGCGCTGCTGCTTGGTCAGCTATCTCGAGTGGGCTCAGGTCAGCCATGCAAGCCAGACATTGGCCAGCGACCTTGAGGGGGCTCAGCCTCAGGTCAGGAATCGAGAGCAGGCCAGCCATTTCAAGCGAATCGCCGTGCTCAGTCGAGTCGCCCGCAGCCAGTCTGTGTGTCAGCCACTCTGTAGGCCACTAGCTAGGTAGCGCGGGCGCGCTGGTGGTCGGCTGTAGCTAGTGCCTTACAAGAAAAGCTAGCCCCCCCAAATGTTCGGAGGAAATCGCTCAGGATACCGCGAGAGCCGTGCGGGGTGTGCTCCTTGTCAGGGTGTGGCGAGGCGCTAGGCGGGATGGTTTAGCATATGGGCGAGGCTTGGCGTGACGCGCGCGGAGGTCTCTCGCCCGCTCAGTCTCCTACTAGTTTTTCGCTAGCGCTGCCGGGGTCCATCGAATGAGAAGCAAGCGGAGGCACCAAGTCAATGACCCACAGGAAGCCCCTACCCGCCGCTAGCGTTTCCGCGTAAGTTGGACCGCCCTACGTTCACCTAGATCATCCACACGCGCCCTCACACCCTCACGCGCCTCGCCCCTCAGCGGCGCGTCACGCGCCACGCTAGTACCCCCTCGCGCCTCACGCTCCTCAGCTCAGGTGGATACGGCGCTCGGAGGGTTCCACGCAAACGAGTTAGATCGGGGGCGCCTTCAGCCCTGAGCCCTGGAACATATAATAGAGCAGTTTATAAGGTTCCACAGCTCGCATGGCATGGAGTGCATGGATCGCATGGAGTAGCATGGAGCTAAAGGGGGAGCTTCTTGCGCCCCTTAAAGCTCTGCGCTCCATGCACTCCATGCTACTCCATGCACCACGCGTGCGATAAACTACTCTGATATAAATATGATGTCTCCAGTTCCCCATAGATCAATCATCCGATCAATTGATCTTTCTTTCTAGTGCTGACTTTTAGAAGTAAAAACTCACAAGCACAAAAGCCAAAATACCAGCTTCGTTATGTAGCGGAAGAGGCGCATGGCGAAACGCCACAGTTGTGTCGGCTAGACGCAACGCCAGTGCGCTCAGGTCGTCATACACGCTGTCTCCAGCCTCCACACGATCCAGAAACAGATTAGCATGTATCGACTGAAAAAGCAGAAAAGCCATCGGAGAACGGGGTCTTTTGAGCAGTGGAAGCGTAGGCATCGTGCCTCGCTGTTCTTCGGGTGTACTTGTTAAAATGGTGCTCAATGAATAGTATTCGGTGCCGAAACTACTGATGAGTGCGGTAGCACCGCTTAGTGCACACACAAGTGTCGCTTCTACTTTCTTGGCCCACTCGTTGACACTGATGCCCGCAAGGCCTTCATCTGCCTGAGTTGTCGTGGAGGCAGCTTCTTGCTGCTGTTGTACAAATAATTGCTGTTGTTCAGGTACTTCCTGGTACAGAACCTCTCCTTGATTCATACTTATTGCCAAGTCGTCCGTGTTGCTTTTCTGCTGCCTGGTTTTTGCTTTTGGTCGCTGATTTGCCACTCGGAAAGGGGAAATCGCGTCGAACTGGCTTAACAAATCAGGAGACCCCGGAGGAGAATTGACTGCATGACGAGCAGCTGCAGAACTGGGTGCCGCCGGGTGAGCAGGCGCAAGCGGAGCGAGCTCAGGTAGATACTCTAAAACGGCGTCGCGCCATGCTAGACGCAGATTGGTTACTCGATCCGTTTCCGTTGCAGCGGGCCACCGCAGCACGCGCGGCCCTTCGAGGAGCGCTAAGAAAGTAATCCCAAGCGCAAACATATCATCCACGGGCAGAGAGAGATGCCGGCAGTCACGGCGGAGGAGACAGAAATGCTTCAGGGGTAAAGCGAAGCCAAACGCAAAGCTGGTGGATCCTGCGTGCTTCGGAACGCACAATCCAAAATCAATGATCGTCACCTCTAAAAAGGGAAATATAGAGGTCGCCGTGTCCTCCTGTTCTTCAATAGCATGCTGATCCGCATTAGCTGGTGCACCCCCGGCGTAGTAGGCTGCTGCGTCTCCTGCAGCGGTGCTACCGTGTGGTTGACTGCTCCTAGCTGAATGATCCGTCGCTCCCCCTGATGACAACCCGAGCCAGCTTCCTACATCGATATTTCCCAGGGGCCACCAAGACGCCACGCTGCCAGAAGACGCCGCCGCAGGCCGGCCTTGGTTCTGTCGTGATTGGTCACCCATTTGGCCTCTAGTACCATACCGTGCGCTCTGGAACCGAACTACCTGTTTGGCCAATTCTTCCGAAAAGTCCATTGCTTTTCCTGTTGCAGGATCGACAAGAGGCGGAAATAGTCCACGCAGGACTGCACGCTTCGCTTCTACATTATTTACCCTATCGGCTGGAAAACCGGGACGCGGCGTTCCCACACTCCACGCATCCGTTTCCACTTCGATTGCACGCCCAGCCTCCACCTGGTGATCCCTCTGTCATGAAGAAGAATGATAACACGTTGAAAATTCTTGGCAGATTCTCAAATACTCCACGACTAGCACACCAAGAACGCCGCGTTGACACAATCCGACGCCACGTTGACACAATCCGATACCTTCTTGTCGCTAAGAGGTAGTCATTGATTAAATCTTACCATGTACTCCGGCTAAAATCACAGATTGTCATTTCTTCAGTTTAACAAAGTCTGATGAAAGGGTCCAAGTGCGTGTCCGTGTCATAATGCATGGCTCAGCTGCAACTTCGCATCGGTCACAAGGACGTCTGCGACCAGCGCGTACAGCTTTCGTACTCCGGCACGAAGTGCGCTTTTTCGAAGAAGGATGTTTCCGCCTTGCACGTCGTTGTGTATGAGATTCAGCGTCGAGTGCAGGAAGAGCAGTGCGCTCTGTAGTCGGTTGAACACGCGCGCGTAGATATAGCTCGAGACTTGTCGTTGTGCCGATTCCTCTAACTCCTCTAGCAAGGCCTCCTCTGGATACGGATAGAAATACGAGAAAGCAGGCAGCATGTACGTCTCGTGCATAAACATGAAAGCAACAGGGTAAAGAAAGGGTTGTACTAGCCGTTTCTGTATTCTTCTTTCAGAAAAACAGTAAGGTAATATCAAAGCCTCACAAGATCGATGCCAATGGGCCATGAAATCGAAGTCATAAATTCGGGAAACAATTCTCGATTCAGGAAACTGGGCACCGCGTCCAAAGGAATCGAGTCGTCGACATAGTCCAACACCATGTAAAACCCTTTGCGGAGTCGGTTAGTAAGCAACTCCATCGCTGCCTGTGCAGTCGTTACTTTAGTCGAAGTGTCTCCGCGTCCTCCTGCTGTTAAGGATGCAGCGGTAGACAAATCCTCTGGTAGGTCGAGCAGGCTCAGGTCCTGATGGCAGTCGGGAAACGGGTTGCGCAACTCAAAGACACCAGGTTGTGGAAGATAACCTGCGTTCACGCGTTCTACCCACGTCGAGTGTGCCTGGTGCATCAGCGCACACTCCTGCTGAAGCATCGGCTCATGATGAAGAGAGAAAGGTTGAAATTTGACAGTCGTATTTTTTTATCGCATTTCTGCTTCGCCGGCAAAAAGTCTAATATGCATCATAATCACGAAGCATGTGAAAATCGAGTCTGCTAAAGGATGTCCCACGAAAACTATGAAACTCATCCACCAATTCTGATGTGTCGTCGAAGCATAAAAATATTTCTCGGCTATGTGTTGTCGAATCTTCGTGTACTGCGTCCGCACCTCATCACTGAGTTCCGTCTCTCCTCGCTCGTCCCGCAGGAGGCGCAGAGCAAACCGCTTCAATTCCTTTTCTTGCTGTTCTCCACTCGCTTCCGCGTCGTCTTGGTTTGCCGCTGCTCCCCCCTGACTCCCTTCTCGACCCGAACGTGAGGCTCCGCGTGCTGGCGCTGTTGCACTATCATACGTGTGGTCCTCGAAAGATAGGCGGCGCGTTGCATCATCTACTTGATTGTAGGCGTGCGGTGGCCTACCTGCTCTGTTAGGTTGCATAGTGCTCTGCGGAACCTCAACCGCATCTCCTTCCTCCGCCGCAGTTTCAACTTCAGATCGAACAAGGGCGCCCTCTTGTTGCCGAGTTTCCGCGTCTCCGTTGGGCTTCGTGTCTAAACCGGTTGTACTGTCGCCAGAAACAGCAGCACGAGGTACCGCCTTCACTTCAAAAACGTCGCCAAAAGCGTCCTCGAGAGCTCCTGTTGCATCAGCCTGAAGCGGGTCTTCTCCACGTCGCTTCCTGAAAGCCGCGCCGTGGAGAACATCCATGGATGAATCCACTGGTGTTTTCGTCATACTTCCAGCAACATTTTCAGCCTCGTCGAAAGTGCCTCCTTTTCCGGTCTCGTGGCCAGTTTCGCTCTCAACTTGCAGAGCACGTGCCCAGTCATCCTGTTTTCTTCGTTGAGCGGAAGGAAAATTTCCGAAACCAGTGAATAGGGGTCCGTTCCCGGCAAAGAAGTTGCCTCTAGGAATCTCACGGACGTCGTCATCTTCCATTTCCAGGCAAATACCCGTATCTCCAGGACCACATGCAGGCGTTTTAAGCTGTGGCACTATTTCGGCATCGTGGCCTTCTTCCACTTGACGCAGCTCCTCAGGTTCCTTATCTCGCACACCAGCTCCTTGACGATGAAGACTTGATTCTCTGGTACCTGCCGACGAATTTTGAGGGAGATTAGCTCCATTGCTGAACAACTCAACTACTCCCCTTCCATGTGCTGCATTTCGTTTGAGCCTGTCTCGCGCGGCTTCGGCGGCGGTGGCTGTTGGAACTTCCACTTGAATCATGCCACCCTTGGAGCTGGCTCTTCGGTGAGGTGTACTCGAAGAAATTGTCCTTGTGCCTGTTGATGTTCGCGTGCTATTCATTCCAGTCGTTGCCTCTCGTCCTCTAGCAGATGATTCAGTTTGCCCACGATGATGAAGCCTGCGCTTCTCCTCAGGAGCAAGGTGAGAGTCTTCTTCTTCTCTAGAAGTAGACATCATGCTATTATTTTCAGACAGGCCGCCAGCATTATGGTAGAGATCTTCTGGGTACGGATCTTCTAGTTGACCGGCAGGACCGCCCATAGTTCCGCCCTGGTTCATGGAAGGTATGTAGTCCGGAATACGATCGCCCGCGCTCGCTTGTGAAACGTATGTCCTCCTGGTATGAGTCCTTGGGCTACCGTCATTAATGCCGGCGAACAATCGGCTATCATCTGTACCATCTGAAGGTGCGGCACGCTCTAGATTCAACTGAGGCCCGATGTGCTCATCCTGTTCCTCAACAAGATGGGGAGCCTGCTGATGTCCTTGTGCGACGCCACCTGAATCTCCCGGCTCTGTAACTACGCCATTGCTACTGGCTGCTGGCGCACTCTCGACGCTGGCTTGAGCGCTAGATGAAGGACCAGACTCGTCTGCCGTTGAGGCTTCTTCATGCTGTTGATTTTGATTTGCGGTGCTCGTTGGCGTCGCAACTGTTTTGCCTCGAGCCAGGTCCAGTAATTCCTGTAAATTTGTTTCCGATGGCAAGCCCAAAGTCCACCGGAGGAAAGCACACACCGTTTCCAAAGTCCATAAGCTAACCATACTTAGAATAGAAGAACGAACAAAAGCTGTGATTGTTATGTTGTAGTTGTAGCACCATCCGGACATCGTCATTCAGTCGGCATACTGAAGAGAAATTCTCAGCCTTAACAAGTACTCGATTACGCCATCAGGAAGCAACTCTAGTCCAGTAAGGAAGTGTCGCATACCCGCACGCCCCCAACGAAAAAACTGGCGCACCACACTCTGGTCTACATTTTCTAGACGGCCAGAAGCTATATCCGCTTCAATCCACTTTCGAGGCTCAAAAAATTTCAGTTTAGAGAGAAAGCCGTGCTGCTTATATCGCATCACTAATGAAGCTAGCATACCTGCGGCTCGTCGCACTAAGCTCCCAACGATGTAGTTACAGGAGCTGGACTGGAGCACTCAGACGCATTGCTAAGTATACTCACTGAAGAGCCTTAATCAATGCTAAGCTGGCGACGCCTTGCGGCCGTCTCGAAGGCGCTTCACCATTCTGGTCCACCGGCTCGCCCTCAATGCTAACTATGCTACGACTCCGTGTCCCCAGATTTTGTCCGTCGCTGCCTGCAACGTCTGAGTGATCGATGTGCACATCTTCTTCATCTGGCAGGCCTCGTTCCATGCTCTCACCTTCAAAAGCTTCTAGAGTTTCATCGTGCTCTTGGTCGGATGGATTAACGACGCTAACGCGATAAACATCAGAACCCTGTCCTGATCCGAGCACTTCGGAAACCTGAAGCGAGGCATCCACGGGAGGACGGCTTCCGGCTGAACGTCGAGCAAAGACGACAGTGACGCTGAGATTCCTGCTACTCCACGACGAAGTGGCATTTTCATTGAGCATCCATGCAACACGAACCAAGCAGCACACTCTCGTCCAGAGATAGCCAGACGCAGGCTTCGTCCGAAGAGTGGAAGAAGTCATCCGCGAGGATGAAAAGCTCCTCTCTATCATATCGCATAGTCCCACTCCAATCATCGTCTTCGTCCTATACATTTCTACTGCACGTAGAAATTTCCCAACGATGCATCGACACAAGCATATTACGAGTACAACGACAACGAGCAGCAACAAGGAAAATTGAACCACTTTCCAGACATCGACATACTGGAAGCACTATATTATAATTATCGTTGCTTTCTGGAAAAAAGACTACCTCTTGTAATCATATCCATGTAGTAGAACTTGTTGCAGGTGCACTCGACACAAAACTACTTCTTGAGAGAGAATATGGGGGAATATGGGACATAAGCGGTCGCCTTATTTGTCTAAACTTCTTCTCTTCCTACTTGTAAACAGTTCATGCGTCTCTCACAAGAAATCGTAACTTCGTCAGTACGCTGGTCGTAACAGCTTTTCTCTGAAGACCGAGATGAGTCGGGTAGCCCTTGCTCACCTCCGTCATGAAGCGAACCGCTCGCTCCTCTCGTCTGATCGACACAGACGGTCCGACGCGCACATGCTTTGTTCCTGCACAACGACAGTGTGTGAAACGTAGTCAGAGCAGTCGTGAAAAATCTATGTAGTTCTTGGTTGTTAGTAGCTTACGCTATTGGTATATGCTTTCGGTGAGATGACACCCAGTGATGCGTCTAAAGTCTATTCCTGTCACGAAGAAGAATCGTTTTCTTTCACTTCTATAACGGCTGGTAAATACGAGACCTTTATCACACAAATTGGTAAAAACTTTCACGTTTTCTGGCTCGTTGGTCATCTATGAGGTCACAATCACAAGGGTGCCGGATTCTCAACTACGGATCACGACAGTGCCATGGTTGTCCATCTCCTCACACAGTTACCATGCATTCTGCTAGCGGCATCTGTGTTCTCAAAATTGATGGATAAAGATATGAAAAGGAGGAATTAAAGATTGATAGAAGATAATTCCCTAGTTGTACAGCCGGTGATAGATAGATTTGTGTTTGTCTCACGGGCAGTTTCTAGCTGTATTCCTTCGCATAAGTATATGCCAAAGAAGTACTACGTCTTGTTTCTGCAAACTCAGTGTCTGACTCAAAGGTCCTCGTCCTCCTGTAAATATTCTGGTCGCCTTTGCCCGAGATATTAAGTATTTAATTCAGCGACAATGACGAGACCTGGAACTACCATGCAGATGTAGTATGAAGAAAATAAATGATGACTATATGCAAGTCGTACTGGTGCTCAAGGGAATCTCTTACTTATTCATGCACCTCCTCCATCAGCGCGACTGCTTTCGATCCAATATCAACTTACAGTCAGCGCAAGTCCCTTCCAGGATTACGCCGAAGGTTCCTTTTCCGCAGTGTCCTTGCTCGACTTGACTTCCTTCGCTGCCCGGCCAGTGACGCTATCCTTTCCCTTCGACCGCACTATTTGTTCAAAGAATCTGATGCGATTTCCCACAATGCTCCTTTGTGTCTCGTCGTCGCCAGTATGGGCGGTGACCGCCCCAGCAGCGCTACCTCCGTCTCCTGTCGTTTTAGAGTGATGCAGGTGTCTGAGATAGATCACCGATCTTTGAATCATCTTTCTGAGAAAAAGTGAAGCCACGCTCGCGACTGCCACGTGCGGCTCAACAACAGCATTGAGCATGTTCAATGCTGTTGATGCTGATTATGTAAGTAGTTAAGTACTTAACACTACCATAACTTCCATAGCAGCTACGGCTCCACCACCACTGGAAGAGGAGGTAGGAGCTGCTGCCGGTAATTGTCCCTCCATGTTAATGTCATCCGAAAGGAGGTCGACAACCAGCTTGCTCTCCTCTTGTGTCTTCGGACTTTGATCAGCAGCAGCAGCAGTAGCGGGGGCAGCAGTATCCTTGGGTTCCGCGGCAAGCATTGCGTCGTCGCCGATGTTCTGTCCGAGGAAGGTTGGCGATGTTGCGCCCTTCGATTCGTCGCCTTCGCCCTCCTCGGTGTCTAAGTCCGGTTTCAATACAGATGTATCGACGAGCGACGACGCTCGGCTAGCTGTCAAAGCGTTCGTTTCCTTGTCTTCCAGGGTCATCTTCTCTTGGATATCCGTGGCCAACTGACTGTTCACGTTCGCGGACAGCAGCGCGCCTTCCGCGGTATTGCTCACCGGAGCGGCACACTCCTCCCCCGGCGCCCCACTCGTCTCCTCGTGTTCCACTGGAGCTGTACTCGAATCGACATCCATCGCACCACCGGTTCCTTGTCCACCCTCAACGAAAGACACAGCCGCAGTCGGCTCCGTGTCTTTATTTTCCTGAGTGGCGCTTGGACTGCCTTCTTCTTTCTCCGGCAACATTTCGACGTCAGCAGCAGCTGCTTGTGGAGTTGTACCAGTGCCAGTTGGAGCGCTTTCAGACACGGTCGCAGACGTTGCATCCTTCGGCTGCCCTGGCTTCGGCCACTTCTTGGCTGTGCTCACACCTGATTCCTTCGGCGTGGCTTTGGCCGCAGGCGAGCTACCACCAGTACCGCCAAACTTCTTCATCATCTCGCTCACTTTCTTGTTCGGTGAAGCTCCTCCACCACTAGAAGTCGTTTCCCTAGAAGTGGAAGCAGTCGCGCCAGGTTCGCCTGCAGTTTTGTCAGCAGCCGGCTCCTCTGCAGTCTTGCCCGGTTCCTCTTTGCTGCTCTCCTCCTTGACAGGGGTAGCTGTACTTTTACTCTCCTCTGCAGCAACAGCAGGAGCAGCGATGGACAATATTGCAGCTGCAGCGTCGGCTTTTTCTTCAGAAGAGCTCGGCTGCTGAGGTTGCTCTTTCTCACCAGTCTCTTCGGCCTGTCCAGACGGGGCGGGCCCCTCCTTCGTGACGGTGGTCGCACCCAAAGCAACCGGTACATCGTCGCCAGGCTCTCCACCAAATTCCACAATGGTGCCGGTAACATCGTCAAGAGGGGGTCGACCCTCAGCGGCAGCAGGTGAGATTTCTAACTCCGCAGTAACTGCGTCCTTCGCAAGAAACCCACGAGCTGAAGGCGAACCCTAAAAGAAAAATTGCATAGTGGTAATCCTAAAACTTGATTGTGGAGAAAAGTACGGATGCGTCTTCATTAAGCAAAAGAGGGATTTTTCTTCTTATTTTTCACATTATCATAACATGCTTACCTTGTCGGCGTTCTCCACGTCACCCCCGTCTTTTGCAGACCGGGCAAAACAGCACGCGATGGCAGCGACGTACACGTAAATGACAGGCAGCATGTTGATTGATAGTTTCGTAATGAGCAAGGGAGAGTATGACTAATCGACCGGAACCGCGTCTCGGGCAAACACCTGGGACGGCCTCGAGATTCGTAGTTCTCTCACAATGGCACCTCGTCCTTCACTCTTTCGCAAATCCGTTGGGATGAACATGAAAGGGGAATTGCGTACCACATCGGGCGGCGGTGAGATAGCACCAGTACAAAGAGAGCTAGAACACACGCACTTCGTGAAAGAGATTTCTCCTTCGGTGTTTGCTCTGCCGAGTTACACGGACCTACTTTTTCATGCGTTGCGATTTGATGTACACTCAGTGACATTGCTGAAGGGTTTCAGTTTCTCGAATGCTGCGAAAATATTCGGTTCTGGATTGACGATTTCATCTGTTCATTTTCTTATTAGTTTCATTCTATTCGAATTCGATAAGTCTGTTTTGCGTAACAATTCTTAAAACTGGCGACCCAACACTTGTTTACAGTAAAATGCGTGTTTTCGTGCGACGTGTACAATTCCAATTCATTGCGATCTTCACTTGCTTCTACCACCCAACAATGTAAATACAATGCATGCATATTACCCGAAGAGATAGAACTGCCAAAACTTACGCATTTTCTGCGACTATCGGTATCGTGTGTTACTTACTTGTATTCTGAACCGTTTTTTCTCGATTTCAAATCCGATTTTTACATACAGTTTCGAAGAAAGTGTGACTTTTACGTAGATACATATAATATATTCTAGGAATCCCATAGTAGGCTAGCTCTAGTCCAAAACATTCTCATATTATACATTTTCATTCTGTGAGTATTTCAAGAGCTCCGTGGTTTTGCGATTATGACATAACTACTTGCTGTGCTTACTTTTTCTTCAAACTAATAAATCTGTTGTATGTCCTTGTCCATCTGATGTTTTTGCTCTACTACTATTTCTTGAACACGTCTGCTCAGTGATAGGGACTGTAGATGTTCTTCAACATTTTCTGTTCCAGCCAGGAAGAGCCACTCATGCAGATGACGGGCGCTCGGTCGTGGTCATGCCTGTGGCCTCCATTTCGTTAGTCGGCATGCCAGGCGCGCCGCATTCCGCTACAAAACGCGAACGGCGGAATCGGGATGCCACATAGTTGCTCACAGCGCATCCTTCCAAAGCTTTGCCGCGCTCTTTCATCATCATTAGCTGTGCGTTCAGAGAGCGCAGCTTCGCACGCTCGTGGCTCGGATACAAACAACGCACCTTCCCCATCACTTTTCGCATAGCCTCGTAGGAAACGGCGCCGTCGTAGTGCTCTCCGACGAGCTGCAGGAAACCGTACCTGATAAGAAAAAAAAGACACGAGAAAAGGTCAAAAAAGAGATGATCCGGAACTGACAGTATGCTACAGAATTCATCATGGTTCTTCCTCTCAAGAAAGTTCTTTCGAATCTTCAATGCTCGTTGTAGAAGGAGTTGTAGTTATACATTTCATCCTCTGTGAGTGTCGGTCGGTTTTTCGTGTTGACGACGCCCCACAATTCGAGATTGGCGAGCATTCGTGGACCGTCCAAAACGTAGCCGTTTTCAGGTGCATAAGGAACAACATGATGTTTCACATCCGACTCCTTTCCTCTCTGCAGAAAGAACATGCGCAAATTCTTCTTCTCCGACTTGAAATAATCGCGATGCAGGATGGCTGAGGATGAGGTGAGAGTTTGGATTGGGAGAGTGGAAATGGACTCACGGATGAAGAAAGAGAGTAGCTGTGAAATTCCAATCCCTAAATCAAATGTGGTGGATCAAGAGTGCCTAGTTAATCATAAATCGAAGGAGCACAAACCTTCAACTTTTTGTTTCTCCGTCCTATACCGACACCCCACGGAGAATCTGTCTCTGGGCTGCCGGCTCAAACTTGGTAGATATTTAATCTAGCACCAAATTAGGAAGGTTGCAATCCATAGAAGAGACTGAACCAGCTGGAATGATGCCAATGCTCGTCATGCTATGCAGATCTCCGCCTTTAGAACTGTGCGGCAATGTGGATTCTGGGTGACACAGAGTTATCTACATGTCATTGTTGACCTTTCTCTTTGTTTTTGTGATGAGGAACTACAAAGTAGTACTCCTTTCTTCTACAAATAACACAACGATCGCGATCCTACCGAAAGTCGCTGTACCCAAAATCTCCCACACTTTCTTTTGAAAGTCGCTCCACGTGCTCTTATTGCGGTCTAGCCACACCTCGTTGGCCTCGCGGAAGCTAGCATTCTTTTCGAGCCACTCGAAGTGGGCAGCACTCATATCCTTGAAGTTGTACCCACGTCTTCCATCATAGCACCTCTGCGCTTCAATCGCTTGCATTATTCGCTGTCGGTTCAACGTCTGATACGTGAACGAGTACTGGATGCCGTAAGCGTTGGTCATACCTGTTGTAGGAGAGGAACAGATTAGGTCTATCCGCACAGCTATACCTGAAGCCACGCACTTCTTTCGTTTTTTTACTGTATCATGATCAGTATGCGAAACGTTGTAAGTTATTCAGTTTCATTGATCTGAGACTGAGAGCACATTAAAGAAATCAATGACGCTTACCCTTGAGCCCACTAACTTTATTCTTCTCGAAAAGCTCTCGCAAAGCCACTTCGTTCTCGCGTTCCCGCTCGCTGAAACTGATTGGCCTCATCATAGGCTGATGCTCGATGACCTCATGCGGCACGGGTCTCTGGCACGCAACCGTCGGTCGCAGGTAAATTGGCTCGGTGATTAGCGAAGCCGGAGTTGATGTTGTTCCGTGTGTGCACTAGAGCGTCTAGATCAAAAATTGCAATTCCCGTTCCTCACTGATAAAAAGTACTAGGTACAAGGACTCATACATCAACCGCACCTCCGAAATGTTGAGAAGTTATATCCTTTCTGATGCTATGACTAACACTGAAGTTCGTGTCCTTAACATCAAATTCCAAGTTGGCTGCGCTCCGCAAGGGAAGTTGGTCAGGAAGCGGCCATTGCTGATCACTGGTTCTCCCGACCGGTGCTGACGCTGCAAGGCGTTCACAGCTATCAATTGTCGACTCGCATCTCCATAATCATGTCGAAACGACTCTTCCGCGATCTGTTGTATTTGTTGATCACGGAGATTCCAATTCATCGTAGTAAACAAATTATCTCTCGGAATCCTTCATAGAAAAAGCACGACGGGTGTTAACATAGAGCATTAAAAAAAATTCGAGTAACGAGCGTACGTGTGGCTTGTAGAGGCTGAGCTTGTGCATCTCCTCAGCTCTGGGGTCTCCTTTCTTCGCGTCATTGCCGCTATTGTCGCCCGCAGGGATGATACCACGTCGCGGTTTAGGCTTTTCTTCCTCTTTCTGTGCAATCTGTTTGCCACTTTTGGTTTTAGAAATTAATTCCACAGGCTGAACGGCGTTGAAGACCTCCCATAAAAGAACATGCAACATAACCTAGGTATAATAGAAAAAAACTGTATTCAATATCAATATCAGTCGCTATTTGCCACGCCGAATCTACTGACTAGTGTAGTAGTGTAGCAGTCACCTTGATGTCGATCGCTCCATCGTGGATAGAAATTATCGACAATTCCGTCATAATGTTCGAGAGCCCACTCATCTTAGCAAGCTCATTTTCCCGCTCGATCTCCTCAACCCGAAGGTCAAACGCATTGAGCGCCTTTCATTAGTGCTATCGAAAATAAATGGTTCATCATTTCCTAGAAGCACCTATTGTCCAAATTCTACCCAGGAGGACTCGGTCGTATTACACACACACTCAGCGTGGGAATCCTCCCCTGTCAGTGCTCTGTTAGGGAAAGATGAATAGTTGATACGCCTCTTAATTTAGCGTGTCCTCCCGTGTTTTGGAAGCCTGCAGTACCGCGAATTTCTCCGCGTCGCGCTCACGCATCTCCTTGCGCCTCCGGAAATTCATGGTCGACGAAAACTTGGTTACTGTCGCCATTTTTTCTGTTCTAGTCTCTTATTATAATATAAGTATTTCTGAGTCCACTTATACGTAATGAATTTTACGAAATGTCGGGCCCTTCTGACGTCCTCGACAGTGGATGTGGTCTTACGTTCTCGGGAACAGCACAAAAAACAATGGGTCCTATGTTTGGTGTTTTGAGATGGAGTTGAATGAAGACGGGGCTACTCATGTATAAGTGATCACGTGCAAGTCGATTTATGCAGGCCTTGGAGACGAGAAATCGAGATTGATGTAGGATGGCGGTATCAACAAGGAAGTCTCACCATAATGCCTCCGAAAGAGAGGAGCATGACACGCGGGAAAGGTCAGAAGGAGGTGGAGTATAGGTTGGGTCATCGGTGAAAGCTGGTAATTCACACGAAAACAGATGCTTCATGGGAAGGTGTCAGAACCACGTCAAACGTCCGAAATCCGATTTCTCGGCTAAAGACCGATCTTGATCATCTACACTTTTTCTTCGACTAGTTTAAGTTTGTTTGATTAACCGATATCAAGACGATGAATTGCGAACAGTGCGAGTATGTCCTCGACTGTGCCGAGCCATCATGAATTTAAGTAGTCTCGTTTCACAATTAGAATTATCTATCGCTCAGGAGCTTCAACACTCGTTCACTGCATTTCAGACTCGTCTCAGAACACATCGTAGATGCAGCTAGCGTTCTTGATCTTGAGCTCGCTCGGAGTTACGCAGACGCAAGACGGCGGTTACCTCAAAAAACATGGGCCAGGCAATAGCTTGAGAGATAGACGGGTGTAGTGTAAGTGGAGCACGGGGAAGGGAAGGGAGGTTGTGTGTGTCGCTGGGGAATCATCGTGGTCATACATACAAAGGCGAATTGGGAGAAACTCACGAAATCGTGACGTTACATAGCAACACTGTCTGCAATAGAAGTGGGCTGACGTATTTCACTTCGACTGGCCTCACTCGAAATCATCTTCAAGCACGTCGAGTCGCTTGAAAACGCGGTTACTCAGGAATTGGTAGCTTGGCGATGCAAGCCCCCATCCAGAACGCGAGGCCTGATGCATTCCCTCTGACCAATCCTGGACCGCTTCCCCAGTTTGAGCAAGCCGCTCACGCCTGACCTGCTCCTTTTCTCGCTGCGCTGTGCGCCGAGACCCACGAACGGTCTGCCGGTCATGATTCTGATAAGAGAAATCAGTGTATTGGAAAGGGAAACAGTAGTTTCACGAGAATAAAAGCTCTCTCCGTAGAAACGGATCGAGAACTCGAAGATTTCAAAAAATGTGAGTGGACATGAAGTTTCCGAGAAAATTATTTCAAGGTTTGTTGTTGTTCGCTTGCTAGAAGAAATGGAATGGTAGTACCTCATCCACCCGACGTTGCGCTGATGTTATTCTACAGCGGCGAACGATGCGTCGCGTGCCCTCCTTCAGCGTGTCTGACGTGTGTTGGCATGAGGGCGTAATGAGTATCCTTCTTGGCCTGTAGAAACAACTCAACGAGAAAACCTTAGACAAAGTAGAAAAATGTAGTACAAGTCGGTGCATGAATTGGAGATCATATCATCCATATTTTCACCTATCCCCACCCCAATCAACAAGTGGTGGTCACAGCAGCGAACAGATGTTGAATTTCCTTGTTTTCAAATTCATCTCTGACAAAAGCTATGTTCATCGAAACGGCATGAAAAACTACCTACCTGTGCTTGACTGTGCTGGCGCATCAGCTGCCGCGCACTGGTCGCCACCGGCCACTGTCACAGAGTCAGCACGTTCGAATTCAGTAAAGAAGCCGCCAGAGCAGCTCCACTCTGCGGAATCGTGCTCCATTTTCGCATAAAAAATCCTGCCTACTCCACTGGTGTAGTGATAAAACCGCGTCGAACATAGAACCCCGCTTCTTATCGGCCTAGCGCGCGGTTCTACTGACCTCCCTCTTTTTGGCCGCACGCGGACTCTCGATTGTTATACGGCTGCCTGCCAAATTATGATGTCTGCAAGTACTCGCGACGCCGGCCGTAGTCGCTCTTCTTTACTTCTCTACTTACTATTTTTAGCTTCAGCGATGCCGGACGCGTTCAGTCCGCGAGAAAGATGCCGTAAAAAGTAAATTGCGTCGCGCAAGACTATGGAATAAGACGGGAAGTGCTGCCGTAGTTGCTGCGCTTCGGTATGGATGCTGTGCCGCGTTTACATATTGCAAGATTGAAAAATTTAATTTCACAATACTTTCGAACAGATCAAGATCAGGCTCTTCTTGTTCACGGAGGAAATCGCTTATCCTAAGCTTCTACCCAATTTCGCTACGCCTGACCACCGCGCAGCTGCAACACCATGTGAATAATAGAGCCTGGCTTTACGTTGTAATCCTGCAGTTGGCATTCATCAGACATCTGCTTGCCGAGGTCCGTATTAGACACTTCATGATGGATGGAGGACTTCTAGTGAGTCCAAAGAGCACGTTAAATTCCTAGTATTTCATCAGTACCCGGCCGACCAGGACAAAGTCGATTTTCGACCAGAATGTGTTCGACAGTACAGTAAATGGATGCCGACTCAAGTCTGCTATAGTACATCCTTTTGAAGTTTGGCCATAAAAATAAGACGAATCTGTTCCATCTGAATTCCCTCCTTCTCCTGCAGTGCCTCCTTCACATGCTTCACGTAGTTATCGGGCTCGAAGTTGAAGTTGGACTTCCGACCGGTCAACGTTTTGATCGAAATCTGCATTTTTCTCTACAACACAACGTTCTCCTTTCGAGACAGAAAAAAATCATTAAATGCGCTCAAGTTGCCTAGGGATGCAAGATGAAGCAAACGGGGGACAAAAAGTTCACATCAGCAATACGTAAGTACTACACAGCGACCAGTGCGGAGAGCCTGAAGATGTTCAAAAATGACACAAGTAAAATTGGACTTCGACGGTGATGTTCGCCGTATTCATCAAAATAATGTACTTGCATATATCAAATAGAATGAAATTAAGTTAAGCCTCCGTTCATAGACGGAAGCGGACAAAAAAGGCTTGCGCTTGCCCATAGAATCGGCGAAAAAATGAGCCACAACTCGAATGCTTGATCATAAACAAGGGAGCGCAGGTTTTATTTTACGAAGGTTTAGGAACATTTGTCTGGGTAGCGGGAACCCTGTAAGAATAAATTCAAGTTGTAGTAACAGGTTGTGTTCTCCTCTCTGCGGTCAGGCAGACTAGTCCTGCATCATAACTTTGCAAAGTCTACTTCTTTGGTTCTGTTTCACATAGGACAACCTTCGGAGCCCGACAGGACTCTAGTCTGTTTCCCTTCAGGTTTCGCATATCACAGCATTGAGAAGACGAACACTGTGTAGTTTTACAGTACGGTTCCCGTCGTGGTCGTACATCTCTACAACAGCCTGAGGAAGGATCTCTAGTACTATCAATAAGGACACCCCTATTCAACGGTGGCGTGGAGATCACATCATTCTTCTCGTTTCTGTATTGATGTAGATTGGGCGAAACCGACAAAAGAGACCTCCTGCTCGCTCTTCTTTGTTGCAAATTCAAGGTAGAAGATGAAATCTATTTATATTTATAATCATGTGCAAATTTTTACAGTCTCGTTGAGGTGGAGGTGCAAATGCATCCAAAACACGCCTTGATAAAAAGAACTGTTCTGCGGTTCCGCAATCAAGCTGTACAAGAAAAGTAATCGTTTTTGACCAGGCAAAGAGAGTAAAACTAAAATAGTAGTTCTCGTAATATACGTAACGGGAAACCTCAAATCATCAAAGAAGGTCCGCAGGATGCTCGAATTCGAAGTTCCTTGCCGCGCAATATCCCACAACGAATCGAATCGAAAGCAGTTTCATTTTGACCTTCATCTCCAGCGCGAGACCAATCGATTCGCCATAGTTGTTTGCAATTCTTCAACCTGTCAAGCAGGTCCTACAGTTTCCGATTGCTCGCGCGGGGCGTGGTGGAGTTGTCAAGGCTGCTCCTTTCAAACAGTTGGCGGGCGAAGCGACTTCCACGGCCAGTATGTGGCACCAACCTGCTGTGGCGTTACCGAAAGAACGATCTCTCGCGGCGGCTCGCCCTCCAGCCATCGCGGTCTGCTCAATCCAACGCCGAAGACTTGTGGAGTGGAGCCATGTTTGTCGTACTAAATCTTGTCAGCGAGCAACAACGCGATAAGTCAAATGCGTATGAATTGGTTCATTTTATCCAACGTGGACCGGTGCGCACGAAAAGCTAAGAAATGGCACACACAGCAAGGCAGATCGAAGGGGTTCTTGCCCGCAGCCAAAAACAGTCGCGGCATCGACAACAACTCTTCGCCTCCACGCCCCCGCCGTGCTTTGCGTGGCCCCTCGTGCTGCTCTTCGCGTTGGCTCCAAAAACGACTAGTACGACTTTAGACATTAGTGCTTTTTCAAAGGGAGTCGCGCAGTAGCAAGACAACCGTTCTGCGAGAACTTCCCCGCCGCCTCCAGGACACCGGCTGTGGTCTCTAGAAGCACCGGCAAAGGGACCGCTCCTCAACCACCTAGTATCAGCGTATGGCTTTCTGCTGTCGAGACCATGCGAACGTTGTGGGTCATGGTTGTTACCAATGTCGGCTCGTACATAACCCAATCCTTGCCTTCGTCGTTCGGAAAGCCTAACTGACCATGCTGATTGCTGCCGAAGCACCAAAGGTGGCCTGTGCGCGTCACTAGGAAGCTGTGGTTTGCTGCCGCGGCGCACCAGCAGAAGTAGTATCCTTGATTCGGCGGCCGTCCCTTGGACTTCGGTCCCAGGTAGCCACCAAAGTCTTCACGAAGTGTCAGCCACGTCGGCCATACGCGACCAGGGTCCTCACGACCTGAAACAAGACGAGTGAGTCGTTTTCTAGATACACATGATCAATCGTGAATGAGAAGTCCGTCAAATCTACTAAGTCATTCGGTCCTTCGAACCCCTCCAAGAATAGGACAAACAGGCCTACTCGCAGAAAATTCCCTCCAAGTCCAAAGTCTATCTTTTACCAAGTCCGAGCTGTCCGAAGGCGTTGCTGCCCATCACTGCCACGCGCGGATTCTCGCTAAAAAGTTTGTTTTCAGTGATCACCAGAGTATGATTGGTTCCACAGGCAACCATGAGCCATTTTTCGGACGACAAACGCTGAAGCATGTGCGGGCAATACTGGTCCGTGCTCTTCCCGATTCCGAGTTGTCCGGCACTATTAGCGCCCCAGCCGTAAAAGCGGTCATCCTCGGACAACGCGATCACATGCTCGTCGCCGCAGACCACCTGTTTCCAGCGGCGTTTCTCTGGCAGCGCCATCGGCTGTGTTACAACGCGTGGAAGCATTTTGCTGCCCACGCGCATCAAATCGGTGTTATTGAAATCCTTCGAAAACAAGGGGTGCTCTCCGAGCCCCGGGTTGCGCCGCGTCCCCCCTTTGATCGGCGACCCGCGTGCGAGGACGCGCTGTGCTTCTAGCGCAGTTGCAGTGGCCTTGCGCGTATCGTGCAAATGTGCTGTGTCCAAAGACATGTTTTCGATGCCGAGCTGACCTCGAGAGTTGTCGCCGAAAACGTACAAGACACCTGTGTCGTCCAACATGACTGAAAAACGAGCGCCTACGGCTACTTGCTTCATCGGAATCGTCCGCGTCATGCGAAGCAACACCGGACGCGTCGAATGGTAGATAGTTTCTGTGTTGATGATGATGTGGGATATCTGTCGAGTTTTCCTAGTAACGAAAAATCAAATTAGTAATCATGGTTCTTCATTCTCAGAGGTCTACCATCTAGATACTTAATCGAAACTCAGGCACAAACATGCAGATCATCCTTCGAGATACTCGCTTTGCCGCCTTCTGCGTTTCGGTCACGTTCATGGAATTTTGAGACCCCTTGGACGCTCGGATCAATCGTATCTGTTTCAATACCGAGAGCTCCGACGGCAGAAGTCCCAAAGCTGTACACCGTACCTGAGGTGATGATAGTGAGCAATTTGTCGAGACATAGTTATCTTGATGAACAAAAATAATTCAATCAATCTCGATAAAGCTGTAAGGAAATTCATTATAATCTATTAGAGAGGCAATCGACACGGAGATGTCTGCAATACGTCATGCTAGAGCAAACTAAACAAGATCATGATCATGCACCATTATTGCAGAGACACAGCGTATGTGATCCAGAGGTGGAGGTCGCGACTTGAACGACATGCTCCTCTCGGGTGCCACGGAGAAGGTAGGGCTCATTGACGCCAGTAATTTCCTTGCGGAGGCCCAAACATGAACCACGATTGGATCCAAAACCAAGGACGTGCCCAGCCTGTGCTTCCAAGCAAAAGGAATGGGCGCGACCCGTTTGCAAACCGACAACGTCCTTGCCGTTTGGATTAGAGGAGACAGTTGTACAGTACCCAAGTAATTGATTCTCACGACCCATTCTCTTCATATTGATGGTGATGAAAAAACCAAAATTGGATGAAAAAAGTCGTCGATTCATAAGAAAGCGCTCCACGTCCATGGGTCTTGTTTCTCCTCGGTATCGAAAACTGGTTCCCAACTGACCCTCGTTGCCGTTTCCGAATCCACGCACGACCGCTTTCGCGCTTGGCACTTTCCCCGAGTCTATGCAGTGGTAACTGAGGGTCAACATGCCACGCCCCGCAAACAGGCTGCGCCAGTCCGCGAAGCGCTTATCTGTCATTGCTAACTGGTTAAATGAGAAGTCGCTCAGCGCGGCAGACCCCGGTCTTGTCCCGTCTTCCTTTTTCGTTCCGCCGGGTGTGTGATCGTCCTCGCCACCAGCGTCGGAGCTCGACCCTACGGTTTCAGAGGCAGTCTCGACGCGCGCCACGCCATGCATCTCTTCATGTGCGAGGCGGAATATCCGTGACCACAAAAACGCATTTGCAGCGAGAACATCGTAGTGCTCAGCTGTAGATTTTTGAATCGAAGGTAGTATAAGAGTTTGGTTCTGTGCTTTTGTAGCGAAATTGAAATCATGTGGTACTCTCACTCATGAAAATCAAGAACGATCATATCGCTACTAATTCATTATGTCAACGTTGTTACTGTTCTCCACGCTTGTGCTTTGCAGATGCGAGCTGGTTTGTTCCGTCGAGGTTTGTTCGAAGAAAGCTGTCTGCGCTAGCTGCGATCCCGAAGGCTTGGCGGCCGATCCATCATCACTGGGAGGCTGAACGCGCAAAGTCGCAGTCTCATTCACGACCGGGGCCTCCATGTTGTCCTCGTCTTCCACTTCTGCTGGCTTGCGCACCTTCGGAATGCAAACGTATTTCGTTGCCAACTCCTTTTCAAAGGCTTCCTGTTTGATTCGATTCTTCAGTTTCAGCATGTCAAGATGCTTGATATCGTCCATGGAAGCCACAGTGCCAACAGGCCGTAGGATACCGCGACTTGTTGCCAAAACCAGCGGCGCACGCGCATAAGTACCATCCCGCACCAGAGCTTTCTTTGTACGGCTTTGCTGCACCAATTTGCGCAACCGCTGGAAGACCCGCTCTTTCGCGCCGACGTTCGCGTGCGCCGCACACAACATGTACCTCTTACCATGCCCTGTTGCGCTGTCCACGGCTTCGCTAGCGCATTGATAAATCATATCCGAAATCCACTGGATCATCTGCGCACTGATTAGATCAGAAACTTCAGTGGAATTCCTCATCTTCTAAAAAAGAGTGAGCACAAATACCTAAGACCTTCATACTCGCATACCATCTACAACTCGATTCGTATCAGTCCTTGATTCTTCATCAGGATCGAGCAAACGAGATTAGTGTAGTAACTGAGTCATGGTTATTGACGTTTCAACAACATAATTTCACGTTCAGCTCTCTACTCGCTTTTTTCTTCTGCTCCGCGATACCGCGACCGACTAAGGAACCTGCCATTTTCCACGCCGCTGTAGCGCTGGGTCGAGGGTCCCAAAAGCGATATCCGCTTGTGTGAGCAATCTGTTGCAGATTGTTGCCATGTGTGATTACGCAGTCCAGCAAGAGGTTTCCGTAATCCTCCACCGCCACGTTGTTTGCAAAATCGACAAGCAGCTCTTTCGCTCCACTGCGCACACAACTCGGCTGCATGTAGTGCAAGTATCGCGTAGCGAGCAGGTAGTACTTCTTCTTGAAATATTTGTAATAGTTGGAGCGCAGCAGCGCCACGAAGCAGAAGAGGGATATGGCCACCAGGAGCCGAAAACGAGGAAAGCGATTGGACATCGCGTCACCACCGGCAAAAAGAATAATCACATCGTACAGAAAAGACATTAGCAGGCACGAATCAGACTCACTTCCAAGTGAAGCATATCAGGGTCCCTCTCATTCAACTATGCACTTTTTTACCGTCTAGCTTAAAACAATCTTGAAAATGGCGGAATCAGACTGACTTCCAAGTGAAGCATGTCAGGGTCCCTCTCATTCAACTATGCACCTTTTCACTGTCTAGCTTAAAACAGCCTTGAAAATGGCGGAAGATATTCTAGCGTGTAATAACACGATAAAGATGTAGCTGACCTGTTCTGTTTTCAAGTCATAAGTACACCGCTGCCAGATAGAGTGGACGCGCGGCCCAATCAGGGGGCGAGGAACCGCGATCAAAGCAGCTCTTGCTAACCGTGAAGGGATACATGAACTTGATTGCACAGTACAGCAGAAAGTATCCCACCGCCTTGAGAACCTCGCTGCTCGGATATTCGTCGCTCGCGTTCACGTCTGATTGCATCTGCTCCTCTAGGTAGGCTGTTTTCGCGTCGGCTTCAAGTTTCTGCACCTCCCCAGCCATGGTTCCGATCGGGACACCGGCAACGGCTCCCATTGCGGGAGGCAAAAAACCAAATGCCAATGTGCTGAACTCGAACTGCCAGGCCATCACGGCCAAGAAGGGCGCAGTGAACACAAAATCGCTCAGCACATGTCTGTAGTAAGAATAGTGAAGTAAGTGATAATCCACAGTGAGTGAATCCTACTCTGATTGACCATTGCTAGCTACGCTGGGAAATGACACAAGTTGAAGTTTTTGCGAAGACTTTTATTTCAAACTTACTACATTAACTGCTAGGTCGAGGAGACTTCAAAATATAGTACATCATGATCGTCGCCCCTGGACCGGTCCCGTGCATCATGTCGTCCATTAGGCCACTGTCCCACAGTGCGTCCATCTGCCAGAGCACGGGCTGTGGAAACAGTTCAAAGCGATGCTTTCTTGGTGCGGTGGTGTCAAAACCGCTGACGAGAGTGCAGCCTCTTGGCACAAACAGCGTGTTCACGTTTTCGAGGGAGGGAAATTTGATTTCGGCTCTCCCGCTGAAATCGGCAATGCGTTTCTTCACCCACATCGCGCGTGCGATCAAAATGAACCTTGCTGCTGCAAAGATGTAAATGGATTCTTCGTAGCCCACATCAGCCACGCCCACCTCAGTAGGCAAACGTTCACCGTAGAAATACACCATCATCAGGACCAAGAGCAATGCGTAGTCCTTGATGTACTTGTAATGAAACTCCTTGCGCTCTTCGCTCACGTAATACGAACCTGGATAAATATTTTATAAAGATTTATTTGAGATGGAGGTTTTCTGTTGAATGATGCCCTCAAAATAAATCTTCGTGCCCCTTTCACATACAACTCTAGAGATATCTACAGCTTCTTGCCAATACAAGGCCCGCCCTTCTATTTTTCAACAAAATGAAAGGTACCAACAATGGCCGCCGAGACGTGATCCATGACGAAAGTAATCATCAACGCGTCGGTGTAGTAGAGCGTCTTCATACTACGCAACATGAAGAACTGTGCCACGCCTCCAAGGAGGCCCATGACGGGATAGTTTGTCAGTGGGTTGAACGTTGTGTTTCCCCTCGTGTGCATCTGCACTTGCATGAGCATCGACGCGACCGCGAGCCACGAGGGCAGAACAAAGCCATACCCCAAAGCCAAAAAAAAGTTCTTGTACGCCATATAGGAGATCGCAAAAGCTACCGCGAATAACGCGGCGAGTGCCACGCGTACAATCATCTGCTGTATCCTTGGACACGGCATAGCACTCGAAATCCTGTAGTAGGCGTAAGCCAGCGGTGCTGCGTTCGCGAGCGTGCCAACGTGCAACAAGTTGTAGACCCGATGGTTCGCGACAAGTGACCGCAAGGCTAGGAACTGCAATTGCTCGCACGACAACAGCTGCCAGAACCCAATAAAACAAGATCGCTGCTCGTAGTTGCTCATCACCGGCATAATAATGCGGTCCGCAACACTCCACACAATGCGAGGCATTAGAAGAATAACTGATGAGTTTCCCTTTGTGGGTCTTCCCAACATTAGCCACTAGAAGTTTCGAAGCTTACGAACAGTGACGGGTCAAAAATGTTGCTCTTTTTTATATTTATCTTTATAAATAGCCGTGGTTGCACCACTTTTGCTTTTCTCATGGATGAGGGCGTCATAAATCTTCAAGTGAAGTCTAACGATCCTTATCATCCCCATGAAACATAAGATGAAAAACGACAGCACGGTGGAAGCCGCTTGACCTGCTGTCTGAATCTGCCGGATCTGCTCGTCGAGCAAGCCCTGTAGGGCCTGCTGATTCATAAAGCGGAACATCTTTTTCGGTCGAAATCACTGACGTTACGATGAGTTCAGGCGTGACACTTCGAGCGCAGTCGAAACCGCAATACTTAGCGAGAAGAGTACAGAATCTCCTCGATTAATTTTTTTCTGCAATTTCTCGCCGTCTGATGTTCAGGAGAGCTTTGCCGCTGCTCCGACTCGACTGGGATTACAACGTCGGATTCTTTTCGCATGCACAGGAAACATCGACTTTGGAAATGATCTCCAATAGAGATCTAGCTCATGCTTTTCAGGAAGAGTAAGAAGAACTGTCAATAAATTCATGGGGGAAGCTTCAACCTTCTAGTCAAGAATCAATGCAAATCAATGAATCGATCTCACGAGCGCCGCACAAAAAACAACAAGAACTAATCACCTAGCCTGTATTGCATCATTTGATGCATGCGTCTCATTATCTGTCTTCTTTCTCCAGTAAAGTCGTGTTCGACATCCATACTTCTATAGCTTATATGTTGAGTCGATGACGTAGCTTCGATACTTTGGGAAGAAGACGCTGCGTACTTGAGGATGCGACAAACAGTTTTGACGACGATTTCACAAGAGGACACTCACGATTTCACAAGACAGTCTTGTACATCTTGCGCATCCACCCTCTCTCTCTTTCTCAACGCAACTCTCACATTTTCTTGCTTGATGAAGAAAGACAAGCCATTATGCCGATGCATCAATGCTCTTTTGGCACTCGAGTCAACTTTTCTCTACAAACTCAGATTCTCGATCTCTAACTCTCCCATTCACTCATTCCCTCAGTCAGTTCAACGAACAAACAAGGTAAAGTGTGACGACCGAAATCGACATTAGCCAGCCGACTCTGACGAAAATATCCCGGGTGAGTAGTTCTTTACCGTCAAAAGATAAGAGGTTTTTGTGTAAATTTCTTATCCAGGCGCGTCCTTGTGCATCCAGCCAAAAGACTGACGACAATCGCGGCATTCAGGCCCCCACTCTTGCCATCGCGAAGGATTTGATGCGTATTCGCCATCCATTACGCTCTGACAATATGCGCATTTCCACCGGTCAAAGGCAGATGAGGGAGCACTGCTATACCACGTAGACCCATATCGCGGTACGCCGAGCCGCTCTTCTGGGTGCTCTGCAGCTGCCGCGCTGTCACTCGACTTGTCGTGCTGCCAGTGAACCCGCAGTGTCGCCTCCTTCTCCCGCGCGTTGTCGATCCACCCACGCACACGCGCCCACTGCCTGTCAGACATGCCCGGGCGAATCCAAATCCGCTTGTCAGGTGACGGAGTTGCAAATGTCCCTGAAGCCGCAGAAGCAGGATCTGAATTGTCTGGCGGTAGCGGGTAACCTGGGACGTCGAAGGGGGCGTCCATGGCGGGCGAATCATCGGTAGCGCAATGCGCATGTAGGAAGAAGAGGGAACTCTCGAGCCGCGCTTGTCTGTTCATAAATGTGTTTCCCACATAGCTGGCGGACGTGGCACGCTGGGCGTAGAGTTTCTGACTTTCGGCACAAGCAGTTTGCAGCAAATTGCTGCAATGCTCTCTCGTCTTCTGGAGCTTCTGCACCGGAACGCCTGTGTTGTTCGTCAGATAAAACGGACTCACCTCTGGCGCGGCACGCCTTGTTCCCCCAGACGTCGAATCAAGATATCGAGATCCAGATACCGCGCTAGTTGTGCTGGATGTCAACAGTCGTTTCTCTTCCGCTTTTGTGGAAACTGCGAAATAGCGTTGCGGCCGATACGATGCTAGGGCCGCCTTTTCTGCTGCAACGTCGCCCCTCACGGTGAGCATCCCGCCGGTAAGCGCCGCGCACACATGTCGCAAGTGCAGCCACGCGTTCACTGCTGCGCAAGGGGCATCTCCGAGTAGCGTGTTTAAGTGCGGCCGCACGAAGCGGCCCTCCTCCACCTTCTCAGCTAAATAGAACACAAACTCGGACAGTTCCAGCCGGTTTCCCAAGCTGCCGGGCGACATGTGAATGCACCACGCAACGGTCATGTCTCCCCACCATGGATGTGACTGATATAGATCTTGGCTTTTTGGATTGGCCGCGAAGTCCACAAAATCGACCCGCCCAATATTCTTGCCACCGCTCACGGGAGGAACCCAAACTATGGAAGACATAGCTGTTTCCAAACTAGCACACCTAAAGATGCTTTGTGATTACCAACTCGTCTCCCGTGGAGAAGTAGAGTGACGCCCGCTCCCGTATGGTCTGTTTTAGTAATTTGGAAAAACTTCTTAGGCCCATAAAAAAGCTCGGTCCGAATACTGCAGATGGGTGCGTCAGGCCGACTGCGATGTACCCGAAAACCAAGTAGTCGGCTGCTTTACTTTCTCCTGCACGCACAACAGTGTCTTCGTTTATGACAGATGTAGATCTTGACAGACCGTGTTCTGCTCCAGGCTTTATTTGTTCCCCCAAAACGGGGAAATGAGTTTCTTCGTTTCTGCTTCCGTCATTCGCCTTGACTGCCGGATCAGAAGCGCTACTAGTTCGACGCTTTCTCGCCTCAGGCGTCGTCTTTTCACCGATGAGGTTCTTGTACCCCAGGTCTCCGTTCCACGCCTCTGGGTAGGCATCGGAGCTTCGATCTGCAGTCGTGTGCCAATAATGTCCACCCTTTGCGCCGTCCCCATCCGCAGAGCCATCCGATGCATTCACAAAACTTCGGTGCAGATTGACATGCTTGCGCGAGTAGTCGTTGCACAACCATGGTCCACCATTCATCCAGCAAGTGCAGACGCGCTCTCGCTTAGCAAAAGCGATATAAGCTTCACGATACGAACCGGCGCTCTGCTTGTAAAAAGTGTCGTAACTTATTTTTGGAACCAAACGCTTCGCCTCTTCGTCCGACTCCGCGTTGGACAGCGTCCGGCTGGGCCACAACTCCGCTAATCCGCGTCCTTCTGACGTTCGCGGTGAGAATGACGCACCTTCAAAAGAGGACACCGTGCACGCTTCACCGACAGCAGTAAAATCAAAGGCGAGCGCAACCTCACTATCAAAATCCAAGTCGTCAGGCGTACCCAGATCGCCGCCAGCTGAAAATTAGAAAAAAGCCTAATTCCGCACCCCGCATCGAACAAACATTCTTCTTAGACGGATGAACATACAACGTGAATAGTATACCTAATGAGGCGGGTGCAAAATTCTGAATAAAGTTTTGGGGGAACAAAGAAGTCCAAGTCATATTATCTATGGAACCTCTTTGAAGCGTGCTTAGACCTAAGTGAAAGTCCCCAGCCAGAAGCCGGATTCGAGATGCCCGTGCGAGTTCACGAGTGCGTCACCCTCCAATAGTGCCTGTCGCAGTCGCTCTCGACATCGAAACATCTCTGGGTTGCAGTGGTCTGGCGCGGATGCCGTTCGCAGGTATTGCGGATTCTCTGACAATGGTGTATTTGGAGGAATCCATGAGCAGAGCGGGTGCGTGACGTCCAGGTCCCCGCCTGTGATCTTAATCGGCTCCAATACCCTGTTCGGAAGCGCCGGATTCGAGGTGGCATCCTCTACTCGACTGTTGTGAAACAATAGGGTTCCTGGCTCATGCTCACCCCTCCTGCTACTGCTATCATCATGCTGAGTGCGGCACCAATCATGGTGCACCGCGCACACACTAGGATAGCCTAACCAAAGAAATTTCTTCAACGGCCGTATAGTAGTTAGCCGCCATTGCGCTGTGCTCGCAAGTGCAGTCTCCGAGCACAGAATTGAGGTTAGCGGTCCTGGCGAGGTCTCGGGTAGCGGCAATGGACGTAGCGATGGCCAGTATCTCGCGGTAGCCATGTACACAAGTCGGATAGCGAAGATAGCTGCCAGGAGTAAAGCGGGCTGCTGCACTTTTTTATCGTGGCGAATCCATTCTGGAATGCATCGAGCAAGAAAGAACATCATCAGGGACCCTACGCTTACGCGGCAAAGAATGCCCAAAGTATCATGTTACAACTGCAGTTTATGGATTCATTATCTAGGCTTGTTCAAATGGTTTACAAGCGCCCCCGTTTTTTATGTGCTTCACCCCACCCCCTGCGGTCTGGTCTGTCGTGGCGCGCGCGCGCTTTTCCGCGCTGATTTTCGCGGATTTTAGTGGTGGAAGGCGTCAAAACTTGGCGCGGGCCTCCCCTTGCGCCTCCCAGCGGGTTCCTCCGGGACCTCCTGACCTCTGCTGACCCTTGCAGGCGGGATGTCTCCGGGGTAAAAGGCCGCCGAGGGCGGCCACGGTCGCGAGAGCAAGCAAGCCTCCGACGACCAAGGGCCCGGAGGGTACAGGCTGCACGGCTCAGGGGGTCCAGCCCGTCGCCTTTTGCCGCCTTCGGAGGCCTTCCACCACCGGCGCACTGCTGCGGCGGCGAAGCATATCGGAGGCACTTAGGGCACAGGCATGCGCCTGGGGCGCAGGTGGTCCCTTGGGCCCCTTTTGAAGCCTCCCACCTACATCGGAGGCCTGTAGGCAACAGCCAGGCAGCTGGAAGGGAGCGGGGGAGGGAGGTCACTTGGCCCCCGTTTGAGGCCTTCCACCCCCGGCAGACGCCTTAAAAAGGGGCCCGGGGATGCACGGCACCCCCCCCCTACGCTAGGGGGGTGTACCGTCGCCCCGCGCCCTGGATCATATAAGATAATTACACAGTGTCGTCGTTTTTCAATACCAGAAAGCGCGGATAAAAAGAGAGCGTTAGCGGAGACATTCCAATATAGCGCCTAGTCCGATCGTTTCTTTTTTCACTTTTACCAGCTTGTCCTTCAATGAGCCCTTCTACTTTTTTCTAAATCCTAATCCATGTATTAGACGAGCCTTTTTTTCGCCCGGTATATCTTATAATATAGTTCGCTCAGGGCCAGCTGTTGTTTTTCTCGCGGCTCGGATACCATTCACGCTACGGTGAAAATGCTCTGTCACCACAAGGTACACGGCTCGCCATCGCTGCGTGCGCTTGGAGTAACGTGTAATAGTTCGCAGACTCTTTGAAACCCACACAAATCGATGAGGGATTTCCTGCTCCATTGATCATGCATGGCACGTGCTAAATAGTAGCGGAAGTACATAGGTACTTGTTGTGTTTTCTTTTATGCGGCAGCTTGACAATGTCATTAATTCCAAGAACAACGTGCGGTGAAAGTCCAAACATTTGTTCACGCGATTTTCAGCGTATGCGTACTATCTAGAGAGTCCCTGCATAGACGAGTTGATGGTATGCTTTCCATGATTGCCATGTTGTCCTCGTGCGCCTTTTCAAGAAAAAGTTCAAAGTCGATGCGTGTCCTCTTAAACCAAGTCTCAATGCGCAAATTGCGACATTTTTATGACATGAGCCGTGTCCAATATCAATCATCTGCTCTTAGTACACAGAAAACATTATGCTTCAACAAGGATTATCAGACGAATTACGGAGTTGTCCAATCATGACGAACAATGATAATATTCCCAATACTAGCATCGAACCCAGCTTTATCAACACCTCGAATAACATCTTGAGTAGTATATTGGCAGCCTACTAGGTGTGCGGCGGCGTCGCGGTGACTCATGGCCACCAGAACTTCCCACTAACTAACGCCAGCCTGCTGGTCCGGTCTGTGGATCGATATGCCGCTTTCCTTTCGTGTTGAAATCGGTAGTCGCACTGGATGCTGTTGTGCCTAAGTCCAACCAGCTTTCGCCCTGGGCGGCAACCGTGCGTCGACCCCTCGCCACCGCTCGGTCTAGCCTAGATTTTCATTGCGATCGTGGGTGGATGGCAGTGACGAGTTTCTTGGTAGACGCAAAGTTTGAGCTTGGAGTAATGTATCCGGAGAAATTCACCCGGATGAGAAGCTCATACAGAGTTTTTGTTTTCTTTATTAGCGATCTATCCGAAGAGAGCATTGAAGAGTCTTAAGCTACCCTCTATGTCACTAGTCTTCCCTTGTTCCTCGATTTCACACATCAAAAGTGATTCCGCATCCAGTAAAGCGGGAGTTGTAATTACAGCATAGTATCTTCACTCAAACAAGTAATTATTTGACATTCAAGAACGAACCAATTCCCAACAAGGCCGCCTATCCATCGACGACAATCATCAAAGTATTCATACATAATTATGACCAATGATTTACTGACTTTACTATCAATATCGTTCGTTTGGGTACTTAGTGCGTTTTATGCGTACAATCGGCACTTCTACAATGTTTAATATTCACAAAAAGTATTCATCAGAGTTGTTGCTTTTGTTCTTCAAAAACCGCTTAGAATGTGTTCCAGCATCTGCAGCTATAACCTTTTTGTTTCCTCTTCCGGTCGAGAATGTTGTAGTTGAAGATGTAGAGCGTCAAGATGTTCATTTTTTTGCACGCGGAGTCGGCTCCTGGTTTTCGTAGTTCTTGGGGTTCGGACCCGTGCTTACTCTGCGGTCGCGGTCTTCCCACCACCAGTCTGGCTTCATGTAGTGATGTGGTGCCTTGATGAATTTCCTCCTTACTCCTTCATCACCGACTGATATGGTCGGGTGGAAGCTCGTCCATCGTCTGATTTTTAGGATGTGGTTACGATGTTGAAGATGTCAAGAATGATGCATGCTGGTCTTATTTGAGAAAGTGAAGAATGCAGGAGGATCTAATGCGGAAGCTGATTGGCGATGGATATGACGTCGTTTTTTTCGAACGTATTTCTCGCTCGCCCGCACGCTGATCGCTGTTTTCAGTGTCCTCTGCTTGTCCACTCTAATGTTTGTCTTACACTTTAACATCTCAATCTAGGCTTACACAGAAATTAACCAAGTAGCTTGCAATAATTTCTTTTAACGATGCGTATGCTTCTAAGCTATATAGATTTCATGCTAGTGAAATCAGACTACCAGTAAAGCTAGCATCATAGTGCAGAACTGTTGTCTCTCCCATTAAAATTTAGAATGCCAAGTTAAATCATGTACCCTCCGAAGAAGACTGGTGGCTGATGGCCCGCAGCTTCGGGGCGATGCGGCGTTTCCGGCGTAGTAGTCGGTGCGTCCTCTCTTATGGTCATGCCCGACTCTTGGAAACTGCTCACTGGGTCAAAATGCCTCCGCCCGGCGCGGCCGTCTGTGAGCCCATACTCATCGATTTCATACTTGTTACGCACTCCAAATCGCGTCCCATCGTTGACGGACGGTCGTTCTAAGATATACCGGTGTGGTCCAGCACCGGAATTCTCGCTGCAGTAGATGGTTTTGGAAAATTATTCTTTGTAAAAGAAAATTGAGCGCATCTTGACTGTTCACGTAGTCAAAGATATACTCTAGTCGACAACGACTAGAAAACGAAAATTTTAGAGGTAAGGGAAGTCACGACTACCACGAACACTTAGCAAAACTTCAGTCGTTGACTAGCGGGAGTAATGAGTTTGAGAAAAAGTGCTGCAGTAACAGTTGCAAGTAAGTAGACGAAAATACTCGAAAGTTCGATCGATGCAGGAGGAATTCCAAGTGTTGTGTGATCTCCGTGCCAGCTCACTAACCGGAGATCCGCTTCTTCTTGGTCGCATACCGAAAACTCGCAGTTCCTGGAGTCCTAGGCCTTTCATTGCCTCTGCAATAATTTCCGCAGTAGCGCCTTCTCGAGATATCTGTTTCAGAAAGGTCAAACAAAACGCCTATCTAAGTATCGAAGTTGTTCTATAGTATACTATTTTCATTCTATCCTCTCTGTTTCGCGCAGATTGCACAAAAGTCAGACTATACAGTCCAGGCTCGTATCAAATTTGAACTTTCTAATCAATCTAAACTCTTTTTTGATCATTTAGATGACAGTCTGGCTAGATTTGAATACTGTTTTTCCGCCTTTGTCGACTCCTGATATGCACCACTTTCCGCCAGCTTTCTGTACTAGAGCGTTAGTCCAATGTTTTTCGTCGTAGAGCTTCAGCTGATGTTGCTGTTCTACAACGACTAAAATTCGCTCCTTCATCTCCTGCTCGGTGAACACCGTTCGCGCAGGATCTTCAGAATTGGGTTCACGAGGGATTGCGGAGTAGCCATAAGAGTTGAATTCACATGGTACTGAGTACCCCCATCGGACGCAGTCCCGATCTTCGGTGGACAAACCCCCAGCAGCCCCCGCTGCGCACAGCTCGCCGGGAGTGGCGTAAACGCCCTGGTAAGTCTTGCGCACCACGGTGTAGCCGCCTCGCGCCTCGTCTGGGCAATCTTGTTGAATCGACGTTCGCTGCGAGGGACGGGCCGAGTGCCGGTGACCCTCACTCAGGCGGGCCTCTATTTCCGCGCCAACGACCTTCAGAGATTGCGGATCCGGTGGCGCACTGTGTCTTCCGACGCCCGCAGGCCGGCGCTCCTTCCCCAGTGCCGGATCGCTTCGCTGCTCTTCGGGAGTATCTTGCATCGCATTCAGCCCCATTTTCCAAACCTCCACCGCCCCGCGACAAGAAGCCAAAAAACCGAACAAACAAGAACCAGAAAAGGAAATCCAAAGACAAAAAGTCAAGGGGGATAAAGATAACCAACACCAATTAGAGGATAAAAAAAGATAAATTTCAAAACATCAAGAGTGAGCACATTCACTCAGTGCCCAAACAAACACACAAGCCTACAACTGCTACACAAGGTGACTCACTTGCATAGAATTAATCTGTCATTCCAGGGGATGTCTACACGGAAGATGTAGATGAAACGACGGGAACTTTCCTACTAAAACCAAAATGCGCAACCATCCTGTGTAATGATACGCATCAATATCAGCATCAACGTGGATACAGCTGAAAGTCCAGGGCCAGCACACTTAAGAGATACGGTTGGCTCCAAACCATGAGAACCGCTCAAACAGAGGAACTGGCGCTTTCTCGATCGTTACCGATTTAAGACAGCTAGAACATCAATGCATCACAGGTTCTCCCAGAACAGAAAAGTATTCAGAATTTCAATTACGAAAGCCTAGCTATGCTAAGCTTCAATGATTTCGACTTCCTCTTCGCTCTGAACAGAACGTTATGAATTTTGCGTTAGCCACAGCCGTTGAATGCTATAAATGAACTCTCGTCGTCAACCAGACATATGCAGAGACTGAGACGCTCTCTCATCCCTAGCAGTCATACAGAGCCTACTGGGGATCTCTCTTGCTCTCTCTTTTCTGACCATCGACGATGGAATTTCTAGTATAAGAAACCGATTCTCCATCAAGCTGGGGATATAAAGCGAACTGTCAGAATCAATAGAAGGAAGTAGGTACTGGTATCCGTACCTGTACTATCGGAACCCGTCACGGGGTTGTATTCTGCAAAAACCTCGTCTCGCACATGGTCGCGTTGAAGAACATGGATACGCCCCACCGGCTTTTTATCCGACTCAACATCCGTCCCCTCAATGATACCTCCCACATGTGACCGCTCGTCAAAGTGCTGCATGCCGTGTAATGTGCTTTGTGGCGGATGAGATGTCATGTCCGACATATGCGAGTCCGAAACGTGTGGCCTATAGCAGGGTATTTTACGGAGATGCCTAGTAATTGGTTCTTCAAATAAATAAGTGCAAGTGGTAGAGGTAGCTGCTAGCGCCTGTAATTTTAACTCCTGTGACAAGGCACTTAGTACCTCGTTGCTCTTGAGCTCGAGGATCCCATAAGTCTCGCAGCGCCGAGTAATTCATTGCCGTCTGCTTCTGCTGCGTCAGCTGTTTGTTGCAAAAATGTGAGGCGTCTCGAAGGCAGCGAGGTCGAAAACGTTGTGCTGAGAGTTCTCCAACTATCTAGTGAAAGCAAAGTATTCTGTGCAAAAATAAGCATGTTCTTGCAGTACGAAAGTCTATTACGATAGATAGCTCCTCTGATCGAAGTCGCAGCTTGGATTTTCTTCCGGCCATACTCTTTTTCGGCCGCGCTTTTGGGGCTCAAATCCTGCCCCAGCATATCATCCGCACGCGATAGAGTTAGATAGGGCATAAAAACCCGAGTCGCACTCTGTCGCTCCACTTAGTATTAATCAAGTGATTAAGGAAGTCGATGAAACTTAAGAAGAAGCAGAAGAATGAAGGTAAATCGCGACGTAGAGCTAGAAAAAGAATGCAATCAAAAAATCGCATCCCTACCATAAGTCTACTGACAGCTTTCCTCGCCGAAGCTCCTCGCCCGCATACTCAAATCCCGTTCCGAGGTAGTTATCAGGCGCACGCGATACTTTCGCTTTTCCGTGCCCAATATAAGCAGGAAGACCTTATTGAACAAGTGCACGTGCACATCCCGTATCAACATTACGATTAGATGAATCTATGTATATCCGTAAATGATATTTCAGCCGTATTCACGATCGAAGAAACCAGACTCGCAGCACAGGATAAATAAATATTAATATCTATCTTGTTCCCTACATTTACTTTTTACTTGCTACAAGGACAATTGAAAACATAACCTATGATAACAGCAAAAAACCTGTCTCAGACATGTAATCTGAGCCACGTGGCGAGTCATCGCGCTGAGGTGACTTTGACTTCTTGCCTCGGGGGCGCTCTCGAGGATCAACTTTCACGAAGCCGACTCCCAGTGGCATATGAGTGCTAGCTGCGTGGCTGTCCTGATTTTATTTTTAGGAGGAGCGCTTCTTTCAATTCTTAATGCTTTTCTGTATTTTACAGTGCAAGAAGGACTAGTAAATGAAAATGCGCTTGTCATTGCGCGGCGGTGCCGGTGTAGGTACATTATCATGGATAATGACATTACCCTTTCGTAGCCGTGCCGTTTTCCGTAGCCGATATTGCCGTCATAGCCGATTTCTTCTCCCGGATAAACCATCTTCTGTTTGTGATGGTCAAAGTATGGCTTTCGTAGTCGACTCGCGTCGGTCTGTATAAGATCGTCACCCCCGACCCCCATAGGTACTCCACCGTAGCGGCTCACCCCATGCGCAAGCATCTTTTCTGGAAAAAGAAAAGGAACGATGTAGCTTCAACATAGTTGTTGGATAGATATCTCAATGTGAAAGTTCACACCGTGTGTGCAGGTTTCACAATCAAGCACAGCGGAAAATCATGGCTGTAGGTAGGTGCAAACACGAAAAGCATAATCAGGAGTGTGAAAGAATACTTTGCTCGACTTCCACTGGTCTATGCACTGCCCCTCCATGCATCTGCGTCGTTGGTGGGCTTTCGGAACCTCGCTTGTGAAATCCCTCACGTTCGAAGCGAGCACTGAACTCGTGCGCCTTCACAGGCTGTCCGGCATGTCCCTCGAACGAGCTCCGGTCGACCCGCTTTTTTGATAGTCTTCGTGGGACCTAATTCAGGCGAAAAATCATCTTTTCTTTAGTCATAGATTTTTGCAGGGTATTCGCTCGGAAAAAAAAAGCACTGCGAACAGGAGTCAATATTTAGTTAAAAAATAGTAGTACATCGGTCTCCTGTGATGGTTCTTGGTAATAGAGGTTTCCCTGCTGTGATGAAGCAGTGCTCGGCCTGCTCGGCTCTGGGTTATCCCTCCAAAAATACGCCATCCTTCCCGATTACTCTTCTGAATGGCACACGACCTCGACCGCTTACTAGGTAGGTAGCTACCCAAGCCCGCAACGTGGTTCCAAACCGGACGCCCGAAACCTTGCTCGTTCCTGATTGTGCAGCTACGCAAGAAACGCTTCAGCAGCTTCTGGATCGGCAGTAAGAAGTGGTGTGCGCTTTATGCGTCTTTACATATTCCGCCTGTTTCTTTGTACAGCTGTCGTGAAGGTGAATAGATCGTTGGACCTTTCGGAAGATGGAGCGAAAAATGCGAGCTTATGGCATGTTCATGTTCTTTTTCTTATGACACACTTTGATCATTCTTGCTTGCCACAATTTCTGTGGTCCTATTTTGTTGATCCTCCCACAAGGATCGAGCTTTGTTTTACAGTTTCTATATCAGCCTTATTGTGGTCCTTGGCCAGATGTGCCGTTACGGGAGAAAATCTTGAATACATGTTGCCCTCTCGACTCGGCATGCCTCATGCTCTGGCGCTCTTTGTCTTCCTCCTAAATAGGGAGATCTTCATCCCTTTTTTCAGGTCAAACACGACGTCTGTCAATCAATACGCAGTATGCCTGTCGCAACCGGTATGGGTATGATAATTTTGCCTATAATCGACTTCGCATTGAGTTGATCTTGCATTTTTCGTTTAATAACAACGTAGAGTAAAACAATAAGACTGGTCCTTGGAGGAGGTACTTTGAATCCACAAACATTAGCACACGGAACAGTGGCCTTGCACAACTACAACATAGTTGTACGCGTCGCGATTTTGTCATTGAAGTTAGCATCTTCACCGTTTCGAAGAGCCTTGTTGCAAGGTCTCCCTCAACCATGAGAGAATCATGAGACGATAAGGCCCTTCACGCTGGACAAATGTTTCCCTGCTTCGCAGGGCCTCCTGCTTAGGGGCGAAGCGACCAAGTGCCACAGGAGATGCTTGGGGCGAGTCCGGGGAGCGTCCTTTCATGAGGCGTCGGAGAGCGGCCATGGTCTTGGTAATCATCTCGGGTGGACTTTCTTCCTCTACGAGCCGAAAAATTGGTGTCTGTGCGGTGCGAGTGGAAATAGTCACGCTTTCATCTGCCAGCAGCGTCTTAATCTAGTGCCAAGTCTTCCATTGAAATGATAGCAGATTTTTCGCCATATTCTTTAAATTTTCTGCGAAGCCTCTTCGTAATTTCCACAACTACAGACACAGACCGGTGCTTTCCCTTGTGACACCCAAAGGCAAAGCGAAGATAACAGGTAGATTTTGAGCAAGACAAGGGCTCTTGACGTGTCAGCGTGGTACGCCTTGCACCTTCACTTGCGTCATGGCTTCGCGCGGGAACTTCAATATCGACACGAATGCGCTTGGACTCCACAGCCTGATCTTCGCACGCTTGTTCTTGTCCTTCAGCTGACTCTGGTTTCTTCGATTTTTCCCTTGCAAGATTCCCCAAAACGTGTTCCAGAATCTCGATTCCCCAAAACGTGTTCCAGAACGCCATACAATTCTCGATGAATGCTTCCGTCCCAGGAGCTTTGCGTACTTCCTCTCTCAGGCGATTTTCTGAGCCAGTTCGACCTTTCCGGCTCGCTACACTTGGATTCACAACCTTCCGAAAATCCAAAATCTTATCAACGCTGTCAGGCGGTCGCGGCCCACCTCCGAAGCCAAATGAAAACGGCGTAACTTTTATCAGCTCACCGTCATGCAGTTGCTTTTCAGCGCTCTGGTCTAGCTCCTTCGGACCTTTTCTTCCACCGGTATCTTCATCTCCGCCATCCGAGCCCGAATCTGATTCATCGACGCTTCGCCGAAACATATCGTTCTCGATGTAATCACCCATTTTGTCGCCATAAACATTCAATGAGCTGATAGATGTACTAGCACGCCATAGTTCAAGAACAGGGAGCAATCGATTCTCTTCTACAACTTTGCTAAAAATGGCTAGGCAACATTAATCGACAGTCAAACATCCCGCTGTTGCCTGGCGCGGAATGTCTTTTGTAGCAGTACGAGCACCGCACCAAGGGAAAAATGTTGATTTGACTGAATTGATAGACGTCTGTGTGCTTTTACACCGTGTGTCTAAAGTCGCTCGCCCAATTTCGGTCTCGCAACTACGAATGCGGCATGCCGCAAAAATGCAAGTCTCTGAGGTGAAGCGATCCTTGCTTCACATGAAGAACTACAACTGTCTAACACAGCAATACAAGACTTTTTCTGCTCCATCGCTGACGAAAAAACAGTAGCCAGGGATATTCCAGTCCCACACTATGTGTGAGCGTGTAATTGTGCAAAACATGCATGGAAATTGTGAAGCGAAGCAAAGAGTAGAGTGATCAATTGTATTCAATTTTTCGTCTTTTTTTTGTCTGGTCCTCTTTTGCAGTGAGAAACTCAAGCTGAATGTTCTTTTCTACTTCTCGGATTCCGAAGAAAAGGTTTTCTTCAGTAAATGTAAGTTTTTGCACAAAGAGGGGATCTATCCCCACGCTTTCTAGGATACCGCTATTTGAAAGCTTCGTCAATATTGCTTGCCACCTGCTTTGAGCCCCCATCTTCAAGCGATGCCGTAGCACTTCCCACCTCATTCTCCTCATTAGAAGAAGATGTACGAATTAGGACATGAACGATCTGCCTCCATCGTTCGATGTATCTGAATGCTCTCAGTCGAAATCAAGTAGTACTCAGTATCCCGACATCAAAATCAAACTCGATAGTTCCTACTTACTCAGTGAAAGACAAAAGGTTGTATAATTATATATTAAGCAATTTTGAAATCAATCTGTACGATTTGTCTCTGGACCATAAACTATTCATGTCGTTCCTCGCTTTTTTGGTCTTCATGAAAAGCGTGGCAACTCGAACTCCGATTTCGAAATAGAATGCGCAGTACTTCCGAAGATTCGATGCTGAGCTACCCAATACAATGTCTGCCTGCAGTGAGTCTATTGCTGAATCGCAAAACATCGCGGGTAAATCGAATGACAGCGGGGATAGATGTCTCAGCTGACAAGCGAGCCAGAAGGGAATTTTTACTTTTCTCCCGGCAGGAACTAGGAGATCCTCAGCGCTCCCGGTCTCACGTTGTTGCATACCTACGCCTTCGATCAAATGCGCCCCGTGAAATATCTCACACGAAGCGGTCGTGTCGATTCTCTCCTCCTCACTTATGATCTGCTCCACATCCCAATAATCTCGTACCATTTTTCCGATAGATATTATCAATGAAGACCTTGCAACGACAGTTAAAGTAGTCCTTGTACTTTTTCAATTCACAAGTTAGGTCATTTCCTTCAGTTCTAGAATCTTTTGATGTTCTAAAGGGCTTTTACCGTTAATTAGACGAGCTCTTGGGAAACTTTTTTCACGCGACGATAGAAAATAGGATTCGACACTCATCAGTTTCAGTTATGCGCAGTTACTATTATCGTTGTTGTAAACAATACTGTTTTCAACATTCGCTCGAACGGATGTACTTCTTCCGGGAATTGTTACACTGCAGAAACTCCAACACTACGGCTAGCATACACAGACAATAGAACCATGATTAACATGACACGCGGAATATTAAAGAGCTAAATTAAAAACAACAACGACCTCCCCAAACTCTCAAACTTCCACTTCGGAGCCTAAAAATCTTCCACTTCCGAGCCTGAAAATCTTCCACTTCTGACTCGTGAACTTCTGAACTTTCCGAACTTTCCGAACTTTTCAAACTTTTCAAACTTTTCAAACTTTTCAAACTTCTCAAACTTTTCAAACTTTCCAAGCGTTCCAAACCTTCCCAGCTCTCCCACCTTTCCCAACTTCCCCACCTTTCCAAGCTTTCCGAATTTTCAAAACTTTCCGAGCTTTCCAACCTTTCAGAACAAACTTCCAGAACTTTTGGAGCTTTCCCAGCTTTCCGAATTTTCCACAATTTCCGACTTTTCCAATCTTTCCGAAATTTTCGCACTTTCCAAGCTTTCCGGCGTTATGAGCTTACGAATTTATAAGCTTGCGACTATGAACTTGTGAACTTACAAACTTGCGAACTTACGCACCCCGCCCCACCCGGTCGGTGGGCTCCCATCATCATCACCGCCACCGCTTATGAACTTACGAACTTACAAACTTACGAATTTGCGAGGCCTGGGAATTGGTTAGCCCTGACCCCGCGCAGATGGGCGCGAAAGTTAAAACCTACGCGACAAAGCCAAAACTTTGACAATTTGAACCAGCTCAAAAAACTGAAGAAAGGCCCAGGAACCGGCCCGCCCGAGATTTAAAACCTACGCGATATAGTCAAAATTTTCACGATTTGAACTCAAAAAGTTGAAAAGTAGCCCGGGAATTGCTTAGCTTTGAGCCTCAACGTGTCAAGCTGAAAGCTCACGCCTGAAAGCTCAAAGCCGAAGACCCAAAGTCGAAAGCCCAATGCTGAAGGCTCAAACTTGAAAGCTCAAAGTTGAAAGCCCAAAGCCCAAAGTTGAAAGCTCAAAGTTGAAAGCCCAAAGCCCAAAGTTGAAAGCTCAAAGTTGAAAGCTCAAAGTTGAAAGCCCAAAGCTGAAAACTCAAGGCCCAATGTTCAAAATTCATTGAAAGGGCAAAGTTCAAAATTGAAAACCCAAAGCCGAAGGCCCCCAGCTGAAAGCTGAAAGCCCAAGCCTGAAAGTTCAAAGCTGAAAGCCCAAAACTGAAAGCCCCAGGGTAAAGGCCCAAGGCTGAACGCTTAAGAGTAAAGGCCGCGTCTCAATGTCTCAAAGTTTCAAGCTTGAGACTGGAAGCCCAAAGCTCTTGACTTTATCCAATAAAAGCGAAATTAGAAACATGCCCATCCAAATTTTTTGACTGTATCACAAGAAGAGGAATCTCGACAGGTTGCAAACTCGAGCGCTGCAGTTTGCACGCAAAGAAGGCCAAACCTACCAAAAGAAGAGCACACCGACAAGCCAGCGCCTTCTTTCTGTGCCTTCTTAATCAATGGCCGCACGCCGTCCCCCGCCCAGCTCTTGCTCCAGCGATCAACGCCGCCAGACGGTTGGCGGGCGGGGGAGGAGCCGGGGAAGCGGAATCGCGCCGGGGTTGAGGAAGTGCGTGCCGGGGGTGGATGATCCTAGTGGGAGGAGTGCTACCGGAAGCTCAGGTCTAGTATGTAAGAGGCGTTTGCTTTTCACATCACTGCACAGTCTCAGGCTCCACTTTGTCGGAAAAACCGTTTTGAGATCAGTCAACTTCGTCAGCATCCCAGTAAGGTTGTAGTTTCGACCCACAAATAAAATTTTAATGCGCTCCAAAAACTCCATTGGAGATGAACAGTCACACCCTTTTCATTGTGTATATGCATGCCGAGGCGTAGCAAACCTGCGCCCTTTTCTCACTCTATTGCGTCTGAGATTCAGAATCCTTTCTGACTGCCGCTGAGCGTAGGAACGAACTTGTTTCATCTGACTAGAAACATGTTTGCGCCCTTAGGGGCAGGACTGTGCAAATACACGATTCTTTTTTGCGTGTTCGTGCTCTCTATTTCTTGCTAGCCTATCGGATAAGTTTCTTCATCTCAAAAAAAGACTGTTCATGCAATGCAACTCCACAATAGATGTGGAGGACATCGAGCTCTGCTATTATGGTCGAAATTTCCTTCTTCATCCAAGCGATTCAGCAATGAGGTTGCAACGCTTAGGCCGCATGCGCCTAGGAGAAAAGTCAGTCGGGCCTCTGTGGCACTTGTGTTCTACATTCAAATCATTGACAAGCACTAAACAAAAGATACCAGGACTCCGGCTTCTGTGCAATAGGAATACAAAGACAAAGAACTAATCGGACTCTAGGTCTACATTTAGTGTACAAGTAGAGGTTTTCAAGAACAACTAAGGAGCAGGATTAAATTAACTTCCGACGATCGAAAGAGAAGAGGTCATGTGACCTGTCCTCCCGTATATTTCTTCTTGCGCCGCGCACGAGACACCGCTGCCGGGAGTACAACTGGTGGCGCCATGCCGATATGAGAGGTTCCAGGAACAACGTCTCCCATGTGAGCGATGGATCGCATCGTTGATTCCGCGAGGCGTATTTCCGACTCGTCAGCAGTATCCAAAAGCCCCGTTTTTTGTCGGCCAAAGCGCTTTCCCGGTGAGGTTCCTTCCGTAAGGGCTAGTGCGTTGCCGCCCGACATGTTGCTATCTTCGAGCTGCAACAGCTGTCGGTCGTGCGACGTCATCATTTGTTGCTCGTCCGCGAGTGCTAGAAGCCCGCCCGTACGCTGCAGACCGGGAATGCCACCCCGTGAGGCCGATGCTCGATCGTGTTTTGGAGAGTGGGCCTCGTTCCAAATATCGCGAATCGCCTCCTTTTCGTTCTTTGTGAGTATGCCCCCACGCCGCTTGATGTCTTCTTCGTTGCGTACGCGCCACTGCGTTCGTTCCAGCTCGTTGTGCACCATGCCATCATAAGGTACTGACTGTGCAAAGCGGTTTCGATCAAACTGCATCGCTCTATCCTCTGCCGCTGCCTGTGCAGCGGCTTGCGCTTGCGGACTCATGGGCATACTGCGCAGTGGTGGCACCGCTCCTCCTGGTAACTGTTCCGAAGTCTGCCTCTCGGGCGCTACGCCCGCCTCTGGAAGGACGCTCCCTTCTGCCACCTCTCCTCTGGCAATGGCTGGATCCACTTGAACTTCTGACGGAGCGACCGCAGCTTGGTAGGAAACTGGAAAGCTGACGGTTCCACCCTCTTCTGTTTCGACTTGCACGACCTGCCCAGGCATGTTCTCGATGCTTGACTGCCCACCGGTGGGATGGAACCCGTCAGAACTTTGCAAGGAGTGCAACCCGGTAGACGCCGCGACGCGGTCTTGGTGCATCTGCAGAGCCAGCGGAACGGAACCGGTTCGCTGAGAGTACTCCATCAATGTCTCGTGGAACACTGGCCTCTTTTTCCCGAACGCGCTCGCCGGATCTTTTGCCACACGTTCTCTCTCTGCGACCTCCAGCTCTACGCGCTGCTGCTCTTGCGCCTCCGCGTCTTTCTTCGCAATTTCGTCCAGAATCGCCTGTGTGTACTCGTCCACCGCTGGATCTTCGCCGTCTTTTGGCATAGGCTTGTCGCGCAACGAACGCGAGTATTTCGTCGCGTACGGCTTCTGTCGTGTACTCGCTTCCTCCCGACGACGGATTTTTTCTTCGACCTCCTCCGAAAGCGCTGGCGGCCGATACTTCGCCCACATCTTCTGAAAGAACGCCGCGCCCGGTCGCACGCGATTGAACACCTGCTTACTCGCCAGCCCGTCCTCACCAAACTCCGGCTCCACGTAAAGGTCCTGAACGAACTCTGGCTCGTATGTCTTTCGATACCGCTTCCGCATGTAATGCACGGAGATTGGCAGCACGACAAAAAACAGGATCGCGCCGATTAATAGCACCGTGGTGAACGGGTCGAAGTCCGCTGGGCCATACACCGCTTGAGGCGGTGGCGTTCGCGGCTGCAGCTGCGCCTTGAACGCCGCCTCCGCATTCTGATCGTACACCACCGGACAATTAAAGACCGTAGGCTCATTGCAGCGGTGAGCAGTAGCACAACTGGACCACACGCGTGGCTGCAAAGCTTGCGCCCGCAACGTGTTCAGTGGTGCAATGATGCGTTCTAAATACGAGGAACACCCGCCAGGATAGCTCGCGGGGAGCCCTAGAGGATGACAAAATTGGCATGAAGTGTGATTTTATGAGGGACCATGTATTTAGGATCGATAAAATGAGTTGACACCAATTGAGTATCTTGCTTGGATCATCCATGAAAATTAGTACTGGTAATTTTTTTTTGATCTCAGAGATCTGATCCACCTCAGTACAATGCATCGTGTTGTTGATGATAGTAGCATCAGACCCGTCTTGAAACAAAAAGCTCAGTGTTTCAGCATACAAATATGTCAGAAACACGGACCAATGAGACTTGTCATCATCTTGCTGGAGTAGGTACTACCTTGAGAAACAACCAAAAGAGAAAAGGATCCAAGAATTATTCAAAAAGTAAATGCTAATAATTTCTCTATTTTTGATCTCAACGCATCTTTCGTTCTTTCGTCCTCAGATATTGTAGATGGGGCATGAAACATAACGCTTCACAGTGTGAGACGCGTTTGCGATTAACCCAACGAAATTTCGTATGGGCGGTGTTGATTAAAAATCTGGACTACAGAAAGAAAGCTCAGTTTTGCCCAACACGCCAAGATTTTTATTGGATCTCTTCATGTGCTAGAGAACGGTAGTGATCATGATCATACTTTACCTTACCACGATCTTGAAAGTGGTAAGAATCAGCTACAGCTTCTTCAATTTATGCAAGTCGATCAACGACCTCTTCAACTAGCTTCTTGCCAACAAAAAGAAAAAAGTAACATACCTGTGAGTTTGCACACGAAGTTGTTTGAGTCGGCCTCGACGTAGGTCGTGACGCAACAATGCGCGTAGCGTCGTCCTTCGCGCGTTCGATCGTTGATGCAGTAGTTGTAGCTAGTGAACTCCCGGGTTTGGCAGTACAGTGGCGGGAAGGTGTCGCGCTCGCGCGTTTCGAAGCACGATATGGACTCCTCTTTCGCTTGCGTTTGATACAGATCAGCAATGTCATCTGCGTTCTTCTGCCAGGGGCATTTGTAGATGCGCTCTCCACGCATGTCCATAGTGAAATCGGGCGGCAAGACATTGCATTTCGGCGTTTTGCATTGTACCAGCTCAGTCACGTTCATGTCGCCGTGCTCTAACCAGTAAGAGTTCAGCTGCTGCTCAGAAAACTCGGGAGACTCTCGGAGCCATTGCAGACGGCGTTGGAGCAAGTCCTGCATCGTCTGGTAGCAGCCGATTGGAGCACCGTAGGCCATGCAGTAGGTACCATAAACAGGATCGTTATTGAATTGAGCGACGCAACACTTCGTGAACTTCGGATTCTTGGCTGGAGCTGTGTTGCGAAAAAAAGAAATTACTCTTTCATTCAAAATGCGAACGCAAAGCAAGTGATCGAGAAAAAAATCGATGAGACTAACTCTCAACCTTGTAGTCTCAAATCAGGTACTTACATATAATCTCGGAGAAACCCTAACTCAACTCAATCACGCATAAAAAATAGTCTTGAAAGTACGGAATGGATTGTATGTCGTCGTAGACGTTGAGGTGGTTTCTGGCCAGTACGAAAGAGCAAAAGTTGGTGTTTCCAAGACGAAGTCGTGATCCGAAACACAAAACGTCTCCTCGGTTTCGCGTGGGTTTGGTATTTCCGGTAATGGAATCGGAATCACTCGATTGTCGGATGCGTCGTAGAGGTAGTTAAAGCCTCGCGTCTCGGTTCTCTCGCACTGTGAAGGGCCATAGCGCTTGAAATCGCCAGCGGGAGGAGTAACTAAGCATTCTATCGGAGAGTCTGTTCCCTCGCTTTCCAACGCCGGGTCGCAGTCACCGCCATCGTACACCCATTCCGGACAAAACCTGTACGATCATTATGGACAACTATTAGCAGGCTTTTAGAAGGAAGTCCCGAACAACTTGAAACCGCAGCAATTTAAAGAAACAAGGTGAAGGTGAAAGTCATTGTGAAATTTTTGACCGAAATAACTTCTCCATACATGGATATGGATTATAAGAGATAAAATTATAAAGCTGAATCAAAACTAGACAATTACATGTTATATCCTCCCGTTTCCGCGGTGTCACAGGCTCCGTTGTTGTGCATGGCCGACGACATCGCGTTTAACAAAGCTACATCTGTGCATTTGTCGGAGCAATCTCGAGGCAGCTGGACTCCCCCTTCCAAAGACGCAATCACCCTGCAGCCAACCGAAGATGACCTAGAGCAAAGCATGGTGAAGATGATGAATAATCTAAATTTTCTTGTAGGATAACTAGTGATCGGAAGAAATCAGAAACAAAATTGTTAATTATATAATTAAATCTATAGCAGAGCAATTTATAAGGTTTCACGGCTCGCATGGCATGGAGTGCATGGATCACATGGAGTAGCATGGAGCTAAAGGGGGAGCTTCTTGCGCCCCTTAAAGCTCTGCGCTCCATGCACTCCATGCTACTCCATGCACTCCATGCACCATGCGTGCTATAAACTACTCTGCTATAGTATACATAGGCTTTCAAGCGTTCGCGCTCTTCTTGGACTCCTCCTTGATTAAGATGAGGATTAGTAGCCCATTCTCTAGTTGACAATACCTCAGTCCGTCGACGATTGGGTAGGTGATCCCTACTTCGTGGTCGAAAATGTTGCCACGATAGATTCCAGGTCTTGCGTAACCGACAATTCGGTTTGGCGCCGCTTGCGCCTCATAGTACTCCGTATCTGGGCCCTCATAGGTCACAAACATCACCTTGTCCTTGTTTCGCGTTAGCATCTCTATCCGAATGTAGTGGTGTCCCGGCAGATATACTTGCTTCTCCGTTTCGAGCCGCTGCTGCAACGGCTCGTTAGTGAGCTTCTGCAGCACCACTTCGCTAGATAAACCGCGACCGCCAAAGATCATCTGGAACATGGCATCGGTTTCCACACGAAAGGTGTAGTTTCCAGGCCTTTCGAAATTTACGATGCCAGTGAACCGCGCTGCGAGCGGCTGTGTATAGTCAAAGTGCGGTAGAGGAACCGGATCCGAAACGTCGGAACCAAAATCCCGACTCCACGGAAACTCATTCGGCCAGTTGGACTTCCGCACCATCGGCTTGCCATCGAGGATCACCTCAGGGTGGTCAGGCGTAACGAAGAACAGTACCTCGTGGAACGTGCGGCCGTAGTAGGCTGGTGCTCGCTCACTCGGCGGTATGGTGCTGGTCGGTGGTGCTGTACTGGTGCTCGGCGGTTCAGTTGTGGTGGAGGTGGTCGTTGTACTAGTCTCGTCCGGGTTGGAAGTCCAGTCTGGCGCGTTGGTAACAACCACTGCTAGAATATCAGCATTCTGCAGTGCTCGATCTTTGGGCTTTTGTTCACCGCTCACATCAACCACATTGGACGGCAACATTGGTCGTGGAACTTCCGGTAGCCCTCGATCGATAGAGACACTTCCTGTCCCTCCTTCACCTATGCTTGAGTCCATTATCCTACTCCTGGGCGCCTCTTCTTTCACGAATAAGGAAGGCGACTCGAGATACTTAAACCAGGGATCGTGCATATTCAGTAGCCGATGCTCTTCTCGCTCCGCAATGCGCCTTTCATTGTCCACAGCGTTTTCCGCCATTTTGGCTGTTTCCTTCATTTTCGAATTCCACTTCGCCAAGTCTTCTTTCTGTTGGCGCTCCCGCTCTTGATGCTCCGCTTTCATGACATCAAACTCCCTCTGTGTCATACGCGGAATGCCGAACACATCAATGCCGTCAAAAAACGCACGAAATTCAGCCTCTGACAACTGCGCTGGAAGTTCTCTCGTTATGCTTCGTGTTTCATCCCGCAACTCGTTTTTTTGCCTGCGAGGATCCTCATTCTTACCAACTTGCGACTTTCCGATTCCGGCCGTACCACGAAGTTGAGCCTTTGCAACCTCGCTTTGAGATGCAGCCTGGGAGGCTGCTTTCTCCTCTCGCTTTTCTGATGATTCTTCCAGGAGGTCCAAATTTTCGTAGTCAAGCACTCCGGGTGACATTTCTGCAGTCGCACCAATGCTGCTCATCGTAGATTGTACCTTCACCGGAACAACTGACGCTTTTCTCAACTGCCTTCGCCCTAACTTTCCGCGAAGAAACCAGAAAAACATGCGTGCTTTCTGACGGACACTCTCCTCCATATCGGCTTCACCCTTGAAGATTAAACGCTCGCTCCCTGGATGCTTTGATCGAATTTTTCGTCGCCTTGTCCCATCTGCTGACATGAAGTTTCCGTGATCTTCGTCATTTTCCTCTCCGAGCTCATATCTTGGATTTCCACCTATCTCGTCCAGCAGTTCGCGCCGATTGGTGAGCTCACTCACGCGGGGAACCGATACTTTGCTGTTGAAGAATTTTTGACCAAACGTCTGTGTCCTCCGTTCCTGCGCCCTCGACGTGGTGACGTAGTTCGGAAAGTTGAAGAGGTACTCCCGCTTGGTCTTAGAACAAAATTTCTGATTTCACTATGCGACGATCTCAAGAACAAACAGATCGCCGTGCACACGTGTACCCCACGTAGCCTCCTCCATTACTCATGAGCATAGTGAAATAGTTACTATACCCTTAACTATTGGACCCCACCAGTCGGCCTGCCACTTTGGTTCGTGCAAGGGCAAAAACACGTTGCCAGGTACTTCCACCCACTCGTAATCGTGGAAGACGCTCAACTCGGGAATCGATGGGTCCGCAAGATGCTGGTTTTCAGGTGTATTGATAAAACGCATGCCTTCCGGGATGATGATGTCGCGTGATAGAAGACTGCCATCTACACTTCGCACGTCTTGCCGCCAAGGAAAGTCAAAGAGCTCTGCGCCAGGCGAATACCCACTCCAGCGGTAACGAAACATCTCGTGGTCGTCATTGTTCTCGCCCGCCGCCAAATGCTTGCCTCGCACAGCGCACTTCGTTCTGTCCACTAGATAAGTGTTTGTGGCTTAGAGGGAGCTGTGAGATGGCTATTCGCAACAACTGCAAATGTAGAACGTAGGTACTCTCTAAGTAAGAACTTCGAAATCATACATCTGAAATAAAAATTGTCAGACATTATTTCTAAATACAGCAATGTCACTGACTCTTTGTTTTTCATTTAGTACTACTAGTCTAGTAAATGTTTCCCATATTTGAAGATCCAGAATCCGTCTTCAAAGTCCATCTTCCAGACCCCGTCACGCGTCGCGAAGTTGTACAGTGAGCTTTTTACGGAGTAGTAGTCCCCGTTTGCGCCTGTACAATTTGCCATTCTAAAGCCAGCAAGCCGTTTGACTGCGGTTGTATCCGGACCTTTGTAGTGAAAAGCAAAGGAGACCGTACTCGTGACAAAAGGCATGAAGCGCCGCGCAATTGAGATACGCAACGGGTGACGCCCAGCTCGCATCCATCGATGTCGTTCGATAGTGCGGGGGTGCGGCGTCGCTCCGTCAGTCGCCCGAACACGCGCAGCGTCACACTTTGCATCCGGTATCCTCATCCCATACGTCTTGAAAGGCTCACAACCATTCGCAGTGTTGAAACAAATGTCACCTGTTATGGCGTGCGCAGTACTGAACTTCAACTTAGTGACAGACTGGTCGACGCTGGTCGGCATGGAAAAACGGACATAGATTACATCTTCTCGATCACATTGAGTCCACAAAATGGATTCAAACGCGTAGCTATATTGTACCAGCGGGAACATTGCTCGGATACGCAGGATCTTGACACAGGGTCATTGGTCTTCCGATCTGTTGACACTCATCGCCAATAGCACCCGACATGTGCACCCTTAAATCCGATAGCCGCTTATTCTGAATTAAAGATCGTGGCCCACACTGTGCGTCGTTGTAGCCGAAGTCGTCGCCGCCGTCACAGTGATCGTGGCCCATGATGAGGTTGATTTGGGCCGTCGAAGAGTGCAGGCGCAGGTCGTATCTACCTTGCGTTCGAATCTCAAGGTCGCCGCTCAGCATCCCAAAAAAGTTCGCTTGAAACGTGATCACCCCCGTGCAGAAATACTCCAACTTGAACGCTTGAAACTTGTAAAACTGTTTTTGAAGCAGAGGGATGAGGGAGCTCACACTTGCTCGATTTACTTGTACTCCAGCCGACAAATGACAAATGCAAAAAAATTTTGATCAGATGTCTATAACTGCAACTACTCCTACTTCTATTTCTTTAGAACCTAAAAACATAGCCACGAAAATACCACTGGATCGTGATCCATGAAGACTTTCGGTGAGAGGATTTCTTCTCTGAGTTGAAATTCGGCGGAGTCTCCATTAACCTCTATGAGCCGATAGCCGATGCGCAAATACGCATTTGCTGCGGACCCCGGTAGGTCTCGGAGTGGCGACCCGGGCGGCTGTTGCTTCGGGTATAGGATGTAGTTGATGTAATACTCTTGTTAGAGGTATCCGCTCAATGAACCGTCCCGACTTTATCCATGTTTTTTCATGGAGCGACTTGTTGTAGTCGTTGTTGTAGTGTAACCGCACACAGTGACGACTACAAAAATGTATCATGAACATGATGGACATCGTCCAAGAAAAATTAAAAAGGGAAGACGGATGAATGCCTGTCATAATGATGGTCGCGAATGTCTTTGCGGAAACCAAGATCTAACCTTGCTTCAGCTACTGTCGGATACGACACAACGGGGTAGCGGTCTGTTCGTTCAACCATCGTCCATTTACAGTTTGCGGGGGTCAAGTCCGTGATTTGTAGGCCGTCGGTTTCTGTGGTTTGAACGTGCGGCACCTGACCACGGTAGGCGTCTTCCAACGATTCCAGTTCGCAAGGTAAGTCTTCCTCGTTGTAATCCATCTCGTAATACTCGCCAAGCAAACCACGGGGCTGCAGCTGCGCAGAAACACCAAAATAGCAGGATGCTGGGTCTTGCAGCAACGGGTGTTGGGGACCAAAATGCAGGGTGAAAAGGACGAACAAAAAGACCTGCTGCAGGAAAACTGCTGGCAGCCACAACGCTCTATTGCGATCAGACCACGAGGTGCATGCACGGGGGCAATCCTGACTTCTAAGATGCTCACTTCGGTGCAACGAATTCGGCGGCCGTCTTTTCCTCGGTCTACGCCACATACTCCAGGCAACACTATCGAGGCTCGCGCACCTTCGGCTTAATGAACCCAAGAGATGTTCGCATTTGATCTTGTCCGAGAGCAAGGATGAAAACAAGCCGTCGACGTGGCTCCTGTCGAATTCTTCCTCTTCTTCCTCGTCGTCGCAGGATGTAGCAGCGGATTTAAACTCCCACGCACCATCAGACCTTTCTCCACCACATCCACGTGCCGCTGTCGACGGCGGCAGGTCCTCGTCGGAAGCGTCGCTCACACGAGTCGAAGCTGATCGCCTACGACGGCGACCGCGCCGCGCCACGCGTCGCACGGAACAGGTCATGATCTTTTAGACCGGCTAGTGCTTGAAAGGTCTCTCATTTGAGGTCTCTCGGTGCCTGAAAAACGGCACGCTGACCTTTTTACATTTTTTACATCCTTATCCTAAAAGCAGCTTTACTGTTCGCTCCTTGTCAATTTATGTCACAGGAATAACAATGGCGGTGGGGTCGCGCATGGGACATGTCATTAATACCTGTCAAATTTTTAAAAGTAGTTTTCAATTCATTTTTCATTCCATCAAGCTTGCTCTCATAGAGGGTTCCAGCAAAATTGAAGTCGAGCTTTTTAAAACGGTTTGATGCCTTTTCGTTCTTTTTGCATTTTCACTCTATTTTGGGTGCCACGTTCTTGATACAAATTTTTCAATCCACTTTTTGCTTGAAACAAATTACCTCTATCTACTATCACTCTCTACCCTCCAGTGGCCATTTGCAATGAACACGCAAAGAGCAAATCGAGCGAGGTGACCACACGCTATAAGACTGGGTCTGCAACTTTGTTGTACTATTCTTCACAATAGATTTCTTTGGCGTTCGCGTTGTGTGAGTGTGCTTTTCTTATCTTAATTAGAAGCCCTGGTGGCGCTGCTGAAAAATATTGTTCCTGACCTTCACGTTTTAATTTGGCATTGATTGAACAACATCTGATTTTGTAGCGTCAAACAAAGAAATAGCCGCGGAACTACATTACATGCGTTGATAAAATGAAGTATCCATAAAATCAGACATATCTACAAACTCAAACTTTTGTACAGGCGGTATGATGAAACAACGAGAATGACATCAAATTTCAATCATGGATGTCTGCAATCGGACGGCAAAGCTGACACCTCAATGTTGCGTATGATCTATGCACTATTGAAATGCACAGCTATTGCACGAAAGGTCAGAGTGCCGGTGCGAGCAGAAAATAGGAAAATCGTCACAACATGTGTTGTAACCGCACTTGACACTGAGCGCCCGTGCGATCGCTGACGACATCGAGGTCGTAAACATTGCAGCGCTTGCGTTACTTTATTTGACTTAGTAGCTGTATTCATCAGAATATCTTTGATCTGCTTTGAAACTTTCAGGTGAACAATGCTCCTCAAAGTGAGCAACTGCAACGTGGTTAGAACAGAAAACCTTCGTACGAGTCGTCGCGCGACTGTAGTGTTGTAATGTTCATCATGCATGATGTCTACATCCTAAAAAAAAAGCGTGTTATCCGTTGCTCGCTTGGCGTAGCACTTTCTGCATAGCACTAGACTGAAGGCTCTGGCATTTACACCCACTGCACTGCCGTTCCGAGTGAGTACTCTGCGATTGATGCCGGCAAGAAGACGATCCAGAATGGGAATGGCAGGCTGAATCCCATGTAGAGCTGGAACCTAGAAACAGATTCATTCAAGACATCGATTTGATTCTCATCAGGGATGAGAGGATGTCCTCTAAATCCGAATCAAGTTCAAGTGTAGTGCTTGGTATCTATCGGTTCAGTTTATCGGTACTAGTTCTTTTCTTCGGGGTGCTCTTCAATCGGCAAGAATCAATAGTATTAATGTACAGGAATCCCACACCAGCAGCACCGTATCCAGCTGCCTCATCCATGAGGGACTCGTCCTCGTTGTGGGAGATTTTTCCTGTTTTATTGAGATATCGCACGAGTGCAACACCAAACATCTGCCCACCTCGAATTGCACTGTGGAACGCAGAAATGACAGTCTGCAGCATGCAGGCAACCCAGACTGCGAAAATCTTGCCGGCCCATCCGAAAACATTAGAGCTTTCCCCACACAAGAATTGCACCTTGCACATGAACATCCCTTTGTGTTTGTAAAACGTCGTTGAACCTGAAAATACTTTTTGATTCCCATTTAGGAGATAACTAGAAGATGATGGTCGGAAAAGCCATGAGAATGCATGTCTACCATTCAGCGCTCCGATCATGTGTATTGAACTATATTTCTATGGCCTTAAATACGATTGGAACCCATTTTTTTGCGTCGTCAGGCACGAGTTCCTGGACTACTGGGGTGACTTTTGCGTCCACTCGCTTCTGAATCACCTCCCCAAGTGTGGCTCCCAGAGTAATCGATCGTGCGAATGTGAGCTTCAGCGAAGCGAGCACGGCAATCAGACTGAACAAGAAAGGTGGTGCAGAGGTGGACAACCACCCCAAGCCTCTACGAACATGCATTTTTGATTTTAACGCTGTGCAATAGGTAGATGGTGGGTGCTTCTATGAACATTCATATCAAGAATAGTTGTAAGTACCCAGCAACGACTGCGGAAAATGCCTTTGACACCTTCTCTGGGTTGATGACTCGCAAAACCAATAGTGTTTTGCGCATTGCCAGGTCTCGCGGTGAAATTTGTTGCACATCTGGAACGCCATCTCCATCATCATCGACAGTCTCATCTTTTTTGTGCGCGGCCAAAGCGGCCCTGCCCTCGTCTCGCAAGTCGATGATCGAACTTTTCATACCTCGATTTCATCATGAGTTAGTCAAATTGTCATGTACTTGAGAGAGATATTTACTAGAAGTTAGCAAATTATCCTGCAAGTTTTCGAATTATACAAATTCTACTACGGAGAAAAATGACTGTATGTTTGTTGAGTGGAGAGCAGCAGACCATCATGCCATTATCGTTAAAAACCATCCCATCCCGCCATTCGGAAGGCTTCGTAAGCGGCGATGAGTAGGGGAAAGCAGCCGCCGAAGAGACAGAGGCCCAAACCTGCGAGCATCACCACAATTTCCGAACCGTCTTCGCCTTGAAGGTAGGGCTCGACTTTTTTCCAAATTATACATCCGTTCCTAAAATTCAAAAATCCGAGTAAGTGCTTTTTTGAAATAGAGTTGTACTACTCGGACGGTCGAAGCCAATTTATGCTTTGATACGTTACAGCTGCTTTGAGTCTCTCTTGCTTTTGGAAGATAGCTTTTTGTCACGAGTCTTGGTCTTGAGCGGGCAGATGATATAGATCATGATACTAGCCTACTTCGAATGGACATCTGCAAGCAAATACTCAAAGGCTTTGTGCGCCATTGGAATGGCATTCGTCTCTGTCCAGACGCATGCCGTCGCAGCTTGTTGGGAATATTGAAGAATGTATGGCTTCGCTTTTTCTAGAAGAGGCATTTCTGCGAAACTGTCGATCTGGCCCTGTGGCAAGGTGTTGAATGGGGAGGGGGACAGTCGATGTTCACCTTCATGTTTGCCTACTACATCTACACCCAGGAGCACGAGCAGGACCAGGATGAAGGTTCTAATATAATTACTAGCAGTCGTTCTGTAATGTACTACGTCTAAGTTGTTTTCGCAATCTTTCTGGCTTGTTAGAAAGATACGGAAAAATGTTGTAAGCCGCAGTTACAGTAAAAAAACTTTGACTTTCAAAATAGACGAACCTTCCTCTTTGCGATAAGAGGATCGACGACGACGCTCGCTGTCGCTGCGTCCTTCTTCTTCGGTGGCGACGCCGCCTTTCCCGCAGCCGTCTTCTGCGCCATGGTATCTGTTGTGGTGGGACCGCTCTGCGTTTCAGGCATGTCCTGCTGTGCACCGCTTCTAAAGGACGCTTTCCTATTACAATGAGCTCACTATGTGTGTTTCACCTGAAACCGTAGTGAGTTTATTGGATTAGGTTGTAGGATACATGCAGGTCTATGACTATGTTGAAGATGAAGAAGTGCTAATAGGGGCCAGACAAGGCAACCGTAATATGAACATGAAGGTTCCTTAAAAATTACATTGATGTGCAATTTGAGTTTGTAGTCTTTCCCGTTTGGATCGCACTTCGCTATGCAGACAAGGCTAGGCGTTTTGCTGCTCTGGTAACGTTCCATCTCCAATATCAATGGCACCTTCTCTCTAATGTAACGGTCTCCCATCTACAATCACGAAAGGGGTCGCTGTGTGGGGAAGCCACAATTTCCAACAATGATCAATAATCCCTCAGGAAACAGAACACCTTTCGCGTTGCGTTGCCTCATGTACTAGTTTCGCACTCCTGCAGCACTGCTTTCTTGAAATGAAAAGTTCTATGGAAACTATGGTGCATGTTCTTGCTACTGGGTTCATTAACTCACCTTCGATTGTTGCGTGTCTATTTTTCACCTCAACGTAAACCACTGTGCCGCAATAAGTTGTGAACAGTGGTGAATTTGTTACTGCAGATGGGGATGGTTTAGTAGCTCGAATTGAGACCTCAAAAGAAAATGACAAAATCAATGATGGACTCGACTTGCCGACTTGCACACGAAGAAGACAATCAAGGCGAAAATGCCGATACAACGAACTGTTTCGAATTAGATTGGCACGGAATGATTTGCAATTGCCTAAACATTCTCTTACATTATCTAGTGACACTCTAGCTTTGTCTACTATTCTAAAATCCTTCAGCGACCAAAATTTTCACCGGAAAAATTATATATATGAACATTATAAACGAGCATTATTACGGAGACTGATTCTCGCTGGGGGGAACATAACGAGCTTGATGGGCAACTAGAGGTAGTAGCGATCTTTATTCATGAATAAGCCGAAAGGACTTCCACCGATTTAAATTAGTTGACTGATTTCCTTCTTCAAGTGGTTACACGAGAGAAGGCACGAATTGGGCTGCATGTTCTTCTCTACTTGAATACGAAAGAAGTGCAATCATGTTGATACTAAGTGTTATAAATAAGGAGGCCGTGTCTACTAAATTTTCCCAAGCGCTTCTGTTACCGAGGAGAGCACCCTTTTATTTCGTCGTCTGTGGTACTTATCACATTCTTATGTCTCGTTCGATTAAACATCCTACCAGTAAAATCTCTGTCAACAAATGATTCCCACGCGATATAAATGATCTACGAGATTCTGCCGACAAAAACATAGGTCACAACTGAGAATCACAAATACTTCTGCCCCTCTTCCATCTAAACAGGTGCAGCAAGCCTAAAGCACATGGAGAAGAGCACTTGTAGTAACAGAGCCCGCAGTTTCTTCCCGAAGATGACAAAAGTTGTGATGTCAGGTTCTTCTTGCTGCAGTTTTTTCGAGGTGTTCTACTTCATATATAAACCGGTTCTCATCTTCTGCTTGTTCGACTCCTCTACTGGAGACTTACTACTGCTTGCCAGCACAGTGCGATGAAGTTGAAGTTGCACTCTACTAGAGCTGAAAACCCTTGAGCCTTCGCTCGTAGTACGGCTTCAGCTGCAGAAACTCGCTCCGCGCGACAATGCCATCACGATCGGCATCGAGGAGTGCGTAGACAGTACTCAGCTGCACGCGTCCTCCAGGATAATGCAGATGCGTCATCGCGTCGCAAAATTCACACCGGGTCAGGTTATCATTATGGTTCGCGTCGCATATTTCGAAGATTCTCTCCACAGTTAGCCTTCGATCTATCAGAAAATCAAGGAAGCTGCGAAGACACCGCTCGCCCGCTGTGACATCAACGAGTGGTGTTGAGATTGATTTCTCGTCAGCCGTATCTTCCTTAACCACACTCTGCATCTGCGACACCATAGAACGCAGCGTTGATATCGTGCTCCTTGGGTTCACAGGGGCTGGTGTGAAAAATGGTAGTTGAAGTAGTTTCGCACATTCGTAAAACAATAAAAGTAAATCGTGCCTAGTTCGAAGCTTTCATATTGAGTGTTCTCCTCAGTTGCTAGGTTCAGCTTTCACTTTTAACTCCTCCACTGATCACCGATGAACTGGAAAGGAAACTCTGCAGCGGATGAGGATGGAGAAAGATATTGTCCACCAGATAAAGACTACCTAGTGTCCGCTTGCGAAATGCGCGACCACGGATGAACTTCGAGGTTTCCTGTGCGGTTGAGCGGTCAAGTAGTCGCAATATTGTTTCAGCCAAAGCTGTGTGGTCCACGGCTCCGCGCCGACCTACCCGAGCTCCTGGTGGCATCAAGGCACTACCACCGAAGCTGCTGGAGGTGAGCGAAGGTCCATCTCCTAGTTCTGAATTCCCGCTGCTCTTGGGATCTGAGTCTACGAACTTTTCGTACAATTCCAATTCCGCGGGCGTGAACACGGTGGCGTGCTTTCCGTAGTCGATGGCATTGCGTCTCCGAGTTGCGAAGGCGGGAACGCGAGGGAGCTGCTTCTTTTCACCATCCTGCATAAGTTCGGGATTCGCTTTGCGCAGCGCTGAAACGACCTTATTTTGCGTGCCATCCGAGGCATGATCTACGGCATTGCGACGCATCATCAGATGCGCAGGCGGTTGAATGGGCGCGAGTTTGGAAGCAGTTACTTTGACGCCAGCGACTGAACCTGCTTGCGTCTCGCCATCGTCTTCCTCATCAGCAGAGCTGCAGGACGACGTTGATCCTTCCTCATTTATCTGCGAGGTCAGAGTATGCGCGATAGCTGCTGCCACACCATCGGATGGGTGGGCCACTCCGCCTCGCCGCCGCTTCCCAAAACCCGCAATCGGCTTTGAAAAGTCGCGTGCAGTGTCAGCCTCCTGCTGCTCGGCCAGCTCTGCTACAATCTCTTCCTTTGACCCGTCCGCACTGTTATCGACCGCTTTTCTTCGTCGCAGAGCAAAAGCCGGAAGAGGCTGCAGCTCCTCAGGTGCATCCTCCTCCATTTCCTCTACAACCTCCTCCAGGCGAGACACGAGATTCTCTTTGGACCCGTCCGCAGTGTGATCCACCGCGCAGCGACGCTGCATCGCACGTGGCGGCAGTGTCGGCAATCCTTCATCTTCGTCAGACTCAGCGTCACTTTCGGACGTTGCCTCGTCACTGGTCCCCACGTTTTCGGCGTAGTAGGCTTGCAGCTGCGCCACGATGCTTTCCTTCATACCCCCTCCACTATGGTCCACGGCTAGCCTTCGGCGTGTCGCGAATGCGGGAAGCTCGTCTTTCGTCGCTGGAAGAGCAGCTAGAATTGCAGCCTGTGAACCGTCCGCGGTGTGATCCACGGCAGTTCGCCGACGCAGTGCAAAAGCTGGTGGCGCAGGTAGCTCGTCGACGATATCATCCTCGACTGCTGATGCTAGTTCCTCAACCACAGCCGCCTTCGTACCATCAGCCGTGTAGTCGATTGCACGTCTTCTTCGCAGAGCAGAAGCCGGGGGTTTTTCGGGAGAATCGACAACACCCTCGTCCTCGTCGATATCTGATTCGGACTCCGCTTCTGCGCTTCCCGCAAGCACTTCTGCAACAGCTTCAGCGGCTCCTTGTGCTGACAGGTCAACCGCGCAACGTCGTAACGCGAGGTAGGCTGCGGTTGGCTTTTGCGGGACCTTTTGTTCGTCCTCTTCCTCGACATCTTCGTCTTCCATATGCTGTTTCAACTTTGCCGTCACGTTCGTCTGCGATCCATCTGCCGTGTGATCGACAGCTCCCCGACGCTTCAGAGTCTCTAGTGGTGGTGGAACTATGCGTTCCAAAGTGCTAGACGCGACGGCCTGTTCGGCTTCCAACTCAGCCACGATTCTTGCCTTGCTCCCGTCGGCACTGTGATCAACCGCTTTTCGCCGCTTCAGAGCTATCGCGGGGGGCTCTTCCAGCGTGTCCGCCGTGTCGCTTGCGTCATCTGCATCAGCTTCCGCTACTCTCTCAGCTGCTGCTCCGACTTTGTTCAAGATCGTTGTCGGCGACGGAGCCTTTTTCCCGACGAACGCGCTCCCACCGATTCCCGACGTCACACAGAACGGCCCTACTGTGCCAGCGCCAGGAACAAGTTCGCCAAGTACCAGGTTCCCGCCTGCCGTCGCTGGGCTTGGAAAAACATTTGTAGTTGCTCCCGAAGACATCTCGACAGGAGATGAATTCGAACTGAGCATATCTAGAGGGGAGCCGGTTGCGGTAGTACTGGTGCAGCTGCCTGTTGCAGACAGCGGCGATGACCCTTTCTTTTTCGGTACAGCGGCCATTTGTTTTTCCCCCGACTCGACGGCGACCTCCTCTTCTTTGCCATCCGGTCCTTCTTTTGCTGGTTGTGTTGTGATGGCCATACGAAAGTCTGGAATGGAGACCTCCTCAGCACTTTTCTCTATGCGCTGCCACACGTTCGCCTGCACATCCATGCAGGCCTGTTCCCGAGCGTGTCGGACACTCTCCATCTGCACGTCTAGAGCATAGATCCCGGCTGCAACGTCGCTTCCCATGACGTCACCCAAAGCTGGTGACGACTTTGGTTTCGTACTCAGCGCACGCGGACCGACTCTGCGCTGCAAAGCTGCAGCTAGTGCAGCGGGCACCTCGTCCAGTTCACTGCTAACACTGTTTGATGGTGCTAGTGCTCCAGGAGGGACATCTTCGTCGCCGTCCTTACCTGAAGCGTCGCCATCGGCCCCCGCCAGGGATTCGGCCATGTCCATCTTGGCCGCGTGCCACTCGATCAAGCGATCCTTCTCAGCGCCAGAGCGCGGCTCTGATCTGCATCGACGCAACATGGCGGACGTGGTGTTGATACCGTCGTCAAACAGCAACCCTTTGATGAGCTCATAAGCGAAAGTGGCAGACATCGGTGCCTCTTCCGATCCCGGAGGAACCTAGAATGCCAGACGGCTCCTGATCTACGAAAATCAAAAATAGTTCAATGAAAGAGCCATCAGAGAACAGATGTCAGCGCAACTTCAGATGCTCAAGATAAAAAGACACAGACGCTCTTCGCTCCCTAGTATAAGACTACCTTCATTGCGTTCTGGAGTAGGCTCTCCGGAGCTGGCTTCGGCTGCAACGAACCTTGACTCGGCAGTGCATAAGGATCTACAACCGGCACAAGCTTCCGTCGCCCCCCACGCATACGCGTGTATTCGTTGTGATACGTATTCAGCTCATAGACCTCCCTATGACCTCCCTTACCGTCGAATGCTTTTCGCGAAAACAACGACGCCTGCATACGGAGAGGTGCAAAGTGACTTTCAGCTTCGTCACATTCACGCAACCAGTAGTGACCATATCAGAAAATGAAGCCCAGGCGTCATTCATAGAAATGCGTACTACTAATGTGACACAACTGCTCACGAGAGGTATTCACGCTACTTGAGTAGCAACACAACTGGGCACCAAAGTACCTTCTCTGCCGCGTTGTGCTTACTTCGATGCTTAACGCGATCGAGTCCCAAACTGAGGCTGAAATCAGTCCCGTCTTGGTTTGTATTTGTCGTTTTTGCCATCGCACGTCCGAGAGTTTGTGCCTGCATGCGCTTGACAGATTTTCCATTATCTTCACAAGGAGGTGTGCTGAAAGAAAAGACCGACATCTTACTAATCTCGGAACGACCACTACCTTACAAATCCTGATACGGGGGTATGTGAAGACTACCTGGTTGCGGCGCTGCAGTAGTCCACTTTTTTCTTTCATGTAGGTGCTAAATTCATTTGCCCTCAAGCTTTTCTGTTGCTGCGCAACACGGGTCATGGCCTGCGACAGATGGCGATCCTGTGATCGCTTCTCCTTTTTCTGCGCCTGCCGCGCATCGAATAGTCCCAACGGGTCATGGGTTTGCGGATCATGCCGGATGTCGAACCTGTTAGTGACCTAAGAATGTACACTGGCGCTCGCTCCGCAAACGTCGGCCACGCGCCCTCACACCTCAACCCCCGCGACAGTGGCAGTGTCCAACCGCAGGCTGCACCACTAACACAATCAAAGCGGAACCAGGCTACCATCATACACTTAGAACCGAAGACACCACACCGCACGCTCAGTACAAAACAAAACTTTCGAAGCGCATGCATCTGACTGAAGCAGAAAGAGAAAGGCGAATACATCTGAATAAAGCAGAAAGAGAAAGGCGACGCACTCTGTCAGGTAAAGGGTGTTGGATAATGTTCTTCCACACATGCGAAATCTCGAGGATTTCAAGCATCAGAAATCGTTCATCAAATAAATACTCATCATGAATTCCGTTGAATGCGCCAGGGCTAGACAGGCAGGCAGGCGGCTGGATTAACGCAGAACGAGATGAAGCAGCAACCAAGCAGGAGAAGCTTCCTGTGACCAAGAAAAGATGAAAGTAAAAAGGCACATCGACATAAACATAAAAAGATGACATAAAAAAGAGTTTCTTGCAATTATACTCATGTCCTACTTCTATATTGTAGTGTGTCAGGCAAAGGGTGTTGGGTTCTAGTTTTCCGCAAATGCGAAATCTTTCGATTTCAAGCATCGGAAATCGTTCGTCAAATTGAGCTCATCATGAGATGTCCAGGGAATAAGCGCGCACAGTACGTAAGCAAAATTGCGGTCGGGCTCTAGAAGATTAATTGGTCAGGTTGGTACTGATTTATTGAGAATCCTCAGACGCGAGGACCCCTGAGGGGGCCACAGCATCAGAAATCGTTCGTCAAATTTCGTTCATCACGACAATAACAGGATTTACGATTGGATCGTTGGATGTTAAGGATATCGAAACAATGCTCAGACCCGTCTTGAAACAAAAAATTCTCTGTTATCCGCATGGATCTTCTCAGAAACACGGACCAAAGAGATGAGTCATCATGAAAGAGAAAGGCAGAGACTCCAGTTGAACGGAAGCGGCATGATATGGGAAAGAAGATGTATGTGCATTCGCAGATGGGGAAGCAACTTCTCAGTGCAAGATAGAAAGCATCGATTAAGCAGCTCATTCAAGTGTAGAAGCCACATGATCAGACCCGTCTTGAAACAAATATTCTCTGATATCCGCATTCTAGACTCAGAAACACGGACCAAAGAGATGAGTCATCATGAGAGTGAGAATAGCAGGTACGAAATTTACCTTCGGGCTTGTACTTGGAGCATGAAACAGAAGCCTTCACAGTACAGAAGAAGGATCTGCGATTAATCCAATAGTTAGTCTGGGCTGTATTGATTAAAACTCGACAGGATAGCAACGCTGCCGTTTTGCCCAACACGCCAAAATGCGTTTCCGTAAAGGACACGTGTGGAAGATATCTCGTAAGAAGAAGTAGCGGCTGGAACTAACGCGTAGCGATTGATGTCTGTAATGTCGTTTCTAGATATGATCTCATCCATGTGCAGAAATGGTCGTGTCAGACGAAAGATGATGAATTTGTTGATATTCTGCATGGGTTTTCTAAGACAAGAGTACCCGTGAGAAGGTTTGCATCACTTCGACCAGTTGCTCGACATTATTGGGATCAAAGAAAAAGGATATGAAGAGGAGAACATGCATGAATCAGAAGTGATCCGCCGGCGAACTGGCCTAGATAAAGGTGATTTTCTCTGGAGATCTACTGCGAGAGTGTTGCTAAGTCATGAAACATACGCCTCTACCGCACAAGAGGGTCTGCGATTACCTCAGCTGATCTTTAGTGGTTGCGTTGATTAAAAATACGCACTACAGACGAAGCACGCTTTTGCCCAACGAACCAAATTGCTGTAATTTTGAAGATCTCGGACTCCGCAAAAAACTTCAGCGTGGACAATAATAAGCTCACAAAAAAATACACGATACGCAGAACGCAGAGAGAACGCAGGATGCGTGGCTTGCAAGATCCGTTTTGAAATAAAGAAGAGACGCACGATTTGCGGTTACAGGTGGCATGAGGGCACGTCATTTACTAACAAATGATGCGAAGTTCTAGCCATCGGCGCAGATGCAGACCATGTTTGTCACGAGACAGTCAAGCACACTCATACATACGGAGAAAAGGTTTTAAATACCTTTCTCCTGTAGAAAAAGGGTAAGTACTCAATCTGCTTCCACGCGGCTCGCCTCGAAAGCTTCGTGCCGTTCGTAAAAGCGTCTGTAATCTCGGCTCTACGAGCCTCATCGAGGCCCGATACGGCAGACGGTCCCGCTGCAGCCATTATCTAGATTCGCCTTACTTTTGATTCCTGTTGTCTCAGCTACCACTGATGCTTATGCTGATGTGGCAAATTGCTATCGATTCATCTATCATCATGGTGAATATGCGCGAGTTGCCACAGTCTACTAGTAGGCGAGGACCACGTATATCTATGCTTCACGTCTCTCCGGGGAGGATGGAGTCGGCATCTCTTCATCTCTCTAACCCTTCCGATTTCGCAGTACCCTACGGTTTCCCTGTTTGAAACTGCAGCTCCATGTTTGAAACTGCAGCCATCCGTCATTGCTCTCTCACTTAGAAAGATTTGCTGCCTTTCACCGCTTAGAATGCTAGGCCAAGGCGGAAACAGCGTGTGGACAAATATACGTAAAGAAAACTCCCGTCCGGCAAGTCATAACAATTCCTGATTTAGCATGGAATGGGGAAACCGATTTGGGGGGTGCATGTCACGTCGAAGCTGTCCAGCTCCATAATCAAATTTAGTAAATCATTCCATCCGCTCAGTCATCGATTCTGGGGGACCGTACTTCGCTGGTAGTCTCACTGCGAGCGCAGATGCAAATGCCGTGCCGCAAGCTACACTATTTCCGACCGGTATCCACCCGTTCATCACGGACGTACTGTCTGCCATCCACAGTATAAACGGCAGAAGTCCACCCAGAAATGCAAGAAACAAGCCAGCAAAAGGCGGCACTCGCATATGCCAGTGCATGAAGAACAAAAGCTCTGTTCCAGCTGGGTACACCAAGCCGCCCAGTAGTGGAAACCAGAAGTATGCCCATCCCGCTGCCGACCCAACAAAGGCAGCTGCACGGATGTGAAGTGAAATATCCCGATTGAGGATTGGTATAAGCAAGTAGATCCAGATCGACGTTATAAATATTTTGGAGGTCGACAAGGCAGTGTATCTGCATGACCTCTCGGGGCCTCTATACTAGCGTTCTTTGCAAAATAACGTAAAAAAAGAAGGACGAATCAGACTGTAAATTACCTAGCGTCCCCAAAAAGACAACCTGTGCCACCAGTATCAGTCCATTGAGACCTGCCGCTTGTCGCCCTGCATGCAACGGCGCGAGCAGGAATTCCACAACCGCCAAAATGAACGCGACTATGAGCAGTCCCTCGAAGGCGCTGCAACCGTCATTGTACTTCTCCAAGCAACTAGTGGGGAGATTTTGCGGGTCCCATCGACAAGAAGCGCTTGAGCAGTGTGTCAGCATGCACCTCCCAGGTAGAGCGTTTTTGACGTGGGTCTCCTTTTGATGCCAGGCGAGCCACAGCAGCGCGGCTATGAGCCAGCAGAGTACACCACGCCAAACAAAAACGGTGGTGGGCGTCGGCTCACCGACTGGAGAACGCAAGGTTGACATTGTTGAGATAATATCGATGTGTGTAACTAGCAAATTCACACTTATATAAGGATTGAAGGCCACGTCCGCTACTCACAGACCTATGCAAAATGAAAAGCGCTTTCAGCTTTAGCTCAGACTCTCTTTCAGCCATTTCCTTTTTCTCTCCGTTTTCACAGCGGAAATGCTCTTCACAATCTATTTGCCATACAGACCTGTGGTGAATGCTCTCCAGTGGACGGATTAGCATTTTCCATGTACAAAAACTGATGCGACAATCCGTTATAGCCAAAAGGCCATGCAAGTCGTGCTCCCGCCACGCGGAGCATGCGATTAATGATGGTCCTGTGCACGCCAGGAGGCACGACAAGCAAAACGATGCGGCCTACCCTCGCGGGAGATGTGCCATTGATTGCGCCCTACTCTTCACCAATCCACCGCTCGAGTCGCGAAGGCGGTGCTTCTGCGCACGCCGCGCTGAGTGTAAATGTCCGTCAGGAGAAGACAACGCGGGGAACCACGTCGTGGTCGGACAGCTTACCGTTAGCCACGCATCGTTCAGCTCACGCTCGACGATCCAGCGGTGTCTGGCGCCTTGCAGACTTATTTCCGAGCTTTCTCTCCGTTTTCACAGCGGAAATGCTCTTCACAATCTTTTTGCCACACAGACCTGTGGTGAATGCTCTCCAGTGGACGGATTAGCATTTTCCATGTACAAAAACTACTGCGACAATCCGTTATAGCCAAAAGGCCATGCACGTCGTGCTCCCGCCACGCGGAGCATGCGATGAATGATAGCCCTGTACACGCCAGGAGGCACGACAAGCAAAACGATGCGGCCTACCCTCACGAGGGATGTGCCATTGATTGCACCCTGCTCTTCGCCAATCCGCCGCTCGAGTCGCGAAGGCGGTGCTTATGCGCACGCCATACTGGGTGTGGTCCGTCAGGAGAAGACAACGCGGGTAACCACGTCCTGGTCGAACAGCTTCCCGTTAGCCACGCATCGTTCAGCTCACGCTCGACGATCCAGCGGTGTTTGACGCCTCGCAGACTTATTTCCGAGCTGCCAGGAGCTTAGCTACAGTGACCAGCCGGCACCTCGGTCCTATCCATGGTGATGAACAGCGAAAACAATGGGCCACCGTTTACTGCAGTTGGTACACGCTTCTCCTCGTGAACCGTCTTAACCCACAACCGCACCACTGTCCACATCGTCCCAAAAGCCGCCCTGTGTCCTCTTACTGGCATGTTGCGGTGTTTTGCCTCTTGCAGCGCCCTTGCTGTTACTCCTGCAGCTTTTCGATGTACTTTCGATGCCGAATCGTGCCTCGAGCTCGGCGCGATGTCTCCGTTCGTGTTGCAAAGCAGTGTTTTTAGCCTCCAGTTCGTCGCACACCGCAAGCATCCTCGATTCCTAATCCTGTTTGGATAGCAGAACAATCTGCATCGCCTCATCCGCGCCTGCTAGCTTCTTCATCACGCGCGCTGCTTCCGACTCTTGTCCTCCTGGCGAGCCAATTTGATGGTCCACACTAACGCGTGCAGTCAGATCACCTGTCGTACTATGCTCAAGCGCACTCCCAGAACGTGCCTTCAATTGTCCAGCCGCTGTGCTCTGTCGTCGCGCCACGAACCCACACCTCGGACAACCAAGTGTACTTGCATTTGCGACTTGGTTCTTCAAAATAAAGAGATGTGCAACGACGCGACTGGCGGGGATGCGCTCAGCCGGATCCAAATGAAGCAGTTTACCTATCAAGTCGCGGGCGTCGGCAGGAATGGAACTTGGCCACCGAATAGATGCTGACAAAATTTTCGAGCACGTTCCACGCTGATGGCGTGATTGAAACGGACTAGACCCAGAGAGTAGCTCGTATCTGAAATACATGATTACCAAAGCAAAGTTCCACTACGACCCCTAAATGTGGGTAGAACAACATTCCGCAAAACAACTTATCAGTGAAGTCGTGGTATCGTTGCTTGTTAAAGAATCATTTGAGCTTCATTCGGACTGCAGCGAGTGCTAGTTCTACACAAGATCATTCTCAAGACCGTGTCTTATTCACAAATAGAACGGCTTAGTACAACATAAATGTAAACAGAGCTCTTAAATAGCACAGCAAGCCCGGAAAGAAGTACAATAAAACTCCCAAGCTCCAGACATATACGGCAGCACCATGACCCGAGGAACGAAGCATTTCTGGAGCAACGTAATCGAGATTTCCACAAAACGATTTGTGGAGGCTCTCATCGCGCTCCGTTGTTGTCGACCAGCCAAAATCTGCTATTTTTGCAAGTCCGCGGGATTCCCATACGAGAATGTTTTCTGGCTTCAGGTCCCTATGAATCACATTGCGAGCATGCAGATAATCCACAGCATAAACGATGCCAAGAAAGTACGGCACGCACGTGCCTGGCTTCAATCCTCGACCACGAATGCTGCGCTGCTGGGAATTACTTCCAATACTCGCAGTTGCATTACTGTACGATCGCCGACTGGTGCTGCTCGACGAGCTCCGATGTGTGGCTACACCGAGACCGGCTGCTTCCACCATTCCCGCGTCTGCAGCTGCTTCCTGGTTAGGTGCAGCCGAGCCTCCGACATCCTCTATTCTGGTCAATGCTGCTTCCCAAACTGGAGTCTTCATCATGGTCCTGGAAGTCGCAACCGATTCGTCCTCGCATATTGTGGTACTCGTCCTCGCTTTGCTGCTTGCTGCAATTCCACTACGGCTGTCGCAGGTCCCGCGTCGTCCTCGATCCCCGCAGCTGTCTTGGTGCAGGAACGTCGTTCCGAGTAAGCCGACGGTGGCTCTGCGATTGTTTTTGTACTCGTTCTCCTTGGCGTCTCCAACAACGCACCCTCTCTCGACCCACGCTTCAGCGGCCTTTCCTTTTGTGACGTTGCTGCTGCCCGCTGCAGTATTTCGTAGAGGTTCGTGCGCAGAAATTCCATGGCCAGGAAGTGGCATGTAAAATCCTCCCAAGTAAAGTACAGCGTCACTATGTTTGTATGGCTCAGCGAGTTCAAAATGGTGATTTCCCTTCCCAGCTGCTTTTCCAACGCGTGCTCCGCAACCAGCGCCTTCCTCAATTGCTTCACAGCAATCGTTTCTCCCTCCCATATCGCGCGGTACACCTCACCAAAGAAGCCACGACCAGCGAGCTCGCGAAACTCGTCGCTGCTTTGCATCGAAGAAGCTGCCATTTCTAAAAAGCACGTCGCGTATTCATGATCTGTAGAAGGTTGCTCCCATTGACATGACGCCCCATTCTCCACCCGCAGCGAGAACTTCTCATTCTAGTTATCACGCTTTTGGTGGTGGTGCATCATTCACATTATAAGTTTCCTCCACATCCACTTAACCACAATGGTACTTTTCAATGAAGGCCAACCTCCTTCCGTTGAGACAGACCTGTCCCTTTCCTAGACCACGTGCACAACTCGCTTGCTCCAGGCATCTTTCTCGCTCTCTGGGAATGGAAGGAAGCTAAGACCCCACTTAAGAGACAACTTGAGTGCATCCGTTACGATTCACATATCGGCAGGACGAGTTCATTGCATAGTTTTGTTTCCCAAAAATTGATATTGCATCGTCAGTGTTTTTGCGAGATGAATTTACGCGAGCTAAGAGTCGACAAGACAAAATGTGAATTCAATATCCCGAATTCATCTCAGGATGGATGTGCCAGAACGGATGCAATCCACAAAAAAAACACAAGTGTGTGAAAGTGCGTCGTATGTTTGGACTTGGAGGTGACAAAATAAAATTCTTACTTCTACAAAACTCTTCTATTGCCGATCCAAGTCTGCTGCGATCGCGGCTTCCATCTCCCGCTCTAGTTCTGCGGAAAAAGGATCCTCCTCGACCAAATTCCGAGGAAACGCATTCACCTCTACTGCCGCCGCCGAGTCCTCTGATTGCATGGACCCAGTGCGAACCAATCGTGTTGATCCTGAGCTTTTCTTGACGTCCTGGAGGTACACACCCTTCGTCCCTCCATCCAGCCGTGAACACGAAGGGAGTACTGCCCCACTAGTGCCTGATGCGAGCGGCTCCCTACTAGTTGTATTTGCAACTCGTGCCGGAGGTGATGCTATTTTACTCGATGTTGCTGAGGCAACGCTTGTCGAAGCAGCAGCTATTGTTGACGACGCTTTTGTTCCATTTGCAGCTGTTGGAGATGACTTTTTCGGCTGCGGTTTTGGCCCCGCCTGCTTTCCATCTCTTCGCGCCTCTTCCTGGAGCACAATTGAACGGGCGATATCCTCAACAAGCATCGCCTCAAATGCGTCCTCCTCTCTTTTTTCCATCGCTTTTCGCTCTTTTTCGTTTGTCACGCGCGCGCTCATGGCGATGTAGTCCAGTAAAGACTTGCAATCTGATTCTGCGAGCTGCAAACCTTGAAGCGCGGTCGTCAAAGCTGCAGCATCATCAGCTCCGCCGTCGCTAGCCACAACATTGCCAATCACGTTGCTGGCGCCGTTGTGCTGGTCCTCAGGCATTCTTTTGTCTTGTACTTGTTGTAAATCAACTGAGTCAAATTTTTTTTCACCCACGATCAGCGTTTTCACGACGAAACTCTCGCCTTAGGAAGTATACGCCTCTAGAGCCGTGTTTGCCACTACAAATAGAGCTGAAACAATCTGCTCGACGTAACTAAGTAATTGAAGACCCATTAAAGACGGAAGCAATGCAGTGAAACATAGAAAAATCTCAAGCACCCACTCTCCATTTTATTTGCTTCAATTTGCTTTTTTTTGTGCTCTCGTCCACGTCTTTTCTCTCACATTCACTTCGGTTTTGTTCATTGTCTAAATGCTGCACTTTTTTTGATGTTTCTAAAAGAGAAAATCTGTAATGAGTCCTGCATTTGAACAATCTCTATACTACGTACAGCAGACGCTGGTGCCCTGCAAATTCGATAAGTAGACTCAGCTTACAAATATATTGTCTCTTTTAGATGCTCCTGCTTAGCAGATCAAAAGTCCAGGGCTTTAGCTGTGAAAGTTTGAGTATCGAGGATATTGTGATTGTCAATTTTTCTTGCTATGCCAATGCTGATCCAAATGTAATTGCTTTCTGATTTGAAAAGTGAATGTCAAAAAAAAGTCGTTAGCTGTACTCACTATTTCCCCTGCAGGAAAAGCCCTGCAAATGTCCTCAGGTACGAAAAAATTCAAACTTAAAAAGAAACTCTGCCGTCCTTCATCTGGCTGCCCCCGCACGTCTATTAGGTCGATGCGGTCCTCCGCTCCTTTAGTAGGTATCCTATCACTTATTTCGCACTTCTGCTAGAACCTCACCCTCCTTCTGCTCATCCTCGAGCACGCAGAAGTTTCGATAAAGAAAAACCCAATCCACAATTTCTCGAAAGCCAAAGAAATATACTACTCGTATACGGAAGTGCCCACTCCAAAACACTCGGACGTCCGGTCCTCTAGCTCCCGGCTCAAACAACCCAAACGTTTCCAGAGTATCAAACACCGGTCGTACTTTTAACTTCTTGTGTGGAGGGAATATTACAGGCCGTGCTTCCGATTCCGGTGGGTGTTGTTGATTTTGTTTCTGATCTTTTTGTAAGACGTCAGGACTTCCTGTCGCTCCTGGAAGGATCGTACCTTTCAGCAGGGTCATTGTATCTACTTCCGCTGTCACCACAGCACATCCTTCAGCATTGCGACTCTGCGCACCGGCACCCCCATTTTCATGTCCTGTTTCCTTCGCGACTTCAGGTTCCATTTTTCGACCATTTTCCGCCGTTTTTGTATCTACTTTGGCTCCTCGCCCTTTACTCTTTCCTGTTGTTGGACAGGCTATTTGAGCAGGCGCGTCTGGATCTCGGGATATCTTCTGCCCTTTCGTTTCTGTCTTCGGCGCCCCTTCCATGTGGTTGCCGAAGCCCTTTCTTTCTTCGGCACTAGAGTGGTCCTGCACCTCTTTATTTGCCTTCGCCATTGTACTAGAAAGTTTTTGATTACTATTTTCCGTACTAAGCACTGCCGCAACTTGTTGTCCTACTTGCTGTTCATCGGTTGTGGCCGTAGAAGATGAAGAGTTCTTCATGCTACTAACATTTTGACTGTCTACTTCTAGTGCAGCGCTAGGGTCAGAAGATTTCGCAGCAGTCTCCTCCGTCGACTCAAGCAGAGTGCACAAGTCATTTTGCAGCGCGTTCACCTCATCCGCTTCCGCTTCAGACGAGGAGCCTTCAGACGAGGTACTACAATCAGACGAAGAATCTTCTGAAACGAGATCCCCATCGACCCTATAAATCAAGGGGAGTCCTCTTCGCCGCGCTGTCTGCCGAATTTCCCGGATAGGAAGCATTTCCGGCGCGAGCGAAGGAGTGCTAGTCCCTGTTTTGTGAAGACCTGCTTTTCTTGTAATTGTGAGTACTGAGTTGTTCGTTGCTAATAAAAATGAAAATCGAAGTTCGGAGAAAGCTTTAGCATTTATTATTTAGTTACAACTCGATTTATCGGCACAAGGGTGTCACATTACACATATCAAGCATCTCATGCAAGAAGTGAATTATGTAAACCAGGATTATCATTCACGCAAAACGTAGGACCAAGTTCTCGAAGCACATCAAGCATTGCCATTTCCTTCTACATCCACGAGTAAGAGCAATACATCCATCCATCCAACAAACACCAACTAAAACATCACAAAGCTTACCTGTCTTCGCTTTTTCCACCTTTCTTTTGAAGGGGTGTGTACCGCTGTAGGTAAAGTGGTGCTTTCCCTTCGACAAGGGCGCCCATTCGCCACAAAGACCCTCCGGGTTTTTCTCGAAGTTAGAAAGGTCTTACTTAGCTACATAGATAGATAAAAGATAGATCAGAGTGTCGATCCGGCACCAGAGCATGACCTGTCTCTCCATGTAGTTTGCACATCTGTATGGAGTCAAATGAACAAGTTGGAAGTCCCGTATAATATTAAGGAGATGGTCATGCCACCTATGAATTTTGCCTGGTTCACCCACCGCCTTTCTAAGAGTTGTAGTTGATTCGCAGCATCATAGCCATAATGAGCGTCTTCAGGGACATCACGTCTGCGAAAGAACATACGATATCGAAGAAATGATACGATGCCGAATCTCCTAGACGGTCCTCGGCGTTTACGTTGTCGTCCGGCACAAAGAGGCCAAAGTGAGATCTCATTGGTCGGAAATGAGGCTGGCTTTTGCACAGCGGAAGCAGGTTCCGCGCCACAATGTGCTTAGAATCGCCGATGAAAGCGCGACCCGGGGTGCTGCCAGTAATTGATTTCCACGCCATCGATTGCAAAGCACTTAGCACATTGCCGAGCTCCCTTTGGTTTTGCCGAGTCTTGTTCCCTGCTTGCTGGCCCTGGTGCTTGTTTACGTGGGACTCTCCATTAGTCATAGAGACTGCTGGCTTCACCAATTCAACATCGTTCTCTTCGGTTCCTCCATGCAGGCGGCCACGAGGCCTAAGATTGCTCACAAGGTAACCGGAGCTTGCGCACCAGGTTGTCCGAAAATCAGAGAAGAATGAAGCGGCGTCCTTTACCGGATCGTATTGTGGGCTATAAAGTCGCGCGATGAGCCGTGATGCCGTTCGGAAGCTCATGAGCGCGAGTCGTGAATCATCGATCGTTTCCGCGCCGGCCGCTGCACCGACGGAAGCGAGTATTTGCCATTCGCCTGTCAAGAATCCTGTTGCTGCTGGCGTCGAGGATGGGGCACCACCGCCCACCAAGGCTGGTTCAACCGCGGCGCGAATGCGCGCCCTTCGGACCTTTCGCAGCTGCCGCAGCACGGCAAAAAGATGCCGGTTGCACAAGTCTACATCAAAGTCGTAGGGGTGCCATGTCGCTAAACTCGCCCCACCCAAAAACTGCTGCTGTCGGTACACACTATTCCTTACCCGGAAGGGGTTGCTCCGTGATTGACCCTTGATTTTCGCGGGTGGCGACTTTAGCGCACCAGAGCCACCCAGCGCTCCTGCACCATCCGGCGCCGAACTCTCATCCTCGGAATCCGTCACCGCGACAGGTTGCCTCAAAAACGTACCGGTTTCTAGACTGTCCGCCGTTGCCCACAGATGAAGTCCATCTCCTACCTGGGTCCCACGCAAACTTGCCAGTTGTGCAGCACTGCTCCCTTTCGAACCGTTCAGTATTGCCCCCCTCCGCGTACTGCGGTCTCCGGCCCCCGCATCCCTCAGAAAGCGCCCATTTTCCGTTACATTTTCGGAAAGCGCCAGAAAGTACATTTCCTTCTCGAGCACCTGCACCGGTTTTGGTCCGCAGGCGCGCCACTGCTCGTTCCCTAATTAGAGCGGGAACGTTCTAATGTGGAAAGCAGTATAGAGCTTCGCTGTCTCAGCTACTTACTACAACTAGTACTAGCAAACACCATCGAAAAGAATTTCCACACTGGTTGTTAGTGCTAGACAAAGACAATATACCACTGAAATTATTATTTATTAGGACTTGTAATTGAATTAAGGCGTAAAGAGCGCCTCTTTCTGACAGAAGGACAACAAGGACGAGATCCATCAACGAACGAGAGGGCAGGATGAGACAAGAAACGAAGTTATGGAACTTAAATAAGAAAAAATGGACAAAAAAGGTCTTGAGAACTACGAGAGATTATGGAACAGGGAGCGAGAGTATGGATGTATTTTTCAAAGAAAAGTGTAGGGAACAAAGAATGACCCCAAAGAAAAAGTTGCCTGTTATTCCGAATCATCCCTCCCATGAAACATTTTTACAATGAGTCAACCCACTACCGGCAGAGGAGAGGAGCCACCCATCTCCTCCAGCATGGCCTTAAGCGTCGCGGGACCTAAGCCACCTTACAAAGACAATAAAAAGTATCTTCAGTCTACAGTGCGGTACCGTAACAGTCTCGAGGGATATTTTTCTCCAGGTGCTTTTTCATGTCTGCGCGCGACGGCCTCCGCCACTGAGTTCGAGGCATCTTGCGCATTGCGTCTCCCCTCAGTGCATCGCAAAGAAGCTCCATATTGCATTAGACACTCCGCAAAGATCTCCGAGGTAATTATCTTTTAGCATAAGTACTAAGTACTCAACGCACATTGCAGTTGTAATTCACAGGGCGCGATTAAGATCAAGGAACTCGTCACGCAAGTGTCTCCACGAAGAGAAAATAGGTGGCGAGGCATTTGAAGAAGCATGGTATAGGCCTTAATTGTGCTGAGATTCGTAGGTGGTTGTTTCGACGCCCTCCCCCTCCCCCACAGTCTTTTTGGAAGATCGACTATTTTTCGAACCGGAGCTACCAGCGCCACCAGCGGCGGTAGTAGAACTAGAGCCGCCACCCGCAGCGGATGATGCCCCAGAGCACGTTTCCACGCCAACGCAGTTGAAGTCGCGATAAGCGCCCCGTACCCACGCGTCTTGTGGCGGAAGCTGCTTCAACAGCTTCGTGTAGCCAAGATTGCCCCACTCTGGGTCAAACTTGTTCTCGTCGTGCTCCTCTTCAGCGGATGCATCGTCTCCGCTCTCGCTCTCGTCCGCGTCACTTGCCGCACTTCCCCCAGAGGCTTTCCCACCAGCCCTTTTCTTCCTGGTAGAAGGTCCGCCAGCTCCGTTGGTAACCATCCAAAGCGATTTCTCTCTTATTTTTTTTGCTTCCGTCTTAGAAGATTCACATCATTACGGATACATGATCACACTGTCTTTTAATACCGTTCTGTTGTTTATTTTGTGCTCTTTGATGGAAAGCCTCTGTGTTTCATCTCACGTACCAACCCTACTATGCATCTATAGGATGTTGAAAGCAGGTGATACAAAAAATTTCGCAAATTACTACTTACTCTCTCAAATTTCTTGTTAGAGCACGTCATTCACATTGGATTAAAAACTTGGAAAAACTAACTCTAAAACAAGTTCAAAAACAGTAGCTAGTACTTTTAACTCGTGTGTCATCTTCATAAGTAAGAGGTATGAAAATTTCAGACTTTCTGGCTCTCTGTCTATTCCGCCAGCATGCGCGTTGTAGTCCTCAACCATGCCTCGCAAGCGACCGTCGAGGCAGATGGCCGAAAAGTCTAGATGGTCTGCCGACTGCAGCATCTTGAGAAGCTTGTGCCCATCCCCATGCATCTCTTAGAACAACGAACAATCCTTCATCTTATGATATGTATGTCATTCAAAAACGAACTTGAGATTATAAAAATGTAAACCATGGTCCTGCAAAATTTTGTACTTAGGTGGCCACCACAAATGTGAGCAGCACAAAAAGGTACTTGAGAAGTAGTTGCAAAATTTAACAGTGAGAGACCTACAAGGCATAATCTTGGGCTGAAGTGTCACTTCTCGGTGTCAATCCTTCTCCGTCCGCTTGCCGTGGACTTCCTCTCTTCTTTCTTGTCGTCTGCCCCCCGTAAGGCACGTTCTTCTCCTCGATGTAGTCATCCACATCCCACTGCACTCCTTGGTCCTCCTGCTCTACTGGGACCGCCGTCGAGGACGAAGACGATGATCCAGGCCCTCGTGCAGCCGAGGACAAGCCGAACTGTCTTTGTGCTACTAGAGTATTCGCACTACTAGAACTACAAGTGTTGCTAATTGTGCTAGATGAAGGCGATCCGCCTGGTCTGAGACAAGTTGTTGTACAATTTCTCCCATGTGAAGGAGGCAACTTCTTGAAAAGCAGAGGGCGCATAGGCCTTAGAGGAGGCACCACCTCCTCCAACTCGATAAAATGCACGATTTGGTTGCTCCAATCATACGTGTACATCAAACGGTCTTGCGGCATTTCCAGAAACAACCCAAGTTCCGCTATGACGCCGTCCAACATACCAATTACATGCGGAAAAGCCTGCAATACATAATTGATGACATTCTTTGCAACTATAATTCATTGATTATCATGAAGCACACCATGTCGCCCTAGCTAGGCCACTTTTTAACAAAATTACTGAATTGTGAATGTGAAAGACGTAAATAGCATCTGTTTCTTTTGTTCTCGAGTCGTAAATGAAAGTGCAATTACCTCTTTTTAAAAGACGCGGAAAACGTTCATCATTCTAATGGTCTTTGTGTTCGGTGTTGACTACGTAATCGTAGAATCACGAAGATGTACTTAGTAGATGCTCGATAACAAGGAAGTATGTTTTTGGAAATCGTTACTTTCATGTCCCACTCAGCAACGACAAGGAAGGAAAAATAGCACCATATGTTGATCATCTGCGTCTGTTCGTGTCGCACCGAAGGCAGCTCCATCCTTTTGGTCAAAGAAACAGCCACATCTCCGATTACGACTCCAACCCATAACAGGCAACAATGAAAAAAGGACGATTGACCATCAGGTGCTATCACTCAGGAAAGCCTAGGTAGTAGACATTTCCTTCTACCGTTATCATAACGCGGAATAATATAATGTATGAGCTTCACCATCATTGCGTCGCAGGTAGTCCTCCTAAATTACCGGCAAGACGAAACAGATGCAACGACGACAAAGTGGTATGACCTACTTTGTTCTTTGGTGTCACGATTTACATATCTGTACTACTAAGAATTGTGTTTGTGATCTTCATGACTCCTAAAAAGGTCTACTCACTACATATTCTCCAAATCTTTTCAATGAAAACTCTTCGTAACTTCAAGACGTGCTCTTCGAAATCTTCGAGGTTAATCCATGCGGAGACTCGTATTTTTCGCCACACTATCATCGCACAAGGATCCATAGACCGAAAAGGTTTTTTCCGGGTGAAAATTTTTTGCCTCAAGTCTTGCCGTGTCACCGCATGCTTGGGGTCCCGCTTGCGCAATCTCTCGTATTCAGGCGCCAACCAAATGTTGATGATTAAGTCCTTGCCCAAGTGTCCACTAAGCGCTAGGCGCTGTCGCGCACAGCGTAATGCCTCCATCTTGTCCGCCATACGCACCCGAACCCATTGCTCCTCGGGACACGGCAACAGCGGGCGCAACGATGAAAGGTCCCCGGAACCACATGGATTCCATGTTTCCATAAACCCGCACCCGTAAAGGTAATCCAACAACAAGTCTTAGAAGCAGGTGGCCATAGACGTCTCTTCAACGGACTGTATGATGATTTCACTGAAGTCGCATAATTTTTCAGTCATTGTTCCACGAAATCATCAGGAGCAGCCACGCAAGTGTGGCAATACATCCACCAGGCTGTGATAAGCTGTTCCTAATCCTGGAACCCACGCATACTCATTTTCGCCTTAAATATCTAAATCAGTAAATTTGGGTTAAGTACATCTTCATTCATGTCAGCTTCTCAAGAATTGACATTATTTACATTCTAACGCTTAGTCCCTATAACTCCTACTGCCAATTTCCTTTCAGTTTTAACATAATGCTCACGACGTTCCCGCAAGAGCTTTGGCCAGTCGCGCTTCCCTTCGTCACAGAAGTAGCCTGCGAGCCCCCACAAGGAATGGATCCCAGCACGATCCGGCTTGGGGACTATTGTTCTAGGATTCGAACGAAAAGGCACAGGCAACGGATGAGCTCCACCAAAGGCTGCGGATCTGGCATCTAGCGTAGATTTCCGTTGACGCACTAGGTCGATCACATCCAAAGGCGAAAATCGTAAGATTTTAGAAGAGGTTCCTAAAATTGGACGTACTAACAGTAAGTGATGAACTCCGTCACTACAGCTTAACATTTGAGCTCTTTTTGCGCGTAACCTCTGGTGCGTCGAAATTACAATCCCCGTGCACGACACAGCTTCCTTGAGTGATCAATATCTTATCGATAATGCTCATCGACCATGCTGACGAGGAGGACAATTGAGTTATGATATATTCAGAAAGTGACCAGCGAAAGTATGAATTGCGGCGGCTGCGACGACAATCATAAGATGAGGTGTGATTCCCGGAAACCGAACCCCTGACCTGCAGAGCTCTTGATACTCGACGTTCTCTTGGCAAAAGTCGATAATGTCAGCTTGCGATAGAGCGTCTTCGTAATCAGACACCGCCTGCTGCTTCCTATTTTTTGCCGCTTTGTTCTTGCCGGACTTTGAAGTAGCTGCGCGAGATCCGGCTAAATCATCGCATTTTTGGCGAAGCAGCATGTGGGCATCCACCCCAGGAAGCGACGCAAATTTTCGAGCCAGTTGAGTAGCGAATTCCTTCATTTTGGGTCTGTCCTCTACAGCAACATCTTTCAAAGCTACGTCAAGCACGTCAGCGGGCAAAACTTCGAGGCGCCCTTTGCGATGACTTTCGTGAGTACTTTTCAAAATTGCTCGAGTCGTGCTTATTTTTCTTTCGGATGTCGCAGTCGTGCTGCGTGTCTTGCCCTCCGCAGCGGTACTGACTTTCTTTTCCTGGCTTTCTGCCGTTTGACTGTAAGAACCGGATGTTTTCGCTTCTCGACCTCCTCCAGCAGCACCCTTTTTGTTTTCCATTTGTCCAGTAGTGGAGGACTTTGTGTTCTCCTTGTTAAGATTCGCATCGCCATTTTTCTTGCTGTTTTTTGTAGGAAAAAGGCCGCAACTGCCGAGGTTGCGAGCAGGAGCAGTGGACACCCGGGCGATCATAATTTCCGTTTTGTTACCCTCCTTATCCACTGTGCTAGTCGTAACAGCATCAGTCTGAACTCCAGAGTCCTTGTTTTTGAATCGCGCCGAGGTTGTGTCCGTGCGCGATTTCTCGTCGCATACATTTCTGCCTTGCGCAACATTAGAAATCGCAACATTACCAGCATCATCGATGTAAAAGCTCGCCACCTCTGATATGGTATCGTCCCCCTCGGTGACGTTCACGAACTCCTTCTTGGGAAGTCCGAAAATTTTCAATTTCTTTTGCCCCTCACCACCAAAAATGCCTTTATAGGGACTACCACGAACATTGATGGAGGAGCTATCTTCCACATGCTGCGAAGAAGGGACGCCAGCCTCATGCACACTTTTCTCTTTGGCAGTCGATAAGGAAGAATCTTTTGCAGCTGCATCACCTACCTTTTTTGTTCCCGATGGATCAGCATGCGGACCTGACGGTTCAGTCGTGCTAACCTCCCCGTTGGCGCGTGTCTTCTTTTTATCTTTACTCTTTTTACGACCTGGAGCGGCTTTCAGTACAGTGGTCTCCTGATTCTTAGACTTTTTCGTCGTTTCTTCTGATTTCCCTAACACAGCATTGCTTTGCCCGTCCTTCTCCGCCGCAGCGCTTGCACCAAAGTAGTCGTGCTCTTCCTCATCGCCATCGGCAGACATTGGCGACTCACGTGGGGCTGTAGTTGCTGGGCTTGATGCAGGACCCTCCTCGTCTTTTCCCTTGACCGGAGTAGGCACCCTTTTTAGCACGCTCTGATCCTTTCTTTTACTGCTCGCTCCCTCCAGTGTCTCACCAAATCGTTCATTTCCATTTTTCGTTTCTGCTGCACTGACATGTCTATCAGCACCGGTTTGGCACTCGTCGTCGCCCGACAGCGTAGTTCCTGCATCTTGTTGATGCGTCTCTGCTTCTGATCGCGATGCCCCCCCATCCTGGGTATTCGCAGTGTCAAGAATAGGGGATAAACCTCCGAGTAAGCTCCCGATATCCATCTTTACCGCACCTCCGACTGCAGAAAACAACTTCGAGGGAGTACGTTTTGCAGACTCCGAGCTCCCGTCTGAAGACTTAAGAAGCAAAACGTCCTTCTTTGTTTCAGCTTCGTTCTCAGTCTTCATGTTCGCAACTTGTTCGGAGATCTTCTGCTCGCCGTCACTTACATCCGGGGACAAAAAGATCGTGTTATCGTCGTCCACCTGTAGTCCTGCTTTTGATGATGCTGACGACTTGTGTAATCCTAGTCTAAGTATGTCAGACCCCGTCAACGGTTCTCCGTCGACACCTTTGCTGCCGACCTCTTCGTCCATGCTGCATCCGAGCACCTCATCCAAGCCGGCTCCATCGCCAGTAGGAGCTTTCTTTTCGGGAACCAACTTTGCTGACCGCAATTGTTCCGTGGCCTCACTTTCAGATAATTTAGGTTTCGAGGTAGTCGTATCACAGCTATTCTTTTTCTTGTCGTCTTTCGTATTCTTCTCGTTGTTACCCGTGCGCACATCATTTATCTTTGTTGTCGTTTTATTTTCTTCCCTGTCAAGCGGATCCTTTCTTAAACTGGATGGCTCGCCAACAACCTCAACGCGCGCTGCCGGAAGAAAAACACACGTATCTTGCTCGCTTCCAGATCCCGCCGCATCCCCGTTTTCCTTAATGGCAGCTGTTTTCTTTGCGTTGCCTTGCTCGGTGGCTTCTTTCTCTTTGACAGGATCATTATCTGCTACAACTTTTACCCTGACTTTTTTTGCAGCAGGCGTTTTTTTTGCAGCAGGCGGTTTTTTTGCAGCAGGCGGTTTTTTTGCCGCAGGCTCTTTGTTTGCAGCAACTTTTTGTGCTGAAAGAGATGCATTGCTAGTCGTCTCTGTCTCGTTTTCGCTACAGGTAAAGTCTTCTTGACTAGAGCATTCGCTGGCCGTCTCAAATTGTTCAGCTGGCTCACATGTTAGAAGTTTGTGAAAAGAAATGTTATCTATGGATCACCGAGGCCTCATGCAGCACACAATGCAGTTTTAACAGTGCCTTGACACGCAGTCTTTTCCGAAAACAACACATCAGAAATCACGACGCTGAATTAACAGACCCTCTTCGCCCCCCTTGGCTCCTCATCCATTGTTTCACTCGTTGGCCATGAAAAGGAATTACAACGATTCATAACACATAATCCACCGGCAGCACAGGGATGTCCAAATGTCCCTCATTCCTATGTCGCCGAAGGTAGGCGCGCAGTATCCGGCTGAGGCATGCCGCGTCACGTGAGCAGTCATGAGCGTATCTACGGTAAATGCTCCGCAAGCCCCGCTGTCTTCCCGGTTCCGGAAGTCTGTTCGACCATTTATTTCCTGCCAAAAGGTTCCAAGAGTTTGTGATAACGCCAAGTACTAAATGGCTTCCGGTGTTGCTGAGTTAGCATTGCTATCACTTCTTTTCTAAAAGGAATTGTAAGATGTAACACGAATCTTGAGTTTTCATCGTTGACAACGAACATGCTAGAAATTGTAGTTGAATCTACTTCATGAAAGAAGTCGCAGAGATGTTTTCGGAAAGCATGAAGCTACGAAGTAGTGCCAAACGTGAAAGTACCTCCCGGGGTCTCGCTCTCTCTTCCCAGTCGGCTCCTGTTGCGTTTTTCAGATCGCTCTGCTGCCTTCGAAAAAGCCCCTGACCGTTCCCGGCTGGCCCAACGCCCCAATATTTGAAAGAGAAAGGCTGTGCATGGACATAGTAGAGCACTCATACTCATACATAGTATAAATAAGTACGTACATTGACGGTCCATCTATCACGTGGATGTACCATTCCGGGGGCAGGACCACTCAGAAGAGATATATAAATGTGATTAGACGCAGAACAAGATCAAGCGCGACTGTTTGTGAGTACCATGAAAGAATGCGACATAATTTTTCTCGTTAGAAGGGCTCTGCTCAGAGACGTCTGGGTCAGCGGACATCCACTCGTTTACTGCATCCCGCAGGTCGTCTTTCCAGTCGAATCGTATGAAAGCTTCTACAGATCGAATTTTCTTGGTGAGCAACCAGATGAAGAACGCTTTTGTCTCTAATGCTTCACGTAAAAAATTTCCCGCAGGTCCTGCGTCGCAGAGCGTCTCGCCATCGGTTCTTCGTTAATGAAAGGATAATGGAAATTAAAGGACAATGGAATTCTTCTTTCTAGTCGATATTTGGACGAAGCTTAGGCGATTTCGAGTGGAGTCTCCTCTAACGAGTGATACAAGATGTACGTAGTGCATACAACTATAGTTACTGGCTCTCTCTAGAAAATGCTTCGTATCCTCCTCAACACGCCTTTACGTGTTAGAGAACAAATGCAAGCACTATGATCAAGTCTGTCTTCATAAAATAAAAGCGGTCCGACACTACGCTGGGCCAGAGAATCATGCTCAAGATGATCCGTCGTCCAAAAGAAATCTGTAGAGAAGACAATCGCGAGAGTTGCCAAGCCCACTTCTGTCAGCATGCGCCGCTGCTTCAAGCAGCGGAGATGCGACTCCTTCAGTCGAATCTTCTGCACTTGAGTTTCAGTCTCGTCCTCATCAGCAGCTTTCTCGGAAGAGGCTTTTTTTGCTGAGGACGCCATCTTTTCCGCGGGTGCGGCGACACGCACTTTAATTTTGGGAGTCTGCTTTTTGCCTTCCCGAGCCCTGGGTATGAGGACCCTGCGATGCCGCCATCCGCGTAAACCGTGAGGGTATCTCCTCTCCACTTCACCCAGTAAAATCACTGTGAATTGGCTCGTGACGCTATCCACGGAGTCGACAAGTGCATCCTGCCCGTTAAATTCCGGTCGATTTGCAAGACCTTGAATGCGAACAACTTGCCCAGGCTCCTTACTCCTTGGCAACTTTGACTTTTTCGAACAACGGGTTTTGGCACTGCAGGTCTTTGAAGATGTTGCTTGTTTCGAACACTTGCTCGCGCCACCCTTTTCGCAGACAACGTTGTTAGAAAATATGGATGACTCTGGTATTTTCTAAGCAGGAACTTTCTTGTTGATAACCCACGCTAGGTATAGAATATTGACTCATTCTCGATGTGCAGCGCTGAGGTATCCTGTCATACTGGTTTGCGTATCTTCAAGCATCCACAGCTTCTGATTGATGTATTAGTTGTACCATCATTCCAGGTAATCTTTAGTGTTTTTGCGAAAGCAGTCGTAAAATCGTTAACATCCGAGTCGATGTCAGTGTCCATCCCCAGCAACGACGAAACGGCTGCGACTTCATCACGTTGCCACTTAAAATTCGTGGAAAGGGCGCGTCCCTCGAGCGTCACGAAGTTTGTTTGTCTTACTGCTATAGTTGCGTCTTTTAGAGCGTGCTGAAACATCAATTCAAAACTGTGAGATAATCAACAGAAGCGAGTGAAGACTAAACACGGCGATTGCCAGTATATGCGTGGCATCTGCGTCATAAAAAAACACACAAAATCAGAATATCAAAAAAAGGTCACACCGACATTATGGTGGTCTAGGCTAGAAGAGCTATTTCTATGGTATATAATTCATGTGAAATAAATTTCGTATAGATGATATCTATGAGTGCAAAATACTAGTGATCTGTGTGCTGCCTTAAACTTTCCGGAGCTGTGGTGGCGTAGCGCAACGCCCTGGCCGAGAGCTCCTCTTGTGGGGGAGCTCGCCCTTTGATGCTATCTTCAAGCGCCACGACAAACCGCCCAGTGCTGAGGTCCCACGATGTTACAACAGCTTGGCGCCCATTGAAGTGCGTGCGTCTCTTCAGATTGCGCAGGCGCACAATGCTGCCGAGTTCCGGGTACTTCACTGTGTGTGGAGGAGGTCCTGTGGAGGCTACTGGAGGCTCTTTTTTGGAGTCTGTCGGAACTCTCTGAAAGGTGCCGAACGTTAGAGCCCATCAACACCGGCGCCATAGCAGAAATCATTTCTTTTTCCAAATCCAAAATTTGAAATAAATAAACACACCTACGCTCGCCTTACTTCCTCTCCATAAGAGCGTTTCGAACAGTTGTGAAAAACCGCAAAAAAAAAGCATTCTGAATTACAATTACATATTGATTTATAGTTAAGATGAGGAGTCTTAAAACGGACTTGACCAGCTTCTTCATCAGCTCTGTGGACGCATTTCTATCGGAGATAGGAGGATCGCGCCACTCCCCATCGGATGACGCAACACTGCACTCTTCTGTGGACTCGTATACAGAAGTGCCTCGCAAAACCACGTGTCGCGTCATGAAAGATACAAGCATTTTCCACGCCTTCTTGTTCGGCCGCTCGTCAAATGGATCCACATACTTTTCCTTCTTTCGCAAATTTTCGCACGAATCAAAATCCATGTCTTCTATGGCTTGAGATTCAAAATAAACCTCGCAAGCCGTGTATACAGTCATTGCTTCCAGTGCTCCGCATTAGAAGAAGTTTAATCATATGTAGTTTCTACTGGTGACAGGCGAGAGCGTCATCGCGTTCCAGTACCAGTGAAACGGGAAAATAATGACAATCAACTTTCTATAAACTGGTGGCACCAATAATAAAAATAAACCGTCGAGAACATATTAAACACTTTCCAACTACCTACGTAACTAGAAATACCGTCCACTTAATATGAGTAGATCAAACGAAATCTTCGGTACAGCTCCATACAACGTTGTTGATCAAACTACAATCAGACTTCTATTGTGCTACTCGCTGATCGCACTGCAATTACTACATAGAATATTTTCATAGGTTGGTGCGGCGAGCGAGTGTCTTCCACCACGGACAAGCTTAGCAATTTCCGCAGCGCGGGCGCGGTCTCCGGGTCGGACGGCCGGCATCATATT